TTACATGAGTAATTCTGAGATTATTGAGTGTGATTAGTTCAGGTGTGTAGCTTTACAATTATCTCAGTGTGTAAACAAGGGTGGAATGAGACTTTCTGGTCTGTAAACTATTGCTTTAAGCAGCAATGACAACTGCCTGTTTTTTTTTTGTGTGACAAGTGAGCTGTCAATCACAGCCCAGACCACACCCAACTCTAAGCCCCCCTTCTTGTCCCTTGGTCCTCCAGGCAACGCCCTTTTTAGAGAAAAATTTCAAATCTTCATGTGGGCGGAGTAAGGCTGGGCACAGGTGTTTAGTCGCTCTTTAACATAATGAGCTTGTGCTACAATTGTGACAAATTATAACCCCGGATGCAACATAAAAGTGTCCTGCTCAAAGCCTGATGCCTGGATCTGGTGATTTTCTGGGTATTTCTCTAGTCTCCAGCGAGGCTCATAATCTTTATCCTCTTTGTCGGAGCGAGCACCATGTGGCACAACATGGAAAGAGAGATTTGTAAAACGGAAAAGATCTAATGCTTGGACCTGGGTAATGGAGTTACGCCTGTATTAATTGCACTCAAGCAGGAGCTAAAGTAATTATGAAAAACCCTAACCCCTTCAATCAATTTGAACACAGTAAGGGCCTTGACGTTTTGGCGACACAATCTCTGGAGTTTGTATGATCATATTCTTCAAAAAGCTAGTTCCCTGACCGGGAATCGAACCCGGGCCACGGCGGTGAGAGCGCCGAATCCTAACCACTAGACCACCAGGGAGCTCTGAAGTGGGGCAAAGGGAGGTTTCGTGTTAGCGCCACCCAACTGTGAGCCAACTATCAGCATAACAAATGCAGGAAGGATGTATCTCATGTTGCTTGAGTCTGTCTTCTGTAAGTTTCACATTGAATAAGTAAGTAATAAGTAAGTAAATGGTAAATGGAAAAGTGAAAAGCCATACTGTGGAACGTAATCCATTGAGAATTGAGAGATGACTGATCTGCTAAATACACACTAAAGACAATTAAAACAAAGTTTGTGAACGTCCATGTTTTTAAGTGCTACTTTTCACTTAAAAACATGGACGTTTACAACATTATGTTGAACTATAGATAATGCAGTGAATATGCCACACTGGACCAGTTAGCATTTGAGCTTCACAGCAAGAAGGTCCTGGGTTCGATTCCATTCCATTCTGAACCTTTCTGTGTGAAGTTTGCATGTTCTCCCCATGTCTGTGTATGTTTCCCCCAGATGCTCCTCTTTGCCCGACCACTATAACATATGCAATAGGTATGAATGTAGAGTATGAGAGAGTGTGTGTGAGAGAGAGAGATTGCAATGGTGGGGTTCAATACATGTACAAATTACTGGTACACCAAATTGTAAAGCCCTTTGTTTGACCCTGGTCTGTGAAATGTGCTATATAAATAAAGATGACTAATTTACATTACGATCTGACAATGTTTAAAACCAGGTTAAAACAGGTTATGCTGTGCATACAACTGAGGGATTTTATATTTTTATCATTCTTTTTAATGTACTGTGATTATTTATGATTTTAATGCGATCTTATTTTGTTCAGCACTTTGAGTTGCCTTGGGTATGAAATTGTGCTATACAAATAAACTTGCCTGCCATGATGGAAACCTGTCTGCGCCCTCTTACAGGGACTGGTGTGCTCGCTGTGTCTGTAACTATCGTGTTATTCCATAAATATTTGTTTAAATCAAAATGTAATTAAATAAATCCTCAATTGTCTCCAGAGCACGTGTGTGGAGTGAATTAGCAACTGGTTTGTGTTAACGCTACATACCACGTGCCATGGCCTACTACTGCTATATATGCAATTAATAACAGTAAAGGAAAAAAACGTAATAAACACACATGAGCAAACATGTCGGAATAAACCGTCTCACCTTGGCTTTTCAACGCTTTTACTCGGAAACCCCGATGTTGGCCATGATGTTGTCCCATGACGCACTCACAGACTTCTACTTCGTCCTATAATAAAAGTCAATATTTACAGTCTATGATAAAAGTACGTGCATATTACTTACATTTGTAGATGACAACGTGTTTTGCTCGTTTGGTTTCACCTTTAACACAATTTTATGTAAAACAGAACAGCGCGCGCTTACATCTACACGCCAGAGGAAGAAGCCATACGTCACTCACGGTCAAAGCGCGCCACCCAGCGTCAGGTCTGGGTACTTCAGGATGACTGCTGTTATCAGGAGAAAAAGGTGGGTTTGACAGATTAGTTTGAGGAGGTGGAAAAAACTACCCTGTGTGTGTGTGTGGGTGCGTGCGTGTGCGTGTGCGTGTGTGTGTGCGTGTGCGTGTGTGTGTGCGTGTGTGTGTGCGTGTGTGTGTGTGCGTGTGTGTGTGTGTGTGTGTGTGTGTGTGTGTGTGTGTGTGTGTGTGTGTGTGTGTGTGTGTGTGTGTGTGTGTGTGTGCGTGTATGTGGGGGTGGATGCCTTTGGGGATGTCGGCGCCTTCTCCGTGCGCTCGAAGACTTTGGGGAACGCGGTTTGGTCTCCTGCAAAGGAATTCAAGTAAAATGTTTAGGTAAGTCTGAAAACGTTTTTATTTGTTTTAAATAGTTTTAAATAGTTTTAAAAGTTTTATTGAAAGTGCTGGGGTAGGCCAGTGCTGAATATGTAGGCCTATCTTTGCCAACTTTTGTATTTTGTGTTCTTCAAGTTTATAACAATGTCTATCTTCCCTGGTCGTATGTGTTTGTGACTTTGCTGCCTATACTATGCTATTACTAATATATTATACTACTATACTAAGTTTATTTCCAAAGTTAATGATGTGCCCGCCAACAATGCAATCTTAAGGTGACAAGGTGCTATTGACACTTTTTATTGTGCATATTATATCCTGCATTTAACATGTTTGCACATTTCCTCTCTTTTTGCACATCTTAAGTGTTTCTATCCATGCCAAATGTGACGTGTAAATGTATCCTTTGTGAGATAAATACGGCATATCTTATCTTATCTTATCTTATTACAGGTATTTGAATGGTCTTATAAACTAATAATTCTTTTCGGTGATAACAAAAGTCAGTGATATTTTCTGTGTTTGTATGCATTTTGCAAATAACAGCAGAATAGAGAAACATGAGAATGTGATGTAGTAAGTGACTCAAATTAATCAGATTAAAGAATTATTGCATTCCTCCACTCAGTGCCACACACTGTCCGACCGTGGTGCAGTGTTGTGACAGAGCAGTCCCTGTGCTCATTTATTACATAACAAAATAATACTGAGAGAATCTACATTCAGCAAGGATTTGATTTGTTTTTCATTTTCATATTTTTTAAGAGTAATAAGGGTGATAATAATAGTCCGTGTTTGATCCTCTTTGGCCCCGAAATGATTTTCAATGATCTTTATTACAGTAACTTGCAGCATTGGTGATAATGGGATACTGTCATGTTATTTTTAATTTTAAAGCCTATTGTCTCCAGAAAACAACCATATAATTTAATCTGTTCTAAAAAGTGAACTAACATTAGAAGTCATTAGAACTATCAGTATTTAAATATATCTCTTCTAGATATTTGGCCCTGTTGTGATTGGATTCAAACCAACTAGGAAATAATATCCAAACTCAAATACAGTTAATTTTGTCTAAAATATGTTTTTTAAAAAAAGAACAAATTAGTAGTAGTAGTAGTAGTAGTAGTCTCACAGGTCATCTCCAAACAAGCAGTAAAACAGCTGCAATATATTAAAAATTCTGCAGCTCGGGTCCTGACTAGAACCAGAAAGTACGACCACATTAGTCCAGTCCTCAGGTCTCTGCACTGGCTTCCTGTGGCTCAAAGAATTGACTTTAAAGTAGCTCTAGTTGTGTCTCTACATGACCTCGCACCACAGTATATCCGAGACATGTTAGCGCCATATGAACCGGCTCGGACACTGTTTTTATGTTTTTTGTCTGTCTTCTAATTTCTTGTGAAGCACTTTGGGTTACACAGTATGAATTGTGCTTTATAAATACATTTTATTTGAATTTGACAGTAGTAGTAGTAGTAGTAGTAGTAGTAATAGTATTATGTTGAGTAAATTTGTGTACAAATTGTGCTACAACTATGAGTTTTAGGAATCAATCTTTACTGGTGTCTTGTACTACTTGTTATTGTTTTTTTTATTTATTTAAATTTCGTTTTGGACATGAAAATACATCACATATTACAATTACATTTCAAATAATTGTAGTCTTGTCACACAAATGACATATGGGCATCAAGTCACAATAACGTTTTTGATGAACGATTATTCAACAATTATTCAAACATTTTTCACTCAGCCAACTCCAGCTCCGTCATTTCAATCTGAAGAGACCAAAGACACAATTAATACAATTAAATTATTTATTTGTTTGGCGCATTGACCCCGGCAGTGACACTTGCAGCAATGAGATCGATTGCAGCTGAAGATGATCTCAGATCCCCCGGGGTCAAGCACTGGTGGCAGAGTATGGTGTGAATGGGGCGTAGGCGGAGTAGGAGCCAGAGCAGGAGCCAGAGGAGGTGCTGGGGAGGTGGTGGGTGTTTAAGAGCCTCAGGAAGCGTTGCTTGTCAGGAAGTGGCTGCCTTTTAAACTCCCCGCTTTGCTGTGAGAGGGTTGGCAGGAATCTGGTTTTGCAGCCCACAATTCTATGCATAACATATGACTCACAATTGTCTGATTTTAGGCAAGGCAAGGCACCATAAAATAACAAACAATAAATAAGGAAGATGATGCTAGAGAGAACAGAATTAATTTTAAAGCCGTACCATTGATCCAGGGCCTTTTGTTGTTCTATTTAAAAGTGTAAAGTGCCTTGTTTGTCTTTGTGAGTGATTGGGTCGACGTGTGACCTACCGGGCTGTTTGCCACATTCTGAACAACGATAATAATATCTTGTGTCTGAGTTTGACCCAATCAAACTGACCGTCTTTTCCCCTCTTCAGATGAGTGCTCGCTCCTAACTCCGCCAGTCGCTGTGTTTGGGCCGTTACCATGGAGACGGTGGTGATTGTGGCCATCAGCATCCTGGCGGCCATCTTCCTGGCCTCGTTCGTGGCTCTGGTCGTGGTCTGCAAACACCGCTACTGCCACCCGCACGACATGCTGCATCCGTTTGACTCCAAGTGGGTGAAATCATCCGTTTTAAAAAAAACACAGCATAAACAAAAACACAAGAGTCACCTCCTCACGTCTGCAGCAGAAGTTAGAAGTGAAGTTTGGTGAAATGATAAACGTTGTTATTGTTGTCATTTGTGTAATTTTTCAACCACATAATTCCCGACATTCACTAACACTCTCGCTTCTGTGCAAAAAAGGTCTGGAGTTTGATTCAATTCTTCCAGTGTCTGCTTAAGTTTCCTCTAGGTGCTCTGGGTTCCCCTATCTCTAAATACATGTTTAGGGCCAGGACTCCCTTTAACAAGAGGGACTTTCCTGGTTAAATAATGGTAAAACAAAAAAAATAAAGATTGTATTTTTTCTACCTGAGATTGTTGTATTTCATTTTTTTCAATTAAAAATGTTGGACTTGCGTTGGTATTCATTCAACGTGAGTAATTTGGGATACGATTACAAGATTTACACATCTAGAGATTGAATGTTTTGCCCAAGAGTCTTTACAAAACAATGCAGAAAAACACAATTTGTAAATATATAGAAAATTACTCTAATAAGTCACAATGTATATAATATGCATTTAAAGCAGAGGTGTCACAAATCTAAAAAATAGATATATAAAAGATACAAATACAATTAAACAAATAGAATAAGTAAAAACAAGTAAAAGTAAAAAAAACTTGTATTCGATATTATGGAAAAATCATTGAATATTTAATTAAATATGTTAAGTTAATAAAGTTCAGGGTTATACATGGGACAAGAACGGGAGACGTTGACATTATTCTCTGTGTTATTGTTGCAGACCCACAATCGACCTGATCGGAGCGATGGAGACTCAGAGCGAACCGTCCGAGCTGGAGCTGGACGACGTGGTCATCACAAATCCTCACATAGAAGCCATCTTGGAGAACGAGGACTGGATAGAAGACGCATCGTAAGTCAAACTATGAGACTTTTCCGACGTTTATCTTTTCCCACAAACTCACCGCGTATACTCTTCTAACAACAGCGGCTTGGTCTCACACTGCATCGCCATTTTAAAGGTAACTCTTCGTCACGATCCGCCTCTGCTTTGACATGAATTCAACTTTCATTTTCTTTTGACAGATTTGCCACTTGCTCACAGAAAAGCTGGTTGCTCTGACGATGGGTTCGGGATCAAAAGTCAAAGCTCCAGCCAGCCTCAGTGACATCATTACAGTGGCTAAACGCATAAGTCCAAGGTAATGTACATTTATAAATATATATCAACTATTTCTGGATCACTTCGGCAATTTAATTTGGAAATGTTATTCTATAATGCAGAGTGGATGATGTGGTCAGATCTATGTACCCACCACTGGATCCAATTCTCCTGGACGCACGGTAAAAGAATTGTTTATAATTTTATGTTTAGTGAAATTTTTGGGTGAGCAATAGGCCTTCTAGTTTTAATAATAGGAACATAGTAGCTACAGAAATATAAGTCAAATCAGACACCGATGTAGAATATAAAAAACATCAGAATGCAGAACAACCATGAAATAGCATAGTATTCTGGAGGTTCTTTATTCTCTCTTGTGGTAATTTAAAAAGAGAACACATGTTAATTAAGATAAGAGAACCTTTAATCGTTTTTAGACAATGGCGTCACACAACCACTAATAATGAGAGGAGAAAAAAAGTGTTTGTGTCATTCATGAACTACAAAATAAGACCAAAACAATGAAATCTCTGGGCATAAAACACTCTCAAACACAACTGTACATACATATAGATTGTACAGTTGTGTTTTAAAGTTTGTTAGTAACTTGTTTGTGAGAGAAAAATATATCAAAGAGCAGTGTTTCATAAATTGTACTGATACTATAGTTTGAAACACATTCCTGCAGACGGGTGACTGTCTAACCTCAGCTCCAGTTGTTTTCACTCAGTCTGGAGCGTGTGGGCCGCTCTGTGTTTATGTGAGCCGTCTGCGTTACATCAGCCGTCAGACCTGAGACCTGCACTTATCTGACTGATTACTTTGTTTCTGAAGAGAGGCTTTCATGCTGCAGGTAAAGGCTACAGGCTTTTAGTGCATATGGACCACTTTTTAGAGGGGACTTTTACTTCACTACACTACTTTTTTTATTCACGGGGAAGATAGTGCTGTACAGCTTTCTTTTCTCTCTCTCATGAGCGCAGGCCTTTTTTAGACACAGGTGAAATACATCAGGTTCAAGTAAAACCAAGTACCAAGTGGATAGCACTCTCGTTTCTCAGCAAGAAGGTCCTGGGTTCGAATCAGAACAGGGCATCTCTGAGTGGAGTTTGCAGGTTTCCTCTGGGTGCTCCGGTTTCCCCTACCACTAAAAACATGTACAATAGGTATGAATGTAATGAGTGAGTGAATGGATGGTGTTGAATGGGGGCTTTGATGCTCCATTGATATGGCGTCTTGCTTCCGCCATCACCGTGTGTGGAGTGAATTAAACAATATCTGAACTCTGAACATTGTAAAGCGCTTTGGGTGACCTTGGGCTATATAAATAGAACACTTACTTACTTACACCATGACAGGAATCTGAATCTAAACCAGTCCGCCCCCACAGAGCCACGGCACTGCTGCTGTCCGTCAGTCACCTGGTGCTGGTGACCCGCAGTGCGTGCCACATGTCGGGCAGCCTGGACTGGATCGAGCAGTCCCTGAACGCGGCAGAGGATCACATGGTGGTGCTGAGGGAGGCCGCGCTCGCCTCCGAACCCGACCGAGGCTTCCCCATCGCCGCCCCACAGAGAGAGCAGGCCATTTAGGACACACATGTGCGGAAGTGAAGAGTGAAGAGAGCTGAACCATCAAAGCCACAGAAAACTGAGAAAAAGACAGTTCTTGACTCAAACTGTTTGGTTCCATCTCTAGTTCTACACACATGTACTTGTTGGCCTCTGTCACATCGTTAGATCTTTAGAGCTCACAGAAAAGTGAAAAAAAAAGAGGAACACCGTCTCAATCAGCTCTCAGCCCAAAGCTCGCACAGCAACAGCTTCGCAGAGCTGTTTTCTAGTAAGATAGCAGCATGTTGTGGTCTGGTTTGTTCACATGTTTTACAGACAAACTACATATGTTTGTTTAATTTAAAACAATAGTATGCTACTTTTTGTCAGTGGTAATCCCCTGCATGGTACTATGGAATTAAAAAGTAAAAAATTCATATTCTCTGTTGAAATATATACATTAAATGTCATCTTGGTGCAAATTACAGCCAAAAATAGATACATTCTATGGAAACAAACATGTTCACACTCTGACCAATATGAGTCAGGCTTGTGGAGATGAAAGGCTGCTCACATGTTTTTTTTTATCATTTTTTTGCAGTTAAAATATAAAACATAAATAAAATACCGAAACAGGAAGTCTTCCTTTAAACTTTCTGACTGAATATAAATTCAAACACATGATCCACCCATATGATTTTTTTTAAAGAGATTGTTTTTGAGAAAGTCACAAAGCAGCACGGTGGCTGAGTGGATAGCACTCTCGCTTCTCAGAAAGAAGGTCCTAGGTTTGAATCCTGATCGGAACAGGGCCTTTCTGAGTGGAGTTTGCATGTTCCACCCATGTCTGCGTGGGTTTCCCCTACCACTAAAAACATGTTCAATAGATCTGGCCTGCGCCTCCTGTACTGGTGACCCCAGTGATCCCCTCTCTGTGTGGAGTGAGAGGACAAATGCCCAAAACCGCTTTGTGGCTCTGGTCTGTGAAAGGCGGTATATAGATATAGATTACTTACTTAAAAATGTGCTTTAATCATAAATAATCATATTTTGCCACAAAAATCTGCAAATGGCAAATAAATGAATCTGAATCTGAATCTGATCATCAGCATGTGTCACACTGGGTTTAACTTGCACAGCTTGTAGTTAAATGTATTTAGACATAAACTGACTTTCACATTTTGTGTCTGTCACCTCCGTTTGCATGAGATATTGTTCAAACTGGAGCAGAAAACAAATACATGCAAACAAGCGGATAGAAAATGACACACTTGTAAGATTGCCAATACGTTTATACTTCCAGACTAAAGTAATGACATTTTCTGCTTGGCTCCAACAACACAAATCAAATATTGCATCACAACTCAGTTATGTGTGGCCGTGTATAGTTTTGTTCAGATGCCGACGTCTAAGTGCTTCTTTCTCAAATAAAAAACCATTGGAAATTTCTTGAGCTCCATCTCGCAGCAGTGGGTCTAAATCCAATCTCAGCAGTCACATGGCGGCTTAGTCCCTTAATCCAAAATAACACCCAGTTTCAGAAGAGCACCCAAAGGCCCATAACTCAGTGGACCACAAAGAGAATTCTTACTTTTTCTTTTACTTTTTTTTAAACTAAGCTTGAGTTTCAGATTTAACACTATGACAATAGAAATAAGCTGGGGTACCTAACTTTCAAACCACAAAAATTAAAAATGAATGTAATAAATTCTATCTGAAAAGTTTCTCTAAAAACAGTTGCACAATGTCCTTTTGGCGTCTGTACGTAGCTTAGCCTGAAGTCACATGTCCAGCTTTAAGGCCATAGTGTGAAACTTTCAGGGAAACATTTAGATGGACCTAAAAAGTTTCTGTTGCTTTTGACAGGTTTTTGATCTTATAACGGTGGCTGTAGTTGCTGTAAACATACATAAACGTTTTGCACCAATCAGGAAGCAGTTTCTGAAGCAAAAAAAGTTTAAATGAAACCAGAATGTTCTCTGATGACGTCACATTGTACTCAAACTACAGTAGGTTCTAATTCAATACAAAATGGAATGTTTACTTATTCTATTTCCTGTGTTACATAAAGGAGGAAAAACCAGAGTCCCCAGTGTGATGTCATTATTGTACAATCAGGAGGTGACATTTTATAAAATGTTATATATAAAATTTGTATTTCTTACTCTTTTAATGTACTTACGGATCTGTATCTTTTTGTACAAAGGTCTTCATTTGACCATTTTCCAGTCTTTATCCTCTCAGTGTCATGTTTAAAATGTACCTCCATTTTGTAAAATATTACGATTTTTTTCATCTTTTGTTTCCTCAGATGTGAACTTTGCCTCATTCATCCGTGTTGGAGAAATGTCTGCTTTCACTTCTGCTTACCTGATTATGGATGTGTTTGTAATAAAATGGTGAAACTCCCAGGTCAAACAGAAAATAAGAATGTTGTTCAAAAGTGAATGTATTTCTGTTTCTCAAACCAACCAATATATGATATCAACTCATGTCCAAGTGACTTATGCCGAGCCTTTGTTATAAATGTTAATGATTATAGGCTCACAGTCCATTGCGCAAAAATAATGGTATTACCTCACTACGTGTATAATGAGTCAGTTTTATACTAATACTTTTCAGAGTTTCTACTGTACCATAATTGCTGCTTAGCTTAGAGAAATGCCATCACTTGTTCCACACAAGAAATCAATGGAATAATTTCTGTTTATACACGGCTTCAGAAGAATACTGAACGTTCTTTATACTGGAAATGTCTTCTTTCACTTCAGGACGTTTATTTCAGTGGATTAACACATACGTTTTATTGTAAGTGGACATGTTTTATGGCAGATTTTCTTCTCTTCTCATCCTCCCACAAGATTATGGGAATAATGTCAGCATCACCCTGAACAAGTTTAACATGACTTCTCTCCATTCATTTTTGTGAGAATTTTAGCTTTTTCCCAAACCACTTATAAAGCATCTTCTTAATCACACGTTTGGGTAGAACATGCTGAAATATTGTCAATGCCGCTGTTTTTTGGTTTCATAATGACAATAATTTAGCTATCATTATTTTTTTAGGATAATGTATCATCAAAGTATTTCATATTACTCCAGTTGGAAATCAAAGTGTAGAGCATAGTTGAAGTCAGTCAGTTTAGTTGTTTCATTCCTGATATAGACATACAGTAAACGCAATCCCCAATTTGTATTTGTAATTTTAATGTCATCCTAAATTCCCCATATAAAACTTACATCATCTATCTCAGTTTGTTACGTAACTCCAATCAATTACAGCCAGAGGAAATATATCTTTAATAAAACATTACACAGAGAAGGCACGTGTGCTCGTAATCTGTTTCTCCAATCGGCCAGGAACAAAAAAAAATACATATACAATTAAATATATCAAGAAATTATTTGTGTTTTTTCCCTGACATATGAAAACGTCCCACTATAACAAGGCTCTTTTGTATCGTTATGGATGAAGGAAAACATGTCTGCTCTCCCATGCATAGCTAATAGAAAACCCCATATGTAGCCTGTAATGCTAAAGAGTGTACTGGCTTCGTATACATGGCACATCAAGGTTTTGTACACAAAGAAAGCAAAATGAACATGAATCGTGACTGTAAAATACCCCCCAAAAAACAAGCAAGCATTTCAATAAATATGGGAGTTAAAGATAATTTAGTTTCTGTCATTATTTGTACGAAGACACAATGTGAAAGCCTATTTGACTGGGAACAATCGCAACAAAGAAATCCACACACTGATTTGATAAATAAATGACTTTCTTTTCTTTTATTACAATGTGTGCTGTTCTTTTGTGATAATATCGTTTCTCCACGCTGGTCTGAAGATGATTGGAGAGGTTTTGCTTTTCTTCGGATCAATTCAAAGAGCCGTGGTCATCTCTCTTCATTTCCAAAAGCGTCTGGAAGATAATGACAATGATTTACCCTCAAAGAAATGTTTTCGCAATTGGTTTGGGTTAGCGGTAAAATAGTAAATATAAAGACAATTATTATTATTTCAGAAATACAGACATGTTTTTGAATGCAATGCTTCAAAGGATCAGTTTTAATGTGCTTTGCTAAATAAAATATTAGGTAATCCTGTTGACATTTAAGGGCATGGAGAGAGATAAATAAACTGATTTAGATAAATACATATATATATATATATATAGTAAAGCTAACGTACTTAACTTTAAAACTACCAAACTGTAACTTGTTTTATGTTGATCTAGCTCTCTCTTGTTTTTTGGAATGCGTTTCAGCTTTTAAAGACAAAAGTTAAAAAGTAGTAGTAGTAGATTGTTTTTCTATTGTATTGAACAATGAAAAAAATCTAAATTCAAAATGAAGACTATTACTATTCATTCATCCATTTTCATCCCCTTTATTAGTCCATTTCTGGGTCGTGGGGGTGGCAATGAGAGCTGCCACCCAATGCTCATAGCACCAGCCCCTCACTGATCCTCCTGCAGGTGGTGGGTTCACGGGAAGATGGCTGCTCCGCCAACAAAGACACAGCCTTGGCGTTTCAGTGGGTGCTTCAGGCAAAGTGGGGTTAAGTGTCTTTCCCAGGGACACAACGACACCAGACATCAGTTGGAGCAGGTGACATGGGTTGTAGAGGGATCGAACCCACGACCTAAGGTTTGATCGATTAGGCTACTACTAAAAGTAAAAAATCAGCTCAACCTATCCCTATACAAGTATGGGAAATATACCATGATTTCTATAAAGAGGAAGAATACATGTTCTGGTCTGATTTATTCAAAATGTTTTACTTTTAAATGGCTCTTTTTGTTGGGACAAAAAAAAAAGATTATTTAGGAGGGGAATGTTGGGTATAAGCAAGACAGACATACACAAGGACTGTAGTGTGAAAGAATTTATGAATGTATTAGAAAGATCGTGACAGGCAAAAAGAACCAGTAAAGGAGCTACCCAGGGACCAATGCCAAAAACCAGGCCTCTTTCCCATCCCTACATAGGTCTACCTCATTCCCGTACTCATGAATTAAATATTATCTGATTAACACTGCCCCCCACTGGTCTGAGCTGAAGGTACCTGGAAGCCTTGGTCGGACAGATAGACCTCCAGGTGCTGCGGGTCCACTCCTGCAGGCAGAGGGCTGTGGCTGAGCTGCTCCAGGGGGAAGTGTGTCCTCATGAGCTGAGCCAAGACGTCCTGCACCAAGGTCAGCTTCAGCCGCCCCTCCTCACCCTGGACAACGCACACAACCGTCTCCATGAGCGTAACGCAATGGGGAGACTGTGATAATGTTGCTTTGGGTTGTTAATGAAGTGATTTGTGTTTAATGGAAACAAACAAAGCCTTCAAAATCAGCTTTTAGTGAATTGTATATACACATTTATTGTCATGCTGTGGAGCTTTTGGGATTATTTTGACCTGGTTTTATTTTACTTTTGTAATTTTGAGATGATTTCTGTCTGCCCAGTTGATTATTAGCCCCACCCTAATGTGATCCACCTGCGTTTCCTGTGTGTATTGTTCGTCCATTGTCTCTACCACGTTTGTCCTGTCTAGTTTTTTCAGTTCTGGATGTTTGTGCTTATTGTCACTCTAGATTGGTATTTTATTAAATTACATTTGATTTTCAGACCTGCATTTTGGGTCCCTCTTTTCTTCATGTCCCCACACATGACATTTATGACCATCCTGGACTAAGTTTATCACACTAAATAAATATACTTTGAATAGACTAATCAAATCCTTTCCGTAATCCGTATAACAGACAATAGCTCACACTATCCTCTGAATATTTTACGATCTAAAACTTCCCTTGGCCAAGTCAAATCAAACTAGTTCATAGACTGCTTTTTAGTATTTTTTTCACATTTGTATTCGTTTTATCCTATTTTTAAACCTATACAGCTGGCAAACCATGCATATTTAAATGTGTTACTTTTATCTGTACAGCACTTTGGAAACTCTATTTTTTATTTTTTATTGGCTATAAAAAATAAAGTGGACTGAATTGGATTTGATTTTATGAATTTCATTTCTGTCAGTAAGTCAAATTATTTTTGGTAAAGTACAATATTGAAACACCAGAACACAAGATAAGATGTCCAATAGTGACGAGTTAATACAATTCCTTTGATCATTATTTATCAATTAAAAAAGAAAGTAGGATTGGGAATTGTCAATGACCTCAAATTAAATCAGGAACATGCTATATGTTAATCTACCATTGATGATTTGACTTGGAAAATGGTTTTATGATTACGTTTCTTTTTCAGCCCAGAACTTTTCAGTGGATTCAGCCTGAGTGCCGTGGTCAGCAGCTAAATAAGTGCAGACTGTTGTTCAAAAGGACTGTTGTATTACCAAGAAGTCTGTCACTAAGTGTAGAGTCAAATCAGTAATTTGAGTACAGCCTTTCTATTCAAATATATAGCGACTATATTAAACCAAAATGTAGGTATTAAGTATTTCTCAATCAGTCACTTACTGTCTGTAATCTATGATAATGATAAACCTGTGCTTTACCTGTGCTTGAGGTCCCAGGCTCCTGTCCCAGTTTGGAAACACGTTGGTGAAAGTGAGAGGTTCTGTCCCTTCAGAGATGAAATATGCCTGGGGCGGTCGTCTAGGATTCATTTCTGATTTAAAAACATAAGATTAATAAATAACAATTAACAACAAGGCCAACACGTCTGATTTTAGTAGTTCACTTGTCACGGTTAGTCGTCTAATCTTCTGTTTCAATATTGTAATTAACCAAGAAGAAAGATAAGATAAGATCAACTTTATTGATCTCACAAAGGAAAAATCTATATTAAAAAGACCAACTGACAGAAATCTCCTCATATTTGGAAACCTGCTGTACCTTTGCAGTACTGGAGGGCTGTCTCCATGGCACACCGCCGCTCGTTCTGCCAGAGGCTCCAGGCTGCAGCGTCGCTCTGGTCGGGCTGCCCTCTCTGCCACAGGTAAACCTCCAGGCGATTATCCAGAAGGAATAATGCTAAAACACAAACAGATCTTTAGGGATGCACATACAGAGGCCGGGGTTAAATATTGTCAGGAAAATATGATGGATTGGGTCTCAGTCCGACGGTATCAGGCTAATATCCAGAACTTTTGACAGGCTGACATTAACCCAGAATGTCTAACTTCACTTTTACTCAAGTAGAGTTGTTCTGCTGTGACTTGTGGGATAAAGAACTGGACAAAGTTAATTTTCTGTGCCTTCATTGTCATCAGTTTACATTGGGTATTGGCAGGTACTGTACAGTTTAAGTACATATGACTTTGGCTGGAAGATTAAGAAAAAACCACAATTCGTGTATACAGGAATTAATAAATGTAAATAATAATACAAAAAATGCTAGCAGTTTAGTCTTGTTTCAGCAAACACATGTTAAGCTTATTTCTTTAGCAAATAAACTATTTTGTATGCATTTTAAAGATCATTATTTCATTTGAAATTTTTATGTTGTCATTGATGAAAAAAGTTCTTGGAAACGCCACATTTGTTACCTGAGAACAAAAGTTGCCAAATGTGTTGGAATGATGAAAAAATTATGTAATCTACTGGACACCAAAGCCTGACTCCTATTGTATCATTCACTCATAACGTCGTATCAATATTATTGTGTTGAAGTTTGGGGAAACTGCTATGAATCCCATCTAAAGCCTTTGATCACCTGCAGCAAAAGGCCATTAGGATTGTCTCTGGTGCACACTACAGACGTCATTCTAATCCACTGTTTGTAGAGTTGGAAGAACTCAAACTGCAGGACGTGGAAACCAAATTAAATATCTACCTACATAACCACTCTAAATTTAATGTGTATCTCAGTGCAGGGAGTGAAACTTTGGAATGATTTACCGGATGAATTAAAAAACTGTCCAAGCATAATTCATTTCAAACAGTTGTTTAAAAAAAAATATATATTAAAGAAATATAGAGAGGAAAGAGAGTGATGCCCTCAGCATGAAGCAAAGGGGAGAGGGTGTAGGGTCAGAGAGTGTTCGGGCCTGTGCCTGTGGTGTGTTGTGTGTGTGTGTTGTCTTGTCTTCTCTCTGTGGTCCTGTCTTATATTGTTTCACTCTGTGTGCTGTACAAGTTTACAGCTGTTTATGAATGATCCTGTATGTACACGGTTCTTGTACTGTACTTTGTCTTGAACGTGTGAACGTGTGAGGGCGTTTGGAATCCTTTAAGTGTTTGCTTCATCCACCTCCTTTTCAAACCAAGCACTTGTATATCTGTCTGTTGGTTTTTGAGATGATTTTTGCAGGTTTGAAATAAATATTATCTATCTATCTATCTATCTATCTATTTCTTTGTACTATCTATCCATTATCTTCAAAGTATAATAATTGTTTTAGTTTAAGAGTTCAGATTTAAGCTTGCGGAATTGTGTGTTTGAAATAGTTGGATAACTTCCCAATTTGTGCATCCCTTCTTTAAAAACTCTGAAAACTATTGATTATGAAGAAAAAAGAATGGTCTGATATTTGGGGCCAGAGACAGTACTAATCTTCCAATAAATTGCTGCCTGTACTTTATGCTTTGGTCAATATTCCTTTATGCTGTGTCATGAGTCTATAAAAGCCAATTTGTATTAACTACCTTCATAAAAACGGTCTAGACTTTTAGATGATGTACCATTAAATGTCCTGTTACTCATAATGCTTGGACCTAAAAATATGTACCGGTATTTAGTATGGCCAAGGCAAGTCTGAAATAAATAAAAAAAAGTCAAAACTAGCTCTAGCACTTGAGATAACTCATGTCAAAAAGAAAATGAAATACAACAAACAAATGTTTTTGAAGGATTAAGGTAGTAGGTTGTCCTGGGGAGGGTGACCACTATAAACCCTTAATATTAGGCACTTTAGACTAGATTAAGGCTGCGGTCACAAGCAACACCTAAAGCCCAGTTAAAGTGGGCCAAGGCCGAGGTGCAGGAGAGGTGGGCCTGAACACGCTTCTAAAGCCCAGATGAGGGGGGGGTCAATGTGGCGGGTGGTGGGGTGTGGGGGATGAGGTCTGGTTGGGACGTGATATTGTGTGTCACATTACATTTTCCTGCTGAAACCATATTGGAATACATTTACAAAAGTCCCCAGTGTGCACATGATGGCCTCTATCACAGCTTCAGAACAGATTTTTGTCCTGAAGAACCAACCTTAAAGCGTCATAAAGTGATCTGTGTTTGCATTAATTAAAACAACGCACTAGGGAGAGTTCGTTTAGTCGGAGTCAGTATACACCCAGCTGCGAGCATGACCATGGACAGCCTAGAACCACATCTGTTCAGAAGCACTGCCTCCTGCCTGTTCTTCCTACACAAATCCACCAGTTCCTGTTTCTCAACACTGGTCGCTTGTGTCCAAAGCCTTCGTCCTAAATGTAGTAGTGTTGTGGTGTGTATTCTGTTACCAGGCTGGGGGGCAGAGAGCAGAATTTCCTGGACAAAGGGCATGGTCATGACGAGTCCTGGCATCCGGCTGGGACTCTGCCGCTCCTCGGCTTTAAAACTCCCTGCGGACGCACTCAGGTGGAAGAGGCGAGGCGTGAAGTTGTATTTCCCCGGATCTAACGACACACAGGCACAAACAGGCAGACGAAGAGAGCAGGGTTACATATGTGAGAGATTTGAATTGTGTCTATTTAAGAATCTGACTGACACAGTTCAATATAAAAATAAATAAAAATAAATTTACAAAGAACTTTTCATTCAGGTGATTTACAGTTCTAGAAATAGTCCCATAGTCTACTGGCAAACACAAGAAATAAGACAGAAAACACATTGATATTAGTCCAGAAGGGGCAGATGACCAATGTTCTGAATCGTCTACGCTGGGACACTATGAATTCCTGTTTTTTTAACCCCGCCCCTGGGACTACAGATGAAAATGAGCCTTTTTACAGTCCCAGCTGAATAAATAAATAAATACAAATACAATACAAATGTCCAAAAGTGTTTATAAATGTCAAAAAATAAGTTTTGAAAAAGTAGTATTTATTCATACACATTTTCTATAATAACCGATTGGTCTCTGAAATAGTTTCTAAAGGTGTACGATAAGTTGAAAACAGAAAAGTCCCGTCTCCATGGTTTTTACCTTGCAGCATGCAGTCGTAGGCCTTTCGGTCCATGTGTCCCAGTGCAGTCCAGAACTCTGCTGGTTCTGACCCCTCCTCCACCTTCTGCACCTTCAGGGGACTACTCCTGCTGAGCCCCAGTTCAGGAGGACACCTAAAACAAGACAACAAGGCATTTGAGGTTGTCAAATTTAGGCTATCTCCTTTTTAATGAATTAACATATTTCCATCAATGCTTTAAGTGAAGTATAATCATTGAAAATCAGTTCAAGGGCCTCTAAAAATGGTATTAGGCCTTGTGTTTGACACATGTGCTAATAATGTGCTATAAAAGATTAAAATAAAGAACACTGCTGTGGATTCAAAATGCTTTGATATAATTCATTATCATAAGCAGCATCTAAAGGCCCTCACTGACGAGCCCTGATCCCAGCTCTGGTGGAAAACACACTAATACTTATACTTAGGCTTTATCCGTGTTTGGGCACGTGCTGTCGGCTTTGGGAGACGAATGCCAGGGCTTTCTAGTTGGGAAAGCAATATAAGTCCATCATTTCTGTTGTATTAAATCTTTTCTAAGACATTGTGTAGTGGTCGTACAGTATAATCTTCACTAAAACACAAATATAAGATGTATGTTAAACTTTCACTACATTTCATCATGCTTCTATGGGAACAGCAGAGGTCTTACGTCTGAGTGAGCCGCTCCACTGTCCTCCTGCCAACCTCCTTGGTGCTGGCTTGAGCTTTGCAGCCAATCCATTGATACAGTGCCCCCTGCTGAGCGTTGAGGAGAACTACAGAACCTCTGGATCTGAGCCCAGCGCAGCAGCAGTCCACCTCCGACAGAGAGGCCTCCTCCGGCAGCTCCCCTCTCACAACAAACAGGCGCCAGTCTCCTAAAAACAGAAAATTTCATGGATACATCCCAGCGGGTTATAACAAACCATCGATGTTAACTTTTAACTTACAAAGGGGAATATTATTTTCATTAGTTTGGTCAAATGAGAAAACAGTGCACTTAAAAATTATATAAAAATATTAAAACATATGTTTGTAATAATCCATGCCTGAGTCCATATAAATGTACTCAATTTCCCCGTCTTTTGACAATTCATTATCACTTCTACTACTTCCCAACTGAGTGTTTATTCAATCAGAAAATAATGCCACAGTCTGCCTATTTTAGATATGTATATATCTCAGTGATTCTCAAAACTTTCATTTAGAGCTCTCAACAGGAGTGAAATCATCTCACACCACCTGCTGAATACAATTTTAACCGATAATGTGTTGAATCAAGATAAACACACTGTTTTATATTGGAGTCGTTTATGTCTTGATACATGGCTTTATTTTCAAAAGAACAATTGTGTTTTGTGACAACTATTTGATAGAATACAGTGAAAACTACACATTTATTAATTTATGTAGAACAATCCACTTTAATCTTGTTTCCGATATGTCTTCTTCTCTTCAACAGTGGCTCCATTATTTTAATAATTCTATTCCTGCCAAGACTTTTGTTTACATTACAGGCAGTAAAATAAGATCTGATGATTTACAGAACATTCTAAAATCTTCCTTAGCTCAGATATATTATAGATATAGTACAGTATAAAGTAAATACCTGTTCTGGAGACGGCTTCTTCTCGAGTTCCTTTGTGGATCACCAAACCTCCGCTAAAGAGCTGCAGAAAACGTGGAGGCTCTGATCCCTGAGGCACCACCACCTGAAAAACAAGTTAAATACTGATAATAAAAAAAGCTTCATATGAAAATGATAAAGCTGAAGGGGAGGACACCGATTGTAGTTTCTGCCAACAGGTTTTACATTTTTTGAAGTGCAACAGTTTCTAAACATTTACAGTATCACATGAAAATAAAAAATGGTTCAGAATTTCTTTGAGAGAATTCTTTGAAAGATGATCTAAGGGAGACCACAGCGACACAATTAAAGCTGGGGTATGTAACTTTTTTCGTCTATGGGTTTTGTTGTATATTTCTCCATTGTGAGGTCAACAAAGTCTTTCTCATCTTATCCTGTCCCAACAGAAAGAGTCTTTTAATAAACCCTACCACAGTCTGCTGCTTTACTCACACTAGAAAACATGTTTTCTTTTTCATACTTAAAAATGCAGTCAGTGAATTTTTTTCCAGACGCATTTTTTTTTAAATATATTGTTGGAAAACGTCCCTAAACCCTAAAAGTAGTCAAGTTATCATGGTTTTTAATAGAGTAATGGAATTGACCAGATGCCTACTTTATAGTCTACAAAAATTAATACAACATATTTTGGAGAGGACCGATAAAAATAAACAAATGGCATTCGTTCATCCCCAACGAACCAATGGGATGTGTTTACCCCCTTCACCCTCTTCCTGTTTCTTGCGAGTGCGCGCACCAGAGTTATCGGATTTTCCTTAAAGAGCTGAATAGAAAAAGCCAATTTCACGTTTGCCACCCACTCTCCCTGTTGTGACAAAGAAAAGAAAATGCTGGATGTTTGGTTTGGTGGAGAGGCGAGCAGAGGGGCAGTGGTTTCGAGTTGGTGCTACGGCTAAGCTAACAAAATCGTTTACTGCCCCTTTAAGAAAGATCCCTATGATTTCGTTCTGAGAGTTGATTGGCTGAGTGAGGATTGTCCTTCATTTACGGTAATACATATGAACACTAGTGATAAAACCGTTTTGAGAGCTAAGAACTAGTGACATGGATTTTATTACAGGGTTGATATTTTTGTGGTCTGAAGGTTGAGTACCCCAGCTTTAAGAATACTTTGATAATTTCAGTGAATAACTATGATGTCCTTCTGACCTGTGCCGCCTCCTGGTGTTTGGAGTCGATGGAGAGGAAAGCTGCAGTGTCTCGACCGCTGGCGTTGGAGTGACGACCACGCCACAAAAAGAAGGCAGTGTTTTCACTCAGGGCTGAGTCCAAACCATTAGTTTTATCTGTGGATTAGACAACAGAAGAATGATTATGTGTATTAGATGTGATGGCGGTTACGGTGATGCAGCAGGCACATGATTTTAAATATACAGTATAAGGACAGTGAAGATCCAGGACATTTAAGGACATTTATTGACACATTTTCATATTTATGGACATCAACCTGCTCCCTATAAACCAATAGCTCCTATTTGTTTGTTATGATTGCATTAACTGTGTTTGAACTGATCTGTTGTTGGCAAATTGTCAACTTTGTACTCAAGAGTCCTTCGAGACGACTGGTGTTCTTATTTAGGGATGTAAAAATAACATTTGCAACCCAATCCACAATAAACCTGCTGTAACTTTGCCTCTGTCCAGGGACTACAGATGAAAATGATCTTGTAGCTATGTCCGGTCTGAACAATACATTTATTGTGCAATGTCCCTGTCAAATAAATAAATACATTTTAAAAAGCACAATGCGTCTGATTTAATCACTCCATAGAATAGGTTATTTAAATAAAACCTTGATCAGTAATTTTTACCATCACTCTTTGTGATTTGGCACAAACGCAACTAGTGATGGGACAGGATCTTGTAGCTGCACATTTGGAGATGTCTTAGTCCCCAGTGATACTATGACACATAGTATAGACTATACAAAAGTAAAAGTAACTCATTATTTGCCAGGTCAAAATTGAAATTGAACTTTCCTTTTAAACAACACTGTCTTTGTTTGTGTCCAATGTATGAACTTTGCCCCAATATAATTCCTAGAAAAATCCCATGTTGTTTCATTCTTCTGGAGCCTGACGTTTCACCCAAGAGGATGGAGGAAAAAAGGTGTTTGCGTTATCATTCATAATCTCCAAAATATAGCTAGAATAAAACAATTAAATATATGTCTGGATTTTTAAACTTTCAAGCACAAATGTACATGTTTTTTTTGGCCTTAAATCCTCCTCCAGCCGTCAGCCCCTCACCAGAGCAGTTGAAGCTGTACGTCCAGCGGATCACGTAGGACTCCTTCTCGTGCAGCTGTCCCGTACTCTCCACAGGGACCTCAGTGTCGTCAAACTCCTGGACGAGCCACGTGTCCACAGCCAAAGTGCTCAGCTCCGTCTGCCGCCCGACGTCCAGAGAAATGGCCTGGTTACCTCCGGACACGTCCCCACCACTTAGAACACTGGGGGGCTCCCGCTCTGTGGACCGTCCCGAGACCAGGGCCTTGGCATCACACGGACTGAGGTCTGAGGGGCCGGGCTGAGGCTGCAGAGAGAAAATGTCATGATGTTTGATGAATGTAATCCTTTGTCAGTATTTAAATATATCTTATTCATCTATAAACACTGGTTTATTGAAAAAATATATACTGTACTTTTATAGACTTTTGTTTTTTTTAATCAAATTGAAGTATAGATTCTAAATTGGCGAGTGAGAGAATAAATTGCCTAGTTTTTTTTCTTTCATAAATAATATATGTTTGTATTAGACTACAATGGGCGGTCATAAAAACATGTTTGGCATAGTTGTAAGAAAAAGCCCTGTGAGTCACTATTTAACGGTTTGGGTTGAGTGAGGGAGGACCTCTCTTTTCCACTTCTCTGTCCAAAAAAGCTGATTTAAAGATGTGACAAAACAATACATACTTGTGATTAAACTAAATCTTAATCACAAGCAAGGAGATGGATTTTTTATTACAGAGTTGAATTGTTTGTGGTTTGAAAGTTAGGTACCCCAGATTTAACAACCCAGTAAACACTAATTGTCTCTGATGAAGAAAATACAATACCATGGGACATTCCAGGGAAAGCAAATATTTCTGTACACAGTATAGGGAAGAAGGTGGCCACTGAATAGTTAAGATTAAGCTTGTTTTCCTGGTAAAACATAAAGGTATTCTGGTTCTTCTATACCAGAGAATCGTAGGAAAAGTGAGGATGACGAAGGTATTTGTCAAAACATGTCAAGGTAATAACATTGCTAACCTACTATTGTCTGGTGTAGCAGAACCAAAATACCTTTACGTGGCTAGTGAATGCCTGAATATCAAAATTAGAATAGAATAGAATAGAATACATCTTTATTGTCTGTTCAAAATGAGCAGAGATTTGTCTTACAACACGGCACAATTAAAAATCATTCATTAACAACATTTAACATTAGTGCCGATAAACAATATAAAGATGATAATAATACATATTGTGTGTTTGTATTGTACCTGAGATTCTTGTGTCACTGCCTCAGAAGCACTAAAGGCTCCGCTCTTGGTCCAGTTCACAAACTTTTCCCTGAACAAAGCTGTTTCACTGTGTTGAGAGATGAGGCTGAAGAGGGCCCAGGCTGGACGTCCCTCTCCCGTCCTGACAATACAATGACATCAACATTAATCCTAAACTGTTATCAGGCAAAATACCTTTTTGAGATGAACAAAATGCATAGTATTGTTTTTACCATCGATCATTTATTTAAGTTGTCCAGGACACCTACTGTCAGTACTATTGCATACTGTTTGTGGCCCAAAACAGGTAATTCTCCTTGACTATTGTGAATGTAGAGTTACTCACGGTTTAACAGCGGGGTTGCTCTGTGTGGGGTCCAGAGGGTTGAGCTGACAGTTGCTGTAGTCGTACGGACCGCTCCAAACCTGCTGAGCCAACTGCAGCGCCACTGACCTCCTGCTGGGGGACACGTCCTGCCCGGTCCACAGGTACACCTCACCCCCGAAGTCCAGTACCAGAGCCTGAGGAAGACAATCAATGAAAAATAAGAAAATCAAAGAAATTGAGATGTTGAATTAGGTTAGCAATGAACAATAAAAAATTGATTAAAGCTGGGATTTTTTGTGTGTGTTCATAAATAATGGTTGCTATTATAGATGGTTCTCTTGAGGCAAAACAGCTTCACAGATCTGTTTCAAAAGATGTAAACTCACTTAGGTGACTCATTGACAAAGATTAACTTGTTGGGTGGTTTTACATCCACAAAAATGAAGCATATTTTTGAACAAGCCCTAAACTCAGTTGAGGTTAGTGTACCAGGGCTCCTACCTCAGTGGGTTCCAGAAGGGAGGCCGTGGGGGCGCAGGCCCAGGCCTCTTCATGAGGCACCAGTCGGTCCTCCACCAGACGATACACACAGTTGGACTCAGAGACTCCTCGCTCAAACTCCTCGTCCTCCTCTGGGGCGCTGGCTCCTGCACGATTCATACACGACTGTTCAAGGAAGATTACTCAATATTTTTATGTTTTTGTCATCTCTAATCCTACCGTTTCTACAGTTTTGCCATGTGGAAAAGGTAGGTAAATCCATTGATACATTTTTTGCATTTATTTTGTTTTGTTTTTTACTTTCTGGCTAATTATAACAAAGCTGATTATGGAAAATAATGTGAGGGCTCGGGCCTTACCCCTGTACTGTGTGCGTCCTCCCAGCAGGCTCCAGAAGTCTGAGGCCTCTGCACTGTCGGAGTTCAACCCCTCCTCCAGCTGCACCACACGGGTCGCCCTACAACCTAGGTCCCTCTGGCTCTGGACCAGGACGGACAGCTCACGGGCCTGTCCCAGAGAGACCACATGTGAGACCAGGAAGGTGCGGCCTGTTTGTGCCTTATGCTGGAGAGGCTGATCTATTCTGGGTTATTCGCTTTTACACTTTAAAGAACTTTTCCATAGTTAATAAGTACATATGTCATCCAAGGACTTTCTCAGATTCTCAGAGTGTAAAGAACTGGTGGTGGTGAGGAAAGGGAACGAGAATTTAAGATAATATACGTAAACCAAAAAAATTAATCTTGATGGTAGAATCTAGAACAATAATGTTTTGTTGTACATAGTATTGTATGTCTTCTTTTATTCAGCTATAACTTGTTAATAGGACATTTTTACCACACTCTTGGAACCATATTCAGCTTGTTCTTGTAAAATGTTCATTATCATAAAAACTAAACACAGTATAAATGTAAACTTTATTTGTCATTTGAATATTCTCTTTAGGTCATTATCAGTATACTTTCACCTTGGCTTTCTCTTGCTCGTTGGCAAACTCTCCGCTCCACACAATGCAGTGCTCCGGAGTCACCAGCAGGTAGCAGTCTCCGCTGTTGAGAGACCTCACCGATGGCTCCACGAGTCTGACTTGGACATGCCGCCTTCCTGTGTCCAGAGTTACACGATTAAACAAAAAAAATTTCCACAGAAATAAACATTTAAATATGTTCTGACCTTTGATGTGGACGAGCATTAGGTTTTTGTTGGTCTCACGGGACGCGCCAGAGACATTTCCACAATTAGATGCCTTTGAAAGACTCGAGGAGCAGTTTTTAGATTCTGAAAAACATGTTTTGATTTTGAAAAAGAAAACAACTTTATAATGCATATAATAAATGTTGTCTTTGGGCACACAATTTAGATGGAATATACTGTTGGACTTGAGTTATATCTGGTTAATAATCCTGTAGATATAAGTCCATAAGTGTCAAGCAAGTGTTCATGTCATTGGCTTAAAATAGGAGTCTGAAACTATGACACGGGGACCAATTTTCTGCTATGGGAATAAGGCTTTTTATTTGAATAAAACAAATCTTGTTAAACTGAATTTCCTTTTTTTTACAGGATAATTTTTTTATTATTATGAATCAAAGAGCTGAGTATATTATAGCCCTTTAACTTCAATATCTGCTCTGATTACTTGCTGAGGCTAATGTATTTATTTTGCAATGTTGTTTTTTATTGAAAATCTGTGAGCTAGTCTTGAACTGTGATTCTATTCAAATGAGGTTATTAAACATAATTCCATTGGCAGATATGACTAATCTAAACTTTGAAAACGTAAATGATCAATAATGGTTCAGCAGCAGTTCTGTGCATGTTTCCATATATTGGTGAAGAAGAACTGTGACCCACTCTGCTGAGCCTGCAGTCTCTCATCGGCTGAGTCTCCCATGAAGTCGTCCTGGAGGTCTGCTCTGGCGGCCAGAGCGCGGAGCGGGTTTCTGGAGCCCTGAGTGCGTCTGGACGGGCGGACGGAGCGCCGGTGCTCTGCTACCGCTGACGTCAAGCTGCACAGAAGGGAAGGAACTTTAATGTGCCTGTAGGGAAGCAAACAATATGAGAACACCTGTCGAGCTGAAAGGAGCCGAGGCAAACCACAACACTTACCAACTGAGCAAAAGTGAGTATGAGACTAAAGACTACGTTTAAAACTGTACAACTAGCTCCTGGCTTTCACAACATTTTGGTGCATCACTGATACATGAACAGGCATGGTTTTTTTGGTTTCCATCACAGTTCCTGAATTTTAAGGGATAACCACCCTTGCTCAGCAAATAGCTCTTAGCCCAAAGGGTCATTTAGTGATCCACAGGGCTCTTTCTTACAAGTTTGCAATAGTTCAACTGTTTTTGTAGATTAAGACAGCATTACTATTTGAAATGCAAAAACACAAAATATGCACTTTTTGTGTCTAAAAGCACCTACTGTTCTGCATGAGATAATTTATACAAACAAAAGTAAATATATTCAATGTCTTTTTTTAACAGGTTTTTCATTCATTGTATTGATATTTTCAACAGTTTTATTTTTAAATATAGTTATCTTATGTATTTTTGGTATAGTTTCTACACAAAAAGAAAAACAAAGTTTTGTTTCTGTGCTGTACTTTGGGAACTGTTTGTTTATAAAACTTGCTTTAAAAAATAAAGTTTTGGATTGGCGTCACACAAATATTTCACTTGATGACTTGAGATATTCTGATAACTTCTGACTTGGGTTTAGACACAGGACTGAACTAGGATGGGATTGAAATGATTGATCTTCCTGTCTGAACTTTCGCTATAGCTTGATTTTTTACTAAAGTATCTAAACCATGTCTAAACCACGTCTAAACCACGTCTAAACCACGTCTAAACCAGTGTCTGACAAGACAACACAAAAAGCACAGAAGATTTCCCATAAACATGAAATAAGAAGCACATTGAGTCTTACATGTTGGTGTTGGTCTGGCAGAAGACGTCCTGTGATTCTGCGGCTGAGGCGTCTCTTGGAGGCGGTACACAGGGGGCGAGGGAAGACAAGTCGCCATGGAAACCTCCATCAGACGGGTGCGGTTCACAGGCTCTCGGCACATCCTTCACCTCTGCACTGACGGCTGTGTCATCGGGTAAACACGCTTCAAACTCTAAATCTAAATCTGAATAAGTGCAGAAAAGGACGAACCGTTTTAGTTGTTACACATTTATAAAAATGTTAACAATTATTTGTTGCCCAAAGTTGAAGAGTTTCATCAAATTGGTTGTTGTAGAAGTGGCAGCTATAATTGTGAGCAGGTAAGACTTGGCATTTCCACACTATGGACCAAGTGTGTCCAGTTTGTGAGAGCACTACATAAAACTATTTTTATTATTTTCTACTATTATTATGTGTATAGAAATTCACCGTTTTTGTCCCTTTGCTCATCCACCGGAGACTCCGCCCCTCTCTTCTGTTCCTGTGCGTGAGTTTCTGCTCCACTGGACTCATCATCGTTCTCCTAAAAATACAACAGAGATATTCACTGCTTAACCTTTGCAGACCGAAATAATACAGACACTCATTATAGTTGTATTATTTGCAGTACCTTCTTTCTCCACAGGGGCAGAGCAGAGTTTGGTGCTGGTGATGCCACTTCTTGGGCTTCAAATGACTGGCTTGTCTGATGATGGAAAAATATATTCATATATATGTTACATTATCGTGAAATTCAAACATTTTGATATAAGAATTGAGCACCAAATCATGGTATTCACTGTGCAAAGAAAATACTGTTTTTTTTCTCATGTTACATTCATTTACTAGGGAATATTGTGACAGAAAATGCACAAGACTGAATATCAATATGTCTGAATTTTTATTGTGTATTTTTATTTATAGTAAAATTCATAATTGTGTTCAAGAGGGAGGAGATTATCCAACACATTGGTCAAGCCATTATCGTATGGACCAATCGATGACGGTTTAATTTATTGATTTGATTTTATAATCTACTGCAGCCACATTGTCAATTCTGGGCTGTACAACAATTTCACTTGATTTGAAGGTGAGAAAAACTCTGCTACATATTCTATTATAACTTTATTTATTTTTTAAATGTAAATTATTTTTGTGTTATAAAATATGTTCATAAAAAGTACACTGAAAAACTGGTACTTCCTCTCCATCTGGGAGAATGTAAAAATACTTTTATATACTCATATCAGAATAACTTGTTTTTTACTAATCAGAAATCTATATGAATCTTCATCTTTATTAATATATACATTTGTACATTTTAAATCTGTCTTATTTATTTAGTGAACCTCAATAAGAAAGCCAAAATTCCGTCCATAAAAGACAATTATACATAATATATATGTGCCTGACCATCATACAATATTACAATCAATGCGCAGTGAATACAAAACACACTGTACTCTCGTCGTTAATGCAATGGAGCGATGAGTTTAGCAGAGGAGAGAAATGTAATAAGCTTTGATGCATGACTTTGAATAGAAAAGAAAAACTCACACAAAACACACTTCTTATAAATGTGCATCAAACATATCCACTGCACAAAATAGGCCCGTAGCAAAAGCCGTGCAGTTACCTGGTTGAAACACATTATGTACTGAGGCCTACTGCTAGAGAACACAGAGGCAAAGACGGGGCCCTGGGAGAGAGAGAAGAGGGGGTGGGGGCTAAAGCGTGATGTGATATTGTATGATATGAATCGGAAAACCGTGCAATGTCATGTTTTTACAGCTAAACTTACCCAGGACTGAGGGCCGTCACCGCTACCGTCCTGTGCGATGTCTGAGTCGTCCTGTAGAGGGCAGCAAAGGGAGTGTTTACGTAAAGTGCTCCTGCCATAGATCTACTGGATCCTACTTGTTAAAAAGGGAATCACTTTTAACTAATCAACAGCAGCTGATTCTTTTGGGAAAATATGAGAAGAGTGGTAGGATGTAGTGTGACATAAATTATTAAATAATGTAAAGAAAGCAGTAATAAATGGTATGACTAAAACATAAAAGTGGAGAGATCAGAAATAGCTACAAGCTCATTTCTATCTTTAGTTCCTGGGCAGATGCAAAGTGTTTGTTTTTTTTATTAGATGGACTTCAAAGGATTTCCTGGTATCAATCGTCCCGCTCCCTAGAGGTGCACTATTCCAGGACTCAGGCTCCTGCGGCTCCTGACTGTGAATTCACCAATCCAGACTTATACTTCTTTGTGACAGCCCAGCAGCCCCTAAATACACTGAATTAAATATACTCTGTAAGGGCTCTCTGTCTGTGTCTGCTTGGGCCCATACAGGAAGCTCTTTCCCCTTCTTGCCGTATGATGGTGGTTCACAGGCAGACAGAGAGCCTCTCAGAGATCCAGTGTACATAAGGGAAAACAGTATGCAAACGATAACATGTTCCGTGGCTTAGCTACGTTAGCTTTAATAATTTAGCTTTAAAAAGAAGGAGAGCTATTGCTTTTCATAATTTCATATAAACAATCTTTTCCTCTGAAAAACCGAAACCGAAATCTTTACTACAGAAACAGCTGCACGCCAAATTCTTTCCAAAACATAATCATTGCTTTTGTCTTTGCCAAATTTTTGCAAACTAAAACTAGATTAAGAGTAAATTATATCTGGGGTACATAACTTTCCAAACACAAAAATAGATCTATAGTAGTTCCTGCCTCTAAGACAGTTTGGTTCTATCTCTAATTTTCATATGCATGTGTTGTTGGCCTCTGTTAGCTTTGGATCAGCTTTTTCAGAAAGAAAAGTGAAAAAGAGAGGAGCACCCTCACTCAGCTCTCACCCCAAAGCCTCAGATAGTGACTCACAGGGCTCATTCTAACACCGACGGAAAAGTGTATCATGTGTTCTAATAAGTTGGGACAAAACAACATGCAATATTTATGAAAAATAAAGTTAGGTACCCTAGTATCAAATTTAACAAATACTAAAACTAAGACAAAATAAATCAGAAATGGTACTAGGAAAACACCCATTCATACAGACTTGATATATTCCTCATCTAATCCAGTGATATCCAGTAATATCTACATACACAGCTCACACGTGCCGTCACCATGATGCATCTTACCCCAAAGGCCATGAGGGGGTCACATTTTTACCGCCTGAATAATCAGTTTGTTTACATTCCGCGACCCGTATCCACGCACATAAACACAGAGTAACATAAGGCTGATCTCCGGACATTTAGCACATACCAAAAGTAGAGTGCAGTCGCTAAGGGAGACTATATCTGGTTTCACTGGAGCAGCCGAAGTCCCGAACTAACCACAGGCATCTATTCACTCAAGCTAGAATCTTATACTAACACTTACACATGCTTAGTTTATTTCAATGTATTTAAGTGACGCACAGGGATGGTCTGAGACATGTTCTTTGAGTAATTCCTCATTTACCTGGACGACGAGACTGTTGGTATAGTCGTTACTTCGAAATTAGACCCAGAAAAGTCATGTTTTGGACCTATTTTTAATGTCACAAAATATTTAAGTTGAGAACCACTATTTCAAAAGAATAGAAAACAGTTTTGTTTGGCAATATATGGCATTACACAACCACCAACCAATTCTAAATCTCCCAAAAATGGTCAGAACGATGAAATCTCTGGATGGCTGTGCACACTTTCTCGCAAAACTGTACATACGTTTCAGATCAGTGATTGCGAAGGTACATTTTTGTGTCTTTAGTTAGGATCCGCAGTGAAAGGAACAGTGATCATGTGAGAAAGAAAAAGTCACTCATGAGATGAAATACATGTGGTGTGTTTTCTTACCTTAGCTCTGCGGCCGTTTGTGATTGGTTTTGGTTCAGTGCTGCTGTCATGTAGCGACACTCGTGCTGTCAAAGCTGCTTCTCTTTGTCTTATACTCAGACCACCGCTCTCAAGGCCATTGCTTCTGAAGACAAAAATACAATAGACAAAAACACTAACATATTGACCTCACTTATATTAGACCAGTCAAACTTAAGACACTTCAATGGATTAAATATAAACATTAAACCTATTTCTTTTAACTATGAGTTATGCTAGGCTAAACAGCATTTTGTGTGTGAAGTAAAATCTTAATGTTAATTGCGTAAGTATGTCATGTTCAGGAACCTAACGTAAAATATTTTGTGAAAAACAAGAAACACAATTACTTCTGGGTCCTCATGGTTTTAAGTCATTACAAAACTTGAGGCAATTTAATATCGATCATAGCTTTTTGCAACATTGATTTGATTTGAACTGTCTTGGTCTTAGAGTGTATTAATTTGTATTTTCATATCCCCAGGTATGAAATATCCCGGACGATCCTAGAGAAGGCAGATAAAATCATGGCCTGCACATCAATAGTGGACCACATCAAATCAGTTGCATAGTACACCTTCCATGAACATTTTAAGGAACAGGAAAGAACTTGTAAATTATTCTTATGAAAATGATTCTTAGCGAACTGGCTGCTACCTTATTGTTGTTGTCGATTTGCAGATCAGAGAATCAACAGTTCAAACACAGGGAAATGCATGAAAAACACATAGAGCCATTGGTCCATAAGGGGCCGATGACCAAGGTCCATAAATGTTAAGATATGATCATAAATGTCCTTGAATGTGGTGGTCATGATATTTACTCACAGCACTGGCAATGCGCTGAGCCTCTCGGCCCCCGCGTCCGTTTCGGGTCTCAGCGACGTACAGGCGATGGTTTCCCTGCGGCCCCGCGCCCTCTGTCGCCATGGCGCTCTACCTGGAGTTGCCCCGTCCACATTTGCCCTTTGCTGCGCTGATGTCACTTCCTGTCTCTCCTCCTTCCTTCTGAAAGTGTCCCTTTCACCGCCATTTTGCTCAGGTAAAACGGCCGTGTCGGTCTGGGCCCATTCGGAGCCTCCAGAGCCACTTTTCTTCAGGATGCTACGTAAACCCAGTTCAGAGTCAGTATGGGGCAGATGTGGGTTCGATTGGGGAGAAAAGTACTCAGCACTTGGGTCCAGTTTGGGATGTGAGCGGCGGACCTCGCTGGGCTTCAGGTTGTTGGACAAAGCCTGCTGTCTCTCAGAGAGGTGAGGAGCCAGCGAGAAAGCAGGCAGCTGCACTGGGCCTTTCTGGAGCTACAAGTATAAATGAGTAAATCAAAAAAAAAAAACATACATTAAAAACAAAACACATAAAGATTTCTAACCATCTTCTTCGATTTCTTATCTAATTTAATATATAGAATTTACAGTAGTCCAATCTTTGGGCCACTTTTATCACATCACAACTATCCAGTTTAAAACAAATTTTCCCAACTTTCAGAAACAAGAGCTATAGCTACATTAGCATTGCACTTCCTGTTTCTCTGACATTCAAATGCTTTATGCAAAGAACGCTGTGAGTAATCCTTTCACGACATAAAGAGCTGCTTATACAACACGGGGAAAGTGGCAAGACAAGATTTGGTAAAATACACGGAAATGGTTACTGGTACAAGACACTTACTAATCAATCAACTTGATTAGAGAGTGGCCTGTCCAATGCACTAAACATGTATTCACTTAAATTGCATATGTTTGGTAATCATGTATGTAAAATCTTGCAATAACAGAATGTGCTGTGTTTCTGAACCATGTCTTCAAGAACCTTTTTCAGTATCACGCATGCAGGAAAGTTCCACAAAAATAAAATACTACTTCAGAACATTCAACTCAAAGGAAAAATAAAAAAAAAAAAGATTAAAAAAAGTACTAGTTAGATTTGCACCACGGCTTCAACATTCAAAGTGGAAAGAATGTTATCTTTGTCTATTTTACTGTCAAAACAGTAAAAAAGACAGCACTGAGGCTTTTTGGTCCTGAATGACATTAGTAAACTATTTATGTGACTGGTCTGTGCACACTATAGAGGGACAGCAGCCTCTCATGTCAGTATTGTGTTTGTGAGGCTCACCAGGCCGACCTCCTCCACAGTGATGGGCTGGGTGCGGTAGCGAGCCCCCTTCTGTCTGCGTCTGTCTGGGGCTGATTCTGTTGGACCTCCCGCCATCCGCTCGGGCAGAGACAGCTTGTTGAAGAGAGCCAGTTTCTCACTCATGCTCATTTTACAGCTCTCATCCTCCACCAGCTCTGGGTCTGTGCACTCAGGCTCTACTGCTGCTGCTGCTGCTGCTGAGGCTGGAGCCGGGGCTGGAGCCGGGGCTGGGACTGGGGCGGCTTTGGGGATACTAAAAACATGACATCATATTGGAATGGTGCAATTTATCAATAAGAATTCTACAAATCTGTCTGAAGTCAGACATGTCATTCTCATCTAGCATAGTAGATGCTAAACAAGGGTTTAGCTTCAGATGTAATTCTAAATGTGCAAGAACAGATGACAAGAGTCCTGGACAGCTACTGCTTTGAGAAAATATATGGCAGTTATTTGTTTAACCGGGAAAGTCCCAGAAATAATTCTGAATATTTCATTTCCTGGAGTCCTGGCCCCAGACACAGAGAGCGTGTTTCTATCATTTTGACATCTTTTGGTGTCATACAGTATAAACAGCTTGAAACACGTACCTTATGGCCCCCATCTCCTCACAGGTGATGGGCTGCGTCATGAAGCGGTGGTCTTGGCTCCTCCGTGCCCGGCGTTCGTGACTCACGCTCCCAGAACGAGGCTTCAGGAAGGAGGAGGCAGGGGCAGACTTCTCTAGCTCCTGCACAAAATGACAACTGTTTAATCAAGATACATTACTCACAAAGTTTTAACCCTGTTGAGGAGTTATAAGAAATGTCATAGCACATATAGCTTTGCAAAGAGATATACCCTTAAACTACAATGTAATATTGAAACTGACACAACAAAAATAACTTGTAAAAGGATGAGAATATCAGAAAGGAATCAGCATCATTATAAAGCCCAGGTTGAAAACAAGACCAAGAATGAGCCATAGAGGTGAATTGAATAAACTATAAATTTACGGTATAGCAAGGTATAGCAGGAATATATAATCATTCATTTGATGGGCCTAAAGTTCACCCATTCAACGTTATTTTAAGAGTAATTTATGCATCTTTGAGTCACTTGTTTCTCCTATATTCATGCGCCTATTGCTCTGATGATCTCAGACACCTATCGCCTTACTTTGGCTTATCTGTTTCTCTCATTTGTTTTTTTTAGATCAATTGGGAAATATGAGTGATTAACCGTAAATACAAAATGTGCATGTTGGATGTCATCCATATGAGCGTTACAAGTTTGAGATTTTTTACCGATGATGTGTTTGTATTATGCATGGTTGGAGATATTGTGTTTAGTTGAATGTGAAGCAGACCACAAACAGCCAGTGAAACTCTCCTCATGTCTCCTGTTTGTAAAGGTGAGGTGGGTGTGGAGTCAGCTGGTGGACGCGGATAGCGCAGCAGTCCGATGGGTCTCAGTGTAACCGGATCCGCCCTTCTTTAGTTACTGTCCCTGCAGACTACTGTCTAATTATAACGCAGCTGCTATGCTTGTTAATGGCAATCCTCTGTCTGGCAAATTTTCACCTGACGATTTAAGACGCAAGGTGGAAGTAAGTAAAGTATTTCACGCAAATAAACATGAAAAATATACTGTGAATGGAGTTCATGCTACAGACAAAATAATGAATTAAAGCTGGGGTGGCTAATTTTAAAACTACAAAAAATAACAGAAGTCCAATATACAGTAGCTAGTTCTTGGCTCTAAAACAACTTGGTTCTTTCATTAGTTTTCACCATAGACTGTTTAAATTAACGAACGTAGTCACGCCTATCTCCGGCGTTCTAACTAATTGGCCAAAAATTGGGCTTTCATGGAGTGATTCAAAATGGCCGGCTAGAAAATATGAAAAAACGCATCTGCGCATGCGTCAGCCGGCACGAACTCCATTCATTTAAACGAGTGACTTCAAAAATTCACAGCGACTAAACTAGACTGGTCCAAAAAAATTCACCCCCCTCAGCATTGACACACATGTGGAACAGAGCTTTGGGCCAAGAGCCAACTTTTGGTCCATACTGTAAAGACGTTTTCGAGAAGTAAGAAGATGCTATATGTTAGCATTGGCTAATTCTTATTCCGGGTCCACCCCCATCGGCCCGGGGTGGTATTGCAAGCATGTCAGCGCACGTCATTTTGGCCACTTTTGAGCCGCAACCCGCCCCCACTGGTTTTCACATATGCTGGGAAACAGCTTTTTCAGTCTCTTTCTAGTATGCAAAAGTTATCATGTTTTTGAAAAGATGAAGAGAGCATGTTGGGGTCTGACTTTTTCACATTTTACTTTTACAATGAGTGAGACATGCAAAACGTAATATTTCTGAAACAAAAAAGTTGGGTACCCCAGCTTTAATCAAGTCAGAAACTGTAAATATACGCAGAAATTATACAGCTAAATTACGCTGGAATTACCTCAACATTGGCAAAGGCTAAAAGGGACATCCAATACTGGGTGTTTTAATTTTCCACAGACCTTAAAACCAGTTGCTATTGTTAATCAAAAGCTAAAGTCTAAGGATAGCCTCTCTTTTAATACATTCAGACAGCATCAAAATAAGCTGCAGATCCACCTGTTTGCTCATTCATTTTCAACATGAGCTTGCTCTAGGTTTAGTCTCAGAGCACCTCCCTATGAACCCACGATTACTAATGTGTGTGTGTGTGTGTGTGTGTGTGTGTGTGTGTGTGTGTGTGTGTGTGTGTGTGTGTCTGTCTATTTCTTCCACCCTTTCTAATTATTCTGACTGGTTAATATTTAAAAATACAAAAAAACGAGAAAACACTGCTTGAAAAACCTAAAACCTGAGTGTGATATAGTCGTTTTAATGTTTATGGAATGTTAGAAGCAGCAACGTTGAATTTACAAAATAAGAAGAAGGGAAGAAAGTTGTTCAGATTTTCTTTCCTCTTGACTTTTTAGTGTCTCTATGTGTTTGTTGCAGAGTCTTAGCATAGTGTCTGATATGTGCTGTATGTGTGTATGTATTTTCCGCATTGAAACCCATTGGTCCAAACTTCAACTGCAATCTATTAATTAAACTTAGATGATTATAGTGTAATTAACCACAGAGTTGGTATAAAGCAAAGAAAGAGTGGAGAGAGAGGCGTGGGTGCATGGACTTGACATGGAGAGATAATTTTTAGACACAAGCATTCGGTCACCAGCTCTCTACAGTGAAAAATAGCAGGTCACGAAGCGTAATAAAGATCCAGTTTCAGTCCTGGAGCTCACCTTGAACAAAGACATCTTCGCCGCCACACTCATCTTGGCTCTGTCGTCTGTTTTAACATCACCTGAAGAGACAATATTATTGCTATTACACTCTGTATTAGCAAGATGAGCATTAGCATTTGCATCAGCAGCCCTCTCCACAAACCAAACATTGCATTTAAAACATATAAAAAAATGTGTGCAAAGACTTTTTAACCAAATTCGAACGCTGGCAACATATAAAATGCTGTGTTAAATATGAAATAAACTGTTCAGTATTCCTTACTAGAAATCCTCAAACATTCCTCTGTAACAACAGTGCATGTTCTGTGTTTAATATTTTTGAATTATAGCAACAAATGTTTATTTTTCTCATCTTGATCGACAATTTGTGCAAAAGAAACAACTGCGGTTTAAATGGCCAGTGTGTCATAACACAGAAGCCTATATGTCCAGACAATGATGACTATGTATTTGTAATTGTGTATTAATTTCCACCTGTAGTCCCACAGTCATCCCACACCTATTGTACCTATGATAGTAGGATGTTAAGTTTAGGCACATAAATAAACATGTTTGATCACAAGGACAGCCGGTGCTACATGTTGAGGAGCTGTAGGTAAAATTACAATAAAATATATGAATAAAATGTTTAACAACATGTAGCCAAAAGTGTGAAATTACCTGCATGTATGTATGAAATATTACAAATGTACTGTAGATATAATGTCAACATGCCTTGTCAAACCAACTCATGATCAGAATGCGTCAGTCATAAAATACTCCTCTTAGTACAAATTTGTGATGTTAAAAAAAAGGCAATTCACCTTTCGAGTCTTCCTCTTCCACTTCATCCAGGACACTGTAAAACAATGAATACAGAATTAATTCAACAGTTTCATAATAGTAATATGATGATCATTCAGCAGCTGTGTGCTCCCTCTGTGCCGCCGGCTTCAGCAGTGGGAGTAATGGTGAGGAAAGTATATGGAAACAATGCCACGCCTTTGTGTAAGTATGTTAGTACAAATCACGGAAGTCAGTCGGGCTGCAAAATAAGAGAGACTAAATATCTAAAGACTGAGAATGAATAAGAGTTAAATTAATGATGTATTGAACCAGTTTGGTATTTCATTTGTTGCTGTCCAATAACAAAATGACACCAGAAATTATGTTATGTTACCGGAAAAAATTATGTTCTAAGTAGTAAGCACAATGCCCCACTCATGATACAAAAGGTCATGCGGGTATATAAGATTTTGATAGAAAATAAAATACCAGCTAGTCAAAAGATAAAATGCTTTTTGAGGAAGATCAATTTGAACAGAATTCTAGCCGTTTCGTCTATTTCAGCACAATTGAGAATAACTTTCAGGTCATTTTATCAGTGTCGTACAATTTCTATTATTATAATTTGGTACTATATGCCAAATAGTTGTACCATTTGTCTGATATATGAGCAAAGAAGGTTAGAGATTTGATAATTGTAGCCAATTCCTAAACATTTAATTTTGCAGCTCTCCTGTAAAAGGTTAGTATCAAACTTCAAATTGAAAAGCCCATTCATATGTTTTTCAAGAAGTTGGTTAGATTTCACGACAAATTGAGTAATGTAATCCACAGCGAACAATCAAATATTCTCTTTGTCCACAGCACTCGGGGCGTACCCACTGCTCTGCTCCCTCTCGGTGGCTGTGATTGGCTGCGTTCTGAATCGGTCGCTGGTTTTTCGGGAGGACACGGTCGACCCGGAAGGGAGGTACCGCCGTGTGCGCCTCCGAGCCTCTGAACCCGGGCGCAGGGCCAGGTCCAGGGAGGCCGAGGCCGCGTCAGGAGCACTGCTGCATCATGGGAAATACACTGTGAATGATGTGAGCGAGGATACTTACAGTGCACTACATATCAGAACCCGTAACATGTGATAGATTGATTTCACATGAAGACAACTTTGGCTGCATCCAAATTCAGCAAAATGACCTCCTTACTCACCCTTCCCTGTCCTTCTTTGTGACTTAAAATGTACTTTTTTTGATGAGGAAAGTTCCAGAATTGGTAAATTTAATGCCTATTTAAGATGTTTTAAATACTGCTTTAATCAAATTATACACCACAAAGGTCAATAATACGCAAATATACAGGTACTTTTTCATTATAAAGAGCAAGTGGATTTTTTTTACAAATCCCAGCTAAGGAACATCCCTCACAAAATTGCATGGTTTTACTTGAAAAATATATTCTGGGTCATTCGATGGTGGCTCTAATAAATGAATCAACAACTAAAAATAAGCACGGATCACTGAATGAGGTATTCATCTCCTTTCCTATTCATCTGTAGCCTATGGGACTACAGATAGAAACTAGCTAAGAGCACTATCTTACCCTTTACCTCAAGCTCAACCCAAAAGGACAGCAACATTATCGTCCATTTCGTTTTTTTGACAATGCTTGCTTTGAATTTTCTACACAATCTGTCCCGAAATTCAATCCAGACAGAGTTGTTCTCACGTGTAAATTGTATTGTAATTGTTTGAAATGTATTTATCTGTAAAAGCCCCCTGTGGACTAGTGTTGAAAACTACAGCAATGCATCTGGTTTGTAAAATGTTATTTTTATGTCCATATCAAATTAAAAAAAGTGACTGTGCAGCTGTTTCTTCTCACTATAAATGATCCCTACATTGCTCTTATTTATCAAACTGCCACGGCTGACCATGAAGGTGCCATAGTGAATGCAGTGTAAGTGTTCCACAGGAGGGAGGGTGGGCGTACGTTTGGTCACTCGGGGTCCCACGCTGCTGCAGGAGAGCACTTCTCAGCTGACCCACTGACACCCGAGTGTGGAGCTGAGGCCCGTCCACCTCCCCCTCTACACCGTCCTGGGGCCCGGGCCTGGAGGGTGCGAGGCGGAGGGTGAGGACAGGAACACGGCAGTGACATAAAATAAAGGCTAATTATAGTTTAATTGTTGTAACTTTTCTGGCAGAGGGCAGTTAAAGGTTAAGGCAGATTTATGTATGGGTGTTTTCACTACTTTGACCTGAACAGAGACTTCACTAAACAACCAAACTCAGTTCATAATTTCTCCCAAAGCAGCAAGATCAAGTTTACTTTGAGTTTTTGACTTTTAAAACGTTTGCACTCCGAGTCGGTCTTAGCCTTTCTTCCAGCCAATTTTACAAGCTATAATTATTAAAGCTTACTACAAAGAAAATGGAACGGGAACAATGGAAACCTTGGTATAACAGTAAAGCCTAAAAAATAGTAGCATTCAAGTGTGAGTTTGACCCCTCGGGCACTTGAAAATCAACACTGTCCAGGGGATACACGGGGCAAAAAGGTTGGGAACCACTGGTGTTTTTGAAGCCTCTGGGCACTGTTGTTATTTACCCTCAACATTTGCAACAACAAAAAAGACAAATGATTAAATGACAATAAATAGTTTAGTAAAATATGTGTATGGGACTGGATGTGCACCATTATCAAGCATTTATCTATAAAGCATAAAGTGGGAATGTGATATGGTGAGGATGCTAATGCTGGATCAGGGGTTAAGTAACAAGTCCATGCCGATGAAGCAGAGACAGTGCAGACTGGATTTACAACCTGCTGTAGACCGATTTAGAACAGTCATATTTAGTTAGAAACAAAGGCCAAGCATTTGTTTAAAGAGAGACAGACGTGGATATGTTGATATATGTATTCTGGATCATAGACTGTATATAGATTGACATCGCTAACCCTCTACCGCAAAGAAGACCAATAGGGAAGGACAAATGGACAATGTTTTGCTCCCATTCACTCTGGTTGACCTATGTTGAAAATTAAACTCTTAGCTTAGTACCTGTTTGTGCCACATTCATCATTTTAAGCTTTGCAAATCCATGGTTTATCACTTTCTGCGATCCTGGTGTTTATATAGTGATATTGTCTTTGTAAATCCAGATATAAGCCCTAACTACTGACCAATCAAGTACAAGTGGGGACAAACTGGCCGCTCCTGATTGGCTTTCTGTAACTCGTTGCCATACCTACAAAATTTGAACACATTTTGCTCCACATTCCCATTCAAATAACCGGTTTGAGCTATCTCTAATTGGCCTCTTTCACATTAAGGCTAATACTATGGATAATGTCAGCACTCTGCCAGTCCACTTGTAAGATACAGTCTATGTTGTGGATACTGTCAAAGCTTCAGCTAATATGAAAAATAAACAAAAGTCAGTTAGGGTTACTGGATTGCTTTGTCTGAAAGTTGTAATGTGCTTTGCAGGCTTGTAGCAGTCTGTGCCATCAGCCCCTCTGACCGTCACAACATTAATACTATACTTGTGCATTTTTGGGTAATACTAGGGGAAACTGGAGCACCTCGAGAAAACCCAACCAGACATGGCGAGAAACATGCAAACCTTTATTACCGTAATATTTTTTTGCAGTGAATAAAACTAGAAATGTATTGTATTTGTATTGTATTGTAATGTATTGGGCGGCACGGTGGCTGAGTGGATAGCACTCTCGCCTCTCAGCAAGAAGGTCCTGGGTTCGAATCCCGGTCGGACCAGGGCCTTTCTGAGTGGAGTTTGCATGTTCTCCCCGTGTCTGCGTAGGTTTCCTCCGGGTACTCCGGTTTCCCCTACCACTAAAAATATGTCCAATAGTTCTGGCATGCGCTTCCTGTACTGGCGACCCCTGCTCCCATCTCTGTGTGGAGTGAGAGACAAATGCCCAAAAATTAACAATTGTAAACCGCTTTGAGACTCAGATCTGCAGTGAAAAGGCGGTATATAAATAAAAACTTACTTACTACTTACTTACTGTATTAGAGATAATGACACTACTTGATAATGTTGTATTATGTTTCAAACCTATAGAAGTACTGACCTTCTGTGGTGGCTGAGCTCGTCTGCTTCGAGTCCGTTTGCTCTCGTCCTGCTGTGAAGTCTGTTCGTTAGCGCTGGTTCACTTTCTGAGGTCACCATCCCCCTGTGCCTGCCCTGCTCGCCCTGGCCCTCTCTGGCCTCGGTCCTGGTCCACTTCACCGGCAGTTCCTCTACCACTCCGAAGCGCTCCGCCAGCTCCCGTCGCCGCTCTGCCTTGTACCGGGCGATGCGCTCTGCTCGTGGCTCCAGCACCGGGTTCTCCATGGCTTTATCCAGTTTCCAGACTACTTCCACAGCATTTAGAACGAGGGGAATTATACAGAGTCAGAAAGGGGAAATCCTGCTTTGGATCCCATAGGAGCAAGAGTCTTTAGCTCATTTGTCGAGTTGATGATTTTCCTGAAAATAAAGAAAAGGTCTTTAGTAAAAGGACAGTTCCCTAGAAACTACATGCATTGTTAGTTCTGGGGGCCGACTGAATCAATGTGGATTCAATAGAACCAATGCTAATGTTGAGAGACTGCTGTTTTATTGTGATAGATAATAATGTCAGATATTTAAAGGGGGCAGCCGTCTTTCTCCTGAGTTAAAACCATGCAACAACAGGTCACAATATGTGGTGCCAAAATGTAACAAAGTTTAAAGACTTTTCCGTAAGAAATTCCAGTCTCCATGTACATGTAGGAGCGCGATACCAAATAATTTCTGTCCTATGCTGCGTCTGACTTGTGCTGAAGTTAAACATTTACAGAGGAAGACGACCCACAAGACCTTTATAGATTAGTTTGCACCAGTGTGTGAGCAAACAGTTTATTATTATTAGGAACTTCTTACACAAATGTCCCTCTGCAACTTTGTGCTCCTATCTCAAATACGTAGACAAGCTTTGAACTGATAGCTTGTGGCGGAAAATTATTGCAACTTCATGAGCAAATGTGTTACTGAAACTCTTGTCAGTCGCAACAGGTCAAACTAAAGCTCTTTTGACTCCGATAAAAAGCCTTGAAAGTGACAAAAGCATATAAAGGAAAACAATGAGCTGGAACTGAACAGTGCTCCACCCAAGACACAAACAATTCAGATTAGTGGATGGCCGTCTCCGTTGTTGCTTCTTGTATTAATAAATGCCAAAGTGTCTTCCCTCACACACATGATGTTCATTTGAATCCGTCGCTTGTGGCATAATGTAAGTCGACCTGTGCCATTCGCAGCGCCATGAGAGACTCTCCTGTTGCACTGAAACAAAACACTGCACAATCCAAGAAGCTCCATGGCACCAGCCTCGACCTGCTGCCAATACAAACAGGTCTGCACACAACACCAACCTCTCTGCTGCTTGTTTGGACTTGGTCATTATTAGTTATGTGATTTATGCGCTGGTGTAATCCTAAATTGCACACAGATCGTCTCAAGCTTGTCTTTGATGTTTCCAATTAGGGCGGATTGAGAAATTATGGTACAATTAGTTTGGGCACCATTACTGCACCATATGGAGCTCCTAAAAAATAAGATCATAGTTTAAGGGCAGGGACTTTGGAGGCTCCATAAACTGATGCCTGGTTGCTGTGTTTGTAGTTCCTAAACGGTTCTTTTTCAAGGATTAAACAAGAAAAAAAGGTGTCTTGGTGGAGGGTCCATTTTTTATAAGGTCCATTTAAATAGTTGGGAATTTGCCTGGAATTGTCTACAGTGTGACACAAAACCATCCATTTAGATTGAAAATATTCACAAGGTTATGAGGTTACAAAGTTATATCTGTGGAGAGAATCGTTTCTTTTTGACACATTATTGTCTTAAGCTTTAAAATCAACCAAAATTGAAGAATATTTAAAAACCATACGGCCTGACATTCTAATCAAAGCCATAAGATACATAAGGAAATAATGCAAGCAGATAGCAGACCCCATCAGAACACTGTAAATGTCTATAAAGGATACTTACCTTTCATCATATTTGTAAGAAGTTGAGCTGACAATAAACTTTCTACAGTGGTCTCCCAAAACTGGCCCACCCAAAAATACAGACTTTTTTTTTACATGCCAGGTTATTTCAATACTTTTCAGCACCATTTATCATTAGCTCCATTTCTGTCTCTCTTTCTTTTTCAAGTTATTCTTTTTAAGTCATCTTTTAAAAAAACATTAGATAAGCAAAAAGCAGCCGCTCAAACCACACACAAATTTACAAGCCCGACTACTGCAGTGAGCTCCTGCCAAGGCCTCGCCATAAAAGCCTCCTATAAAATCCAATAAACAGCAGTCTAAACCGCAGCTCCCGGGTTGGGCTCCGTGTGTACAAACAGCATCGTGGGTCTGCAAACATGCTTCCTAAAAGTGTATAGCTCAGCATTCCCCGCTCTTTCCCCCAAAAACAGGAAGCACAAAGGGGTTTGGAACAAAGAGAGGCGAGCCGTGGACTTATCCCAGCAGAGGAGAGAGGGCAGCAGCGAAAGGTTACGCGCCACACTGGGGAAACGGGTGATTGTGCAGCTCGATGTTAGATTAGGAAATGTATTTTTATTATGGAACGTTTCCGGAAAAAAAATAAAGACAATGCAACTAAACATGGGAGGAGGTAGAGAGGCCTCCTGGAGTCCACAGAAAAGTTAGACCTCTACTGTATGTCAATGCTATATCACTTGTGAGGTCATAGGTAGAACTTTCCATTTACAAGGAGCATAATGGGAGAAATCAGCTTGTCCTACTGTCAGTGTCATACGAGCATAATCTGATCCATTCCTTCACCGACATTGTAAATACACACATCGGCTTTAGAACTCGAATAATTACACCAAACAATAGTACAGTCCTTACATGGTCCTGATGATAAAGTGAATTTATTATTGCAGTCCTCATCATGGCTTTATAACAAGACTATTGCCTCCTTCCAACATGGCCCTAAGTGCAGCAAACATGGTACTCCTCCTTATGGCCTTAAGCAAAACGTTTTCACTAAACTTGTGTAAATATTACAGTTAAATGTGACTTTTTGTGGCGATGGATAAAGTGATCAAGGCCATGCACCGGACAAAAAAGCTTGAGGAAAGGCTCCTTCCCCAAAGTCTTCTTTACAAAATCCATTGCACTAATTTCAGACTTAATTTCCATTTGCACATTGGAATAACGGTGCAAGAGTACCCAGACAGAGCAGACAGTGCACACCAAAGCTCTTAACCCTTTAATTAAAAAAATAAACATATAATTGACACGTTCCCATAACTATGTCTCTTGAAAGCTTTTATTATTTCTCTTTGACACAAAGTAAATTGTCAAATTGTCCAATTTGTCTGAATTTTTCTCTCTGCTTTTACATAAAAGAGAAAAAAAGGTGCCTTGCCCTCTGCAGGTGGGTGGGGAGGTCCTTCCTCAAGTGGAGGAGTTCAAGTATCTCGGGGTCTTGTTCACGAGTGAGGGAAGAATGGAGCGTGAGATTGACAGGCGGATCGGTGCACCGTGCGCAGTGATGCGGTCGCTGTATCGGACCGCTGTGGTAAAGAGGGAGCTGAGCCGAAAAGCAAAGCTCTCGATTTACCGGTCAATCTTCGTTCCCTCCCTCACCTATGGTCATGAGCTTTGGGTAGTGACCGAAAGAACGAGATCGCGGATACAAGCGGTCGAAATGAGCTTCCTCCGCAGAGTGGCTGGGCGCTCCCTTAGAGATAGGGTGAGGAGCTCAGTCACACGGGAGGAGCTCGGAGTAGAGTCGCTGCTTCTTCACGTCGAGAGGAACCAGTTGAGGTGGCTCGGGCATCTGTTCCGGATGCCTCCTGGACGCCTCCCTGGGGAGGTGTTCCGGGCACGTCCCACCGGGAGGAGGCCCCGCGGAAGACCTAGGACACGCTGGAGGGACTATGTCTCTCAGCTGGCCTGGGAACGCCTAGGGGTCCCCCCGGACGAGCTGGAGGAAGTGTGTGTGGATAGGGAAGTCTGGGCGTCTCTGCTTAGACTGCTGCCCCCGCGACCCGGCAACGGATGAAGCGGAAGAAGATGGATGGATGGATGGATGCTTTTACATACATAAAATTAGCTGTATACTTCAGCAAAGAGATGACTGAAACACAATTAATATTCAACAAATTTTAGACCCTGGGATAAAGGGAGCTTCATTTATAACCGAGCATCACTTTTTGGTATTTTCAAAAAAAAATCTCAAACATTACTGATGCAGAACCAATGAAAAATAACACTACTAAATACTACTAAATACTGTAGTTATTCTCAAGTCTCAACCAAAAAATATTTTTAAAACATTGTCATATGCACATTGAATGCTGTTTCCCAGTGCTATTTGTGACTGGATGGCATTACTGTTTAATTACAATGACATTAGACCTCATGTATTCTATTCTAAATCCTGCAAAGACACCTGAAGACCGTAAACCAGGCTCCAACCTTTTCACCCAGAGAGCTCCTTTCTCAGGACTAGAATGAGAGAGAGCTACTCCTTTTAGCGTTCGGGGAAAAATTTGTCTATTGAATGGGGAGAGCAAGCCTTGGATAGGGTATGTTTCTCAACGGTCTTTTTTGTAATTTACTACATTTTAAGTTTTCATGCATTTAAGTTGTCGGCATGAGAATCATACTTTTTTATATTCAGAATGTATGTACAATCTAAATCCTTTGGAGAGCTAATTGGTAGGGGGGGTGGCGAGCTACAGGTTGGAGACCGCTGCCATGGACTGTATAAAGACAGACAGGCCTGACAAACCAGGTAACTCTCTCCTGTCTAATCCAGTCAGTAGAAGATATGAAGACACCAGACCAGTTCAAATATTGAGTGGTCATTCTGTGCACGCGTTCCACAGTTTGAGAAGCGCTGCATTGAGCGGTTGTCAATTGGAGCGGACAATGGCCCAGGCTCAACTGGGATCACTGGGCACGGACACTGCAGCAGTGTTGACTCTTCAGATACAGAGGCTGCTCGGCTGAAACATGCAAATGACACAGTGGAGAAACAGGAACGCCATATTCCCAGTATTCAAATGTGTAAAAGACAAAGTACTTCCCCAAAAAGATCAATAGCCAAGAATAGAGTTAGAAGATATATTGAGCAAAAGTGTATCCACATGTACAGGATTACTATGGCGACAACACAAAGATTTAGGGGCTGTAAAACTAATTTTGAAGTTGAAATATCTCGGCTGAACTACTGGTATTAGTTAAAGAAGTATTTGAAAAAAGAGCATGGTTTATTAAAGCCTTTTGACAGATTAAGATTAAGAGATCATTTATTCTTCCCACAGCGGGACCTTTAGGGCCATTTAATGAACATCATGGACATTTATGGACATTGGTTATTCGCTCCCTATTAACCAATAACGACGGCAACGACTGCTGCTGTGATTTAAAAATTGAATTTATTCAGATTCATTTATTTGCCATTTGCAGTAAAACCACATTGGAATACATCTGCAAAAGTCCCCAGTGTGCACAAGACAAGTACATGAATAAAACAAGGTTAATAAATACATAAAACAGGAAACAATTGACACTGTGAAATCGATCGGCAATAACAGATCCAATACAAAGGCAAGCATACTGAGAGCTCCTGGATATCTTCTGCCAGAGGGAAAAGCTGGAACATGGCTTTTCCAGGGTGGCCAGAAGAGTCATTGATTATTCTAATAGCTCGGTGTAAAAGTCTGGATTTATAAAGAACCTCCGGAACAGGCAGCTCACAGCCCACAGCCCTCTTTGCAGAGCGGAGCACCTGAATTGAATCACAGAGTGGGAAAATGCTTCTGTTGCAACCTTTGGATCAACAACCACTGACCATAACATGAAAAATACATTCATTATTTGCATGAGAAACGTATTACATGTCATTCATTTGTTTGATCTTTATGCCCGGGAGCAATGTAAACTCAATTAAGTGATCAACCAAGAATAAGCCAGCCACCAATTACACCCATCCAGACTGACTGCCCCCGAGCCCCCCACAGAGCCAAACATCCAAGGACACATTCAAAGCATATCATTCGCTTCGTGCATCAAAGGGAACAAGCAGCACATAATGGATTGAGTTATCACAGACCAAAGTCATGGCTTAAGTAGAATCATTTTCCACCCGGTTATCAGACAAGTAGCCACAGGGCAAGAGCGCCTTTGTGTTCAACATGAGAAGTGGACACACTCACAAATGAAAGGAGAAAGTTGTATTGAGATAGAATTGTTTCAGAAGGCTAAATGTGAATTGGCAAGCAGATAGGACATGTTGTTACGCAGATGTTTGCCTGTACAGTAATAGTGTTGTCAAAGCAGTGCAACTAAGGATAAATCATTGTATTAAAGCTGGGGTACCTAACAAACTATGTAATTATATCCATCTCACAAGTTCCACATTTTTTAAAGTTTGATTCCATCGCTATAGTTTAATGTATTTTTGGCCTCTGTCACAACTTTAGATCATCTTTTCCAGACTGAAAAGTGTAAAAGAGAGGACCAACCTCACTCAGTCAAACACCTCTCAGCCCAAAGCATTAAATAGTGACTCAAATGGCTCTTTCTTTCAAACAAGACAACACATTTTCAATTGATTTGATGTTGACAACGTTTTAGTTTTAAAATAATTTTCTGATCTGACAAACTACACGTATTATTTATGGAACAAAAAACTTAAATACCTCAGCTTTAATTTAAGACAAAAAATATAGGTAGGATTGGACATTAGGTATAGATAATGAGAATCCTGGGGTTTCTATGCAGTGTTGTTGATGCTCTATATGGAAATACATTGAATCTTGGATCCTGAATCATAATTAGTCTTAATTATATTAGGAAAAAGTTGTTGTAAAGTTCGACTCGTGCGTAAAACGGCGCGTTGAAGACCAGAAGCAAAGAGGAGATTGTCGAGAGCTGCTTCAATTCAAACTTATAGAACAAATTAGCTAAAAAAAATAACGGCATAATAATGGCAAGTAAAAAACATGGGACAACAAACAGAACTAACTGAACAGCAGCAGACACGCGACACCTGTTACGCACGTCTTTTCCAAACGCAACTTTACGCACGACAACGCCACAAAAAACCAACACGTTTTCTACAAAAATAATCCAAACTACTTACAGTACGTGTTCCAGCAGCCCAGAGTGGAGTGGTCTGAACGCCCTCCTCACTGCCCCCCACCGCTGTCCCCCTGTCAGTCCAAATGTAGTCACTGCGGCCGTGGAGAGAAGAGCGCAGCTGTGGATCAGGCCGCGAGAGTAAAAATAGAAGAGGTCCCAGTGCCGCTGCAAGAGCCAGGACTGGATAGAGATGTTATAGTGGTGAATGACAGAAAAGCACTATTCGAATGCTGTCATAGTTTATTATTTATTCTACATGATTAGCGAATAGTTGTTCTTCACGTAGTTTTTATCTTATTTTTTTTTTAAAGCTGGTGTACCTAAATTTCTAATCATATTATTACAATAGTCTATCCCTTTTTGTGTGTTTTCAGTTCCAGTTCCATAAACTATAAATTATATCTAATAAATTATATCTAGTGTAAACACATACATAAATGCACATATGCACACATTTACCTACAACTAATTAATATATATTTTTGGCCAGTGTCTCGTCCTTAAATCAGCTTTTTCCACACAGAGAAGTGAGGGACCAAAAGCCACTTGGATCAAGGCGTCTAATAGTGACGCACGGGACTCTTCGTCACAAGTAGGCAAAGGATAACATGTTTGTTGTCTACTTTTTTATGTAGTTCTACAAGACTTTCTGTTGGGGCCGACAACATTTAAAAGTTAGGTACAGCTTTTTTGAATTCATGTGACAAGCGCAGGTTGATAAGAGGTGTAAGTTTGGGATTATAACACATCATCGCCTCACATAAGGATTCTATTTTTACACAACTCTTAACATTTCAGAATTGTTATACTGCCCTCGTCTGGTTCAACTTTGAAATTGCAGCTTTACGGTATTTTTTTTTTTTTTAGAATATTGTTTTAACTTGTACTTTGGGTGGCCTTTTGTATGAATCATAGACTGTATATATCAATTGTGCCATAGTAATAGTAGTAGTAATAGTAACTTGAAGGAACAAACCAAACATTTTAAACCAATTTATTTTCAACACAGAAAACTTACTGAAACTACTACACTGCATTTATAAGCAAACCTAAATACAGGTGCAAAATATCAATGCACCATAAATAATTGTCGTATAAAAAATAAAAAAGGATCATTTTCAAGTATTCATTTGTGCAAGTGTAGGACGCATGTAAACAATATAAGGAACAGAAAAAACTTCTCGTTGGTCCCATGAAAATAAGAACTTCTGTTTTAGCAGCAACGTAGTTCGTGTGACTCGCGTCGTGGTCCGTGATGTCATCAGATTCAACTCAGTGTTCATGATGTGAACGAAGACGTACAAAGTCTTCACTGGTTCATGAAGAAGGGATGAGCCAGAGCTTTAGCAGCGGAGATGCGACCACTGGGCCTGAACGCCAGACACTTCTGCAAGTCACAACATCACACTTACTACAATCGTGCAAAATGTTTAAACAACGCACCGATCTTGCACTTATATTGAAGATTTTTGTTGATTGATTTCACAGTGACAATTTCGTAGCTTGTTTTATTCCTGTACCTTTTACCTTGTTTTGTTTATGTGCTTGTCTGGTGCACACACTGGGGACTTTAGCGAATGTATTCCAATGTGGTTTTACTGCATAGGGCGTATAAAATGAATTTGAATCTGAATCTAATTTGAACTATTGTCAGAATGTGCAATGCTGCTAACATGTGTAGATGTATAAACCAGGGCTGTCAAACGATTAAACATTTTAATCAAGTTAATTAAGGCTTAAAAATTAATTAATTGTAATTAATTGCATTTCAAATTATGGACAAAATAATGGCATATTTTTCTGTAAATGGTTGTTTGAATGGAAAGATAAATGTCAACATAGTGCACATATGTACTGTATATGTTTATTATAACAATAAATCCACATAAAATGGCATTAACATTATAAACATTCTGTCTGTCTGTTCTGACTCAGACCAAAACTATTGTTTGTCACAGATGAGGGACATTTCAAAACAGTCTGAAATGCAGAATGTCTTTACATCTGTCATGAACTGGTAGTGGAAGGGAAAATTAGGTAGCCCAGCTTTAATTTAGCGAGTGCGCTTCGGGAAAAGACACAGAGGAGACTGAGGCTCCGTAGTCCAGCTTCATACATATTGTGTGCTCCGGTTACGCAAAGACACGTACGCACACTACAATCAGAGAATAGTTCTGTGAGTGGCCTTGGACATGATCACGTTACGCAGCGCTGTTCGCCGTGATCACAGCCGCTGGAGGTGGGAACCGTTGTACAGAGCACCCACAGCTCAGCTCGCAGAGTTCATACAGAAGGAAACGCGTGTATTCTTTTAAAACTTGAATTCCCAGAGACCTGCTCTGTTGCCATCTCACATACACGTGTCTGCGGCATTCTGAGTGTTATTATGGGATGCATGGGCATGCATTAATTTTTTAAAGGCGATTAATGAAAAAAATGAATTAACGCACGTTAACGCGCAAATTTTGACAGCCCTAGTATAAACACAACTTATATTACTTGCACTAGAATATAAAGCCTTTTATACTTATTATTATGCTTAAGTCAGAGATTGTATACTCAATTCCTGCTTCTTCCAGTGTTGTGCCAGTTCACAACTTTTCTGAACTAGTTCAAGTTCAGTTCATACATGCTAAAAGTGAACAGTTCACGTTCAAAGTTCACAATTTTAATTATGAACTAGTTCAAAGTTCAGTTCATTTTACTTTTTTGTGAAATAGTCAAATACTTTTTTTCACACTACGAGCTATAATATATATATATATATATAAAAATGTATACGTACAACAGTACATGTGTATATATATATATATATATATCTCCTGTACACCCACAGGAGGAGAGCTTTTTGACCACAAAACAGACCAGATTTACATGGTTTTCAATGGGAGCCAAACGGAGTTGTCCCATCTCTGCTCATAAACTACAGACAGTAATGCGCTGCAGTGCGTGTGTCTATACTTTATGTCAAATGTAAACGGTGTAAACTTTGTCGCTAACTCACCCTGTGGTTTCATCACGACTCGGGCAAATGTGAAAAGCACCAGCTCACACAGAGTCGGGGTGCGTTCACAGACGGTGGAAACCGTAGGAATTTTTAGATTTCGGCGTAAAAATTGCGAGAATACAGGAGGGAGGAACTTTCTCTCGTTGCGTTTCAAAAGAGAAAACAGATTCCAACGTTCATAGTGATGTCTGCCGTTCATGACACATAAAATGAACTAATTCACGTTCAAGTTCTTTTTTTAAAAATGTGTTGCGTTCAGTTCAACGTTCACGAAAAAATGAGCGTGTTCAATGAACGCGTTCTTTTGAACGCACAACACTGGCTTCTTCATTATGCTAAAGTTGGACAGTTTAGATTGGCTTTCTTGTCATTCTAAAGCTAGAAATGTTAAACGCTCTTATACTATTTTTATTTTATTTATTGTTCATTTATCTAGTGTTTTGTGCTCCTCATTCCTAATGGTCTGTGACCGTTGATGCAACACAGAAATTTCCCCACTGTGGGACAAAAAAAGGATTATTTAATCTTAATTGTATGAACAGTTTTGTTTGAGAGGATTTAAGGATCTTACAGAGAGCAGGTCGTTCTCGTCTGGGCCCAGGTTGGTCAGCAGTTTGGTGCGGGAGCTCGCGGGGCCCCAGTGCGACTGATACGGCAGCGGACTGTCTTTAGGCCAGTCCTCCTCCGCCGGGAATCCAATCACCCTGACACCAAACAGTATACAATCTCTGGTCATGTGACAATACTAACATCAGTGAAATAAATAGAGCTGATACTGATAATACTATGGTTTTTCTTTACAGGTGCAGGAGGGGGTAAGAACAGGGGATGATCCGGGACATTTACAAACATAAGTTAACCCGTTCTTCTTCTCTTTGTATTGATACTTTCATTTGATACTTTTAAAAGCCTACTACAGCTATGACTTCATTGGACATTCCTCCTCCATAAACTTAGGCAACAGCTGCTCATCCTTTGCCTGAACTGAGAACAATGTTGGATGCATTACTTTTCAAAACACATCTCATTAAAGCTGAGGTGCCTAACTTTCAAACCGTAAAAAATGAAAATATTTATAATAAGTCCATCTAGCTTGAAACAGTTTGTTTAAACTCCATCAGTTTTTGCATGCATGGATTCTTGGCCTCTGACCCATCTTTCAAACAGTTTTTCAATCAGTAAAGTGGAAAAGAAGACCCTCATTCAGCCAATCGTCTCTCAGCCCAAACAGTCAAATAGGGACAATAGTTGGGACAAATAAAATGTTCTATTATTGGGGTAAAAAAAAATTAGGTACCCCAGCTTTAATGATTTCCAAATACTCCTTCAAAATGATTCTATGTTTATGTACTTTGATTACATTACATCTTGTACATAAAGTTGTGTTTTTGTAATTACTTTTGTAATAATAACAGTAAAGGATTTGTTAGTGTATCTTAAACAAGTATACTCGATGTCATCTCTATTCACATGAAGGACTTAGAAACATATTGATGAAAAGATCACATAAATATGAAAAACATACTCAAATATTTTCTGGAGCTGCTGAACCTCTGTGTAGCCCTGAAACAGCGGCCTGCAACAGAGAAGCAAACACACAACGCAGACGCACAACACACAACACAGACACACAACGCAGACACATTTCACTGCAGTCAGAGCTCTGTGAAATAAAATCACATCAAAGTCATTTACCGCAGGAGGAAAAGCTCGGCGAAGATGCAGCCAGCGCTCCACATGTCGACAGTGGACATATACACAGAGTTTAGTAAAACCTCCGGAGCCCGATACCAGAGAGTGACCACCTAAAGACAACCAGGAAGACACACACACGCATCGCATATTGTATATACACACCATGCAGAAGGTGAGGTCATTCATTTACTTATTGTTATCTTTATGAAGGACTGATCCCATGACTAATATAATCATGACACATAAATAAAATAAATAAATGTAAAGCAGATTATATTTGAATGTTTTTCTACCAAATATTGTGTTGCATTATTGTTCTATAGCTACATCTGTGCCGACAAATTCTCTTTCTTGACCACAATTGTGACTGGGTGTAATTATAGCGGTTTTCTTCACCTAAGGTTGGATATATTCTAACCCTAAGCTACTTTTATTTCTACTGTTCTGTGATGTGCACGGCAACACTAAAATTTGCCTATTGTGGACAAATTTATTATCTTGATTTGAAATTACATGATGTGGTTTCGTACTTGGCCAGATCACTAATGGAAATAGTATGTTTTTTATGGCATTGTCATGCATTTACCTTTATAAACATATACATACAAATCTCAATAGAGTTGTTTACAAAAGATAGATACAAATATTATTTATGCTTCCAACATATTTATTTAGCCTGGATGAGTATCTCTCTAGTATTTTGTATTGTTCTTCACAAGACATCAAAATCAGAATAAAAGTCAGAATCATTTTTATTGCCATGTAAGTAACAGGAAGTCACAGACTTGGAAATTGCTTTGGCTCGGTGCAACAGTCAGAAAGAGAGGTAAAGGATAGAGAATAGAGTAAGGCATAATAAAAATGAGTATACACTTCTTAGGTATAAAATTTAAAATATAATTATTAAAATCACAATTACAATTACTATATACAATATACAAGTGCACATGGTGCACACAATATGCAGTAAGCAGTGCAATAAGGTGACAGCAGTAAAGTGTCGTTATGATGGGCAGTAAAGTGACTTTATAAAGGGCGGGGGGAAAGTTTTGAGACAAATGTTGGGCCCAGCAAATGGTCCTTTTGTCTGGGCTTAGGTCCACCAAAATGGTTGCTACAAGGTGGAAGTCCCTGTATTCACTGTCCCACTGACAATAAATCTATTGAAAATTTGGAGCTTTCCACAGCTTGATTACACGGCTCTAAGGAAGGTACCGTTGTTAGGTGGGTCACTTCCATATAGAAAATGAAGTTAATGTCAGAGATATATTTGCCCTGGTCCTGTGTATCTTGTGTGTTTATGTTGGAAATAATAATATTAAATAAAAATATATGTTTTGAACTCCCCGGTTGGCGGCCTGTGTGACTTACTCCTGGCGTCAGAGCGATGTTGAAGGTGTAGAGTCGAGCGAGTCCGAAGTCTGCGATCTTCACTTCTCCACGGCTGCTGATCAGAATGTTCTCTGGTTTCAGGTCTCTGTGGAGGACCATGTTCGTGTGCAAAAAGTCCAGTCCCTGAAGAAGCTGCCGCATCACACTCTGCACAGACACCACAGCAGCATTTCAGATTACACAATATTCAGTTCATATCCAGAGGTAGAACAGCAGACAAAAGATTGCAGTTTCGTTGTACGTTTTCTTAATTGTCTATTGACCAGATAAATGCAGTTGAAGTGGAATAAACCGTCTGTACAAGCTGATAAAATAAAACCTAGTATATGTTTGAATGAGATAGTTTCTTTCTTGAATGTTAAGCCTAGCGTACATCGACAGAGAAACTGGAGACAACTAGTTGCAAGGCGGCTTTTGGCAACTGAGAGGAGATGGTGGGAGATGATCAGTTGCCGAAATCGGTCGATGTGCGCGCTCTTACAACTGGAGATAAACAGTCGGTCTCCAGTTTCAGTCAGTTGCCCGTGTTCTACTTTTCGGCAACTAGTTGTCCTCAGTTTCGGAGATATGACCCGATGTGCGCGCTCCATGCGCCGCTCCGACAACGTGTGTGTATTGCCTGTATTGCGAGCCCGCAACAGTTTATGTCAGAAAACACACTGTAGTTGAGGCCAGTTGCTGTCGATGTACGCGCTGTTATTCCCCAGACTGGTCTGCTACTGGGAGTTGCCCGTTTTCGTCAGATTGTTGATGTGTGCGGGGCAGCAACTCATATGCGACGGATATAATCAGTTGCCAGTCTGATGTACGCTAGGCTTTATAATTACATTTTGATTTAAATTAAGATCTGCCAATGTGGGAAGCAACAAAAATCTATTTAATTGTTGCACTATTTAAGTATAAGAAGAGTTGTATGTGTTGAGAGTGAGACCTTGATGCAGTCAAGAGTCAGCCCAGTGGAGGGGGCTTTGCTGAGGTAGGAGGAGAGGTCCTGGTCGATGTACTCCAGCACCAGAGTCAGGTCCATGCTGCGTCCTTCAGGGACCGCACAGGCGTCCAGCAGTCTGCGGACACAAGCCTTTACAGACATGTCCACTGAGCATCAGAGGGAAAGAGAAATGTCTCAATCCACAACAAAGACTGGACTGAGAAACGTCATAATTATAAACATGTAATGCACAATGTCAACAAGAGCCTGTTTTATCTATCTTTTATTTATTGAGAAGCTAAGCAGTGTAAGGCCTGGTAATTACAGCAGATGCAACAGCGACAGTTGCGGAGGCTGTGAAATCCCTCTGTGCTGCTTGCAAAGCTCTAGGGCTCCGTGCAGTTGGGCACCTTGCTCTGTAATTATCTGTAAAAAGCCTGCAAAAATATTAGAAATTAGGTCCGGCCCCTGACAGCAGGCTGATATTCTAGTTTGGCCTTGAGAGCATGCCTGGCCTAGGACATAATGGCCGGTTCCAGTTCATGTTCAAGTGCTGAGGATGAGGCTTTTCACTCCAAAGCTATACGACTCACTAACTCTTTGGAGCTGTGGTTTATTTGTTGTGTTTCTGACTGCTTAAACTGAAACAGCTCCTGTACAGTCTTACTCTAACATTTATTGTCCTTTCATCATGGATTAACAGGTGTTGAGTTCCTGGACAGGTCATTGACTGCGTGCTGTAAACGTTGTACTATGTGACAGATAAATAAAAATAAGTATTTGTCACTTATTTCCCACAGAGAACTCAAGACTTTTGGTTGCACTGGCTGTGTGCTATTGTTTTTTCACGTTTATAATACCAGATTTGACCACAACTCACTTCACCACATTTGGATGGTCGAAGAACTTCATTTTGAGCATCAGCGCCACCTCGCGGATCATGAAGGGAGGGATGCCCGAGTCCGCAGCCTCTGGGCGAATGTTCAGCTTCTTCACCGCAAGGAGGCGCTGTTCTCCGCCCACCTCTCGCGCCTTGAACACTTTTCCATAGGAGCCTTCCCCGATCTCTGCGAGGAGCTCATAGCACAACGGGGCCTTGCCCAGATCCATGCTGCTCACAGTGGCCCCGGCTTTAAAAAGACCCCTGCAATCACCATTATACAACTCAAAAACACACAATAACACACGTTTGCAGAGACAAATAAAATATAAATATGGATGGAAATTACAAGACATGATAATGATAAGTGTGAGCATTGCATGAAATAAATAATTGCACATTTTAGTTAATTATTTGCATGCAATTGTCTGAAATGCATGCTCAAAAATGTTTTTTGGGGGGTTAGCATCATGAGGGTCCCCTGTAAGCTAGCACATGCATCAGCTGTCAATGCAAAACAACAAAGTAACTTTCAATTTCTTGCAAAACAGTTTATCTATGCAAACCAGCAATTTTTTTACGTGTTACCTTGAGCAGTGGCGCGCTCTCCCCCATACTCCTGAGAAACTGACAAACTGTGACCTCTACTTTCTTTCTACTCTTATGGTCATGGCATTTTCAGACAAATCACACCCACTTTATGATCCAACTAATCAGAGAGCGCTGGGGTCGCTCTTGGTCACTGAGGCACGTGGTCAGAGCATGTCCAGGAGATGTTTAGATTATTGTCGATAAACAAACTAGAATTATAACAAAAGACATAAAAACACCCTCTGATGAATAAAAAGGCAATGTTTACATGCATTCAAAAAACTCGTTTTCTGTATTTGAGGTCAATGAATTTAAGGACTGAAAATGACAAAACATACAGAAAAGCAGCCAGTAATATTTCAACATTTTATTACTTTAAACGTTTTAGGCCACGTCATCGGCAGGCACAATGTTTTGAATTATTGCATGAAAGTAGTTGCATAAATTATATGTGAAAAAAGGAGAAAATAAGGCTTGCAGTCTTTTTACCTGTGGCTTTTTAGAGTAGACGTTAAAGTAGCTCTGCTTGTCTCTGGCCTCGCTCCTAAATACATCTGTTACATGTTAGTGCCATATAAACCAGCCCGGACTCTGAGGAGCACAGGGACTGGCCTCCTGCTGGTGCCCAGAGTCAGTACTAAACATGAGGAGATAGCGTTTCAGATTTATGAAGCTGGAACAGTCATCCTGAAAATGTGAGACAAGCTTCTACTCTGACATTGTTCCAAACCAGGTTAAAACCAGATTGTTTAACTGTGCATACAACTGAAGGGTGGTTTCGTTGCTCTTTTGAACGTAGTGTAATTATTTATAATATGAATACCGTATGTGATACCAAATGTTATTTCTTGTTTGGTTCAGCACTTTGAGTAGCCCTGTGTATGAACTGTGCTATACAAAATAAACTTGCCTTGCCTAGCTTCTATATCCATACAGTAGTTCTGATGCATTGATGAAAACATATCATTTGAAAGACACAAAACAGAGGAAATGTCAGATTCATGTTCAACATCTTCAGCGGTCACAATGAGAGCTGTTTTCTTCCCACAAACATAACGTTCGCAGATTCTAATTAGTGTTTTTGACAAAATCATCATTCAGTATCAGTCACAAGAGCAGAACATTTTGAAGAGCCCTGAACTTCAAAGTAGACTGATTTTACATAACGATCTCGAGGTTATTTTGGTCGATACAGTGAAGGATGGACGGTCATTCGTTTCAATTTGCATGAGCTTCACTCTCCCTTGGATTTCACAGGTTTGGTTCTCTTGGCCAGCGCGATGGCGTCCAGGTGCAGGTTCCGCTTGAGGATGGTGGAGCCGCAGGTGAGGGCTCCGGCCAAGGCTCCGGCAAAACCACACAGGAACACGTCCTGACCTGGAACAGAGGCAAACGACTCAAGAATTTGACATCATGTAATTACAATCACGACATATTATTAACATTTTAAAGCTGGGGGACTTAACTATGTGATTCAATCAATGCAAAACTAGTTCCTCGCTCTCAAAACACTTGGTTCGATCACTATTTGTCACATGCATGTATTTATTTGGCCTCAGTCATATCTGTAGATCAGCTTTTTCTGACAGAAAGATGAAAAAGAGAGGGTCATCCTAACTCAGCCAATCATCTCTCAGCTCTAAGTGTCAAATAGTGACGCACAGGGCTCTTTCTTACAAGTATGAAAAGATACTGATTTTGACTAACTGTTGAGGCGAAATATTAAACGCTTGATATTTATGAATCATTTAAATTATTTTATTGATGAAAAAAATGTTTGATTCCCCAGCTTTATGGCTCCACAGACAACCATAACAAAAAATGATCACTTCTGACATCACAACTAAATGTGGAGGGCAAACTTATAGTGTGTGTCCCATGTGGGGACTGGATTAAACATGTGCTTTTGGAAGGGGGGATCAGAGTAGGGATATGACTGAAGGTAACAAAAAGTGTGGCCTTTTCTCTGGGTTTGAAAAGCTGACGGCAGATGTGCGATATATTTTTGGTACGGTAGAGGAGGTGAACTTCTAGTGTCAGTTTTCAAATTCAAATGCACAGGTTTTGAATGCCCCAGGGCTAAAACGCCTGCAGACATCAGTAACAAAGTAATTAAAGTAGCTAACATTTTCCCAATTTAAAAAGATACAATATTAATTTCTGAATTGTCGCTGCTGCTGCATTATCTATTGCTCCAGTAGAACTCAATAGCCCCATGTTCCTTGTAGTTACTGCACATTTCTCAGTAAAGTCTATCTCATCTTAGTTACCGGTCAGATAGAGATTGTTGAGTGGCGTCTGAGCCCGGATGGTGGCGTTGAGCTCTGGGCTGAAGCGCTCCTTGCCGTGGTCCGCTCCGTAGATTTCCCCTTTGGGAGCTCCGATGTAGTGAGTGTTTGTGATGGGAGTCCCAGCGTCAACGTACTCGATCTATTCCAACGGAGAATACACAAAAATGAGGCAGATTGAATAGAACACGATAAAAGAAAGTAATGTTCAAAAGTTGGGCTGTAGCTGATGATTATTTGGATGTGGTGTGTAGTGGTTTGGATCCTGAAAGGTCAGTAAATATCAGTTTTATTACACATTTGACCACAACACAACTTCATAGAGATGACTTGTTATACCATGGGTTGTCAAAAATAGTATATACATTATAATTCATTTGGCAGTCACAATAGAAGTATCTGAGTCATGAAACAACTCTTCTCAGCCAGTCTATTTAAGTGGTTACCTACTCACCAACATCATAACCACACAAAACTGCTTTTAAATGTATTTTAACAGTATATTAACTTGTATTTTAACTAAACGTAGTTTTTACTTGTGATGTAAGGCAGGGTTAGGAAAATAAGAAATTAAATCTATAATAATAATAATAACAATGATAATCATCATCATTTTTTGTATTATTATCATTATCATCATCATTATTATCATTATCATTATTTCAATAACCACGTCTGAAAGTGTCCGTATTAAGAGCTGTATTGAGGAACCTTATCTCTGGTGATTTTGGGGAAGACCTCCATGACGTCCTGCAGGATGGAGTCGATGAAGGCCTGTTTTAGGTCCTTATACTCCGGGGCTCTGTTGGTCACCTTCGCGTCCTTCCACTCCTCGAACCACTTGTAGTTGGCAAAGCTGACCAGGCTCACAGTCGACTTTCCTGGAAAAAAACAACTTAATTTCAACGTTTGCAATTATAATATTTTTATCATTCAAGTAAATATTTAGTAGAATATTAGTGATCAATCCATTAATTCAGCTGATTATCAATAGTTTTTGAATAGTAAAGTGGACACATGGATTCAAACAACCCAAACTGGCCGAGTTAATATCCAACAGTATAAAACACATTTCACACATAAATAAACAGTCGTACCTGGATTTCTTTCCTGCCAAATTGGGTCTTTTGCCGATGGAGAAGCAGCAAACAAGATGGGAACGCTTTTAGCAGATTTCTCTCTGTCGCCATTCAGGTAATCCTCCACACTGAGAGAAAAAATACACTTTTGCAAATTTGTGACACAGAAAATTTAAAGATAGTCCAGGTAATTTAAAAAACAATATAATAACCATATTAATAAATACATTGGATCTACCAGCACTGACCAATCGGAATGCAACATGTATTAGTGGATTTGTGTTGAGATATATTTTATTCTTTTAGGAGAGAGACACAAGAAAGGGGTTAGGGTTAAGAGGACAATATATTAAAGCTAATAAGAAACAGCATTTCATTTATAAAAGTAAAAAGAGAAAAAAAAGAAAACTGGATCAATTTGAACATGAACATCTCATAATTTCAGAAATGTGATTTGATTTTAGTTTCTTGAGAATGTTAAATGACTATAACTACAAAATGAAGACATTTTACTGTGGCTTTTGTACATTATCGTGTGGATAAAATATCATAAAAATGACTAAAATTATGAATCTGTGCTTACAGCTCGTCCAGGTTGTTCTCTTTGAAGATCCAGTAGTTGTCTGCTTTCAGGCCGAACTCCTCCGTGGACCCGTCCAACCCGACAAACACGCTCAGCCCACCCTCACCGTTCTTCATCAAACTCAGCTGCTTCTGGATCGCTGCAAACAGAGGAAACGCATCAGACCTGGCAACTTCCCACTGTGTGAAAGTGAGAGTATTAGAAATCATGGCAACCTGACAAATACAAATCTGTAAGTAAAATGTTAACAAATATCACACATTCTGTAATTACACATGAAAAAGTAATCAGTCACACAACATGCTCAACGGCAGCACAAGTAAAATGCCCCATGCTTCCTGCTTTGACTCACGCAAAACAAAACAAAACCCAAGTGGAGAGGAACTGAGTACTTATCACAAACAAAATTAGTGAGTGGCCTGTATTTACGCCCTCATATCGAATGCATGGCTTTTCCCTGTGCTCTTAAATGCATCTGCTGGCCTTGTCTCGTTAGTAGGTAAGCAAGTAGAAATGGTTCGTTCCAAGCTAACTTTTCAACATATATAGGCTCAAATGAATTAAATTGGACTTGGAGAGTTATCCGACTTTCACTGGGCTTCCTCCTGGAGCCATGCTGTGAGAGCGGGTTACCTGGCATGGCCTGCAGCTCCTTGGGCAGCAGTTTCTGGTAGGTGTTGAAGATGCCTGCGTCAGAGATGACCATCGGGGCGCGGATGTGGACCTCCTCTTGGCCTTTCATCACACTCACACCTGAGAAACGCAAATGTTTGAAGTCCTTCTTATTAGGGCAGACATCATCAATAACACTGGACAAGGTTTTTCTGGTTTTACTGTCGGGATTATGAGTTATGTTATAGTTGCAAAGTATATTGTTGGGTCAGTGCCTTCTCCACTTTCAATCACAAATAAAGATAATGGAATAAACATATAAATCACAAGCTAGAAGAAACACGGGGGCAGTGTTCAAGTGGTTCCCCTGGTGATTTGGTAATTTGACGATGCAGACATTCATAATTCTGTACATATTTCATAAAGCTTACAACTTTCTGCAAATTCAAATTGACCATGATTTTTCCACTGTGTTTCAGTCAGCTCAAACTCACCCACGGCTTCATTTGCATTGTTGAACAGGATGCGGTTGACCGGTGCGCGCACTAAAACGGCTCCTCCCGCCTTCTCGATGATGGGGATCATGTGGAAGGCGATCTCAGTGGCGCCCCCTTTAGGATACCATGCACCGTTCAGGTAGTGAGTGACCAGCAGACTGTGCATGGAGAAGCTGGCGTCCTTTGGGATGTTTCCTGAAGAACAAATACAACATGGTTCCCAACAAAGTTTACTTACAGAGACCTCCATCTCTGTTAAAGCCGGGGTACCTAACCTTCAAACCACGAAAGATCCATTAAAAAAAAATCCATCTAACTTGTTCCTCACTCTCAAACACTGGATTTCTCATGTATGTATTTCTTGGCCCTGTCACATCAGTAAAGCAGCTTTTTCAGACATAAAAGTGAAAAAAGAAAGAACCACGCTTGCTCAGCCAATCAGCTCTCAGCCCAAAGAATCAAATAGTGACTCACAGGGCTCTAACAAGTACGTGCTAAAGATAACATGTTTTGGTCTGATCTGTTTACTACATTTTAGTTCTTGTTTCTCTTTCTATGAAAATCAACAACATGTATAATCTATGAAACAAAAAAACTTAGATACCCCAGCTTTAAGTTTCTTCTTTGTCCATTTCAAAATAGTATTAGCATTACCACAAGACCAGAATCTGAGGGGGGCCTGGTGTCTATACGTTGAAAAGGGAAGCACAGTTACTCATTTCTGACTCTGTTAAAATAGTTTGCTGCTCACAGAGGTTCAGTTGAGGTTTGACAGTTGTAGTAAAGTCGTTAAGGCGGGACCCAGAGTAGTTTTTATCTTATGACAAAACCTGACTGTGCTTGAGTGAAGTCAAAGCTTTACTTCATATAGAATTGTATTTGTATGGAAATATATACCGGTAGTAGTTCTTTCTGACATGTTGTGAATTGATGAAGCTTCTTAACACATTTTCACAGTCACATATTTCACTTTTCAGGTGTATTCTGTCACCTGCATGACTCCATAGAGATTACTGCTTTTCATGGCATTACGAGTCAAGTAAATGAGGCCAGGTTAGAGTTGAGATGAGGGCCTGCTGATGTAATGTAATGTAATGCAAGAGAAGTTCATCTGGTGAAACATTTATTGTATTTAAGCCCCTTGGGGGATAATAATCATGTTGATAAAATTGTTGAATCGAATCGAGTATGTTTACAGAATGATCTGTTCACTTACTCCACTTCAAAACTTTGACTTAGAACTCAAACTGTGAATCTGCTATTGTATTTACTTCACGTAGCAAATACAAAACAAGGATTAAGAGATTTAGATTTTAGAGTTTATTCGTCCCACAGAAGGGAAATGAAACGTTATCAGCAAAAGACTGTGTGTTGCCTGTATACATCCACATACAGTACATAGAGAGATACTTTATTGATTTCTAATATTAGCTTTTCCTGTGGTTTTAGATAGATTGCATCTGCTGGTTATTCAAATATTCAAACACAGTGGTTATTCACACCTTCATTGGCCCGCCCATTTTTACATGAGTCTTGGAATAGAGGAGTAAACTGGGTTTGACTAGTGCTTTGTAAACATACTGACAGAATAGAGTTGAACCTACCGTATGTGCCAAAGATGTAGGTGAAAACAGCTCTGAGGTCTGTGTTTTCTGTCAGGCCGTTGACAACTTCAGTGAGGCTGCGGTCGGCCATTTCAAAGAAATAGGAGAGACGTTTGCAGAGACCGGTCTTTACCAGGAACCAGGCCACGGGACTTGGGAGCAGCTTCAGCAGAGCCAGCAGCCAGATTCCCCGACCAGCTTTCTGTAGGGAACATGGAAATGAGATAAACGCAATTAAATGTTTGTATAATGAAAACAAGAACAATATACAGTAGCTAAAACATATCTGTAAAGAGTATACCTCAACATGCATTATGCATTAATTGTATCATTTCTGGCCTTTTGATTTCCATGGTGTATCTAACTTTTTTGGTTTCAGAAACACATTGTTTGTCCCGACAGAAATAGTCTTGTTCAGGTAACATTTCAGACCACAACAATGCGGCCTTTATTTTATTAGATCAAAGTTATCTTTAAAAAACTTTACTTTTCTGTCTGACAAAGCTGATCCTAAGATGTGACAGAGGCCAATAATGTGAAAACTAGTGATAGAATCAAACCGTTTTTGAAACTAGTTATATGGATTTAATCAGATTTGTCTAAATCAGCAACTCCTTATTTGCCATGTACCAAAGCCATCTACAGGCAGCAGTGGGAATACACAGAGAGAGATATTACTAAAGATTGAAACGGACAAGCATACTGAAAGGTTTGGACACCCCTGACATAAACAGTAGTAGCCATCATTCAATATTATTTCAAACTCACTTCTCTTTTTCTAGTTTAACCTAAAGTTTCTAAATCTCAGAGATTAGAGTTTATTATGATCTAACTATTAAAGCAATTTATTCATTATCTTGTTTCAATGCCTTTGTATTCCTCCAGTTCTATAATGTTTGGGGTGAAATTAAAACGTCCTCACTGTGGGACGTATAAAGGTTTTCTTGTCTGGAGAAGAAGTGTCCAGTGGAGAACAGGAGAAACAGTATCAAACCAGAGAAAGCTGATGTGTGGGCAGAATGAATGCCTGGTATTGTCTTGAAATGAGTGAAAAACACAACACCAGCTGCGCAGCACAGAGGATAAATTAAAATTAAAATACTAATTATTTAAGAGCGTATGTACAGTATATATCTGAGGATAGTGAACAATATTTTCGACAATAATAGCTTTTAGGCAGCAGAAAACTGTGTCAAAGGTATCCTATTGCATCACCCTCTCTGACCTCTGCTTCTGGTAGTTTTGGCTTTTGTAACCAGACAAGTCCAGACAAGTAAGAAAACAAACCACATTATTAATTACAGTTTTACAGTACTCCAGGAAGGACAAATATCTAATCAAGTCTTCCGCTAAATCAAAATCCTGGAGCTATTTTTGAATCACATACTATTTCAATAATGGAGGACATAAACGAAGCTAATGTGTTCATTTTGGAATTCATGGAGAGAATTGAAAAGAAATTGGAAGAAATGAAAAAGAAAAGTATATTATAATGATTGGAAGACTAAAGACCTTGTTTTGAGTCTAATATATTCAGTCTTTGCAACATTTGATTAGTGTGGACACAAATGTTTGGAGGGTTGACCAACAGATCCAACTGGTTTTACTGCTGAGAAAAGAGACTCGACTCATGCTACTAGGCAAGGCAAGGCAAGTTTATTTGTATAGCACAATTCATACACAAGGCAATTCAAAGTGCTGAACAAAACAAGAAAGCATTAAAATCATAAATAATCACAGAACATTAAAAAGAAAGCTAAAAGTATAAAATCCCTCAGTTGTATGCACAGCTAAACAGGACTGTCTTTAACCTGGTTTTAAACATTGTCAGAGAGGAGGCCTGTCTCACATCTTCAGGAAGACTGTTCCAGATTTTAGCAGCATGAATCTGAAAAGCAGCCTCCCCATGTTTAGTTCTGACTCTGGGCACTAACAGGAGTCCAGTCCCTGTGCTCCTCAGAGTCCGGGCTGGTTCATATGGTACTAACATGTCACTAATATATTTTGGTGCGAGGCCATGGAGAGACTTGTACACAAGCAGAGCTGTTTTAAAGTCTATTCTCTACAGCCACCTTTATGTTGTTTGTCTCAACGGTAGATCACTTAAACTGGACCATGTCTGATTCACAGGGGGAAAAATTCTGAACAGGTCTGTTTGATGTAAACCAGGGGGTGTCAAACTAGTTCCAGAAAGTTCAAGATATCTAAAATGATTCCCATGTAATTTAAATGAGGAAAGGTCAACGTTATAACTTAATAACCTACACTGTATGACATGGTGATGTGTGTTTAAATTTTTCAATTGGATTATTAAGCATTATTATTATGAATGCCTGTTATAACTATAATTTTTATTTCAGGTTCACTAACTATTATTATCCCCCTATGCCTCTGACCAGTCCTGAAATGCAAAAAGGGCCTCTATCAGGAGCAGTACAGCAACTGAGGACTCATCTCTGGATGTTGATACTCTCTGTCAGGGCTCCAAGAGCTGGAGTATTATACCTATGGCGCATGTATTGGGTGGTGGGGTAAAAAACAGAGCCCCTGGAGGAAACCCACCGAGACACTGAGAGAAACATGCAAACGTTTCTCCCGGTGAGTGAAATTTATGGAAAAATGAGCTTTAAAGTTTGTAGAAGGACCCCATGCTTTCAAAAGTAAAAACAAAATTATTTTTTGTATTCAAATTCTGCAACTTTATTTATCCATCCAGAAGCCAGGCATTTACTGAGCATCAGAGCATTTTAACAACATAAAAACACACACCTTCAGATTGCAGCCTTACCTTGCACATTCGCACATACTCGTCGATGGCCTTCTCCTCTCCGGGGAAGCACTTCTTGAGCTCCTCTGGGAAGCGCGTGCGTCCGCTGTAGATGGGGTAACGACGGCGATTATTGGGTGGTCCCATCACCACCCAGTCGTATGGATTGTCCAGCGGCTCCCACTGCAGCTGCCCATTAGTCATCTGGTCCAGCATGCAGCGGAAAGGCTTGTGCTCCTGCAGGTCCCCAATGTAGTGGATACCTGCGAATAACATTGTTAAATCATCATCAAATGGATTGATTTGTCATACGATAGAATTGTGGTAATGTATAAGTAAATGGAAAAGGTTAAACATTCCCCTTTTCCCTATAGCTATACATGTATGACTAACTAACAACTAAGGCTGGCACCATCAGTATCCTAACCCATTTTTATTAAACAACTTTTTAACTATTCAAGTTTTAAACTGCAAATTTTGTATTTTACTGTCTGCTTTGTCTTTGTTTTGTCTTTCCTCTTGTGATTCCTCTTTCTGCTTTGTCTGACTGTTTACTATTCTAATTATTTTGACTTATTATCATGTATTATCATGACTGTTTTTATTGTTTATAATGCTGACTGTGCAGCGCTTTGTAAACATTGTTTTGGAAAAGTGCTATACAAATAAAGATATATAATTATTTATTATAAATAATAACTAGGAGATATAATGTATAACTACATGACAACACAATGATATGTATTTCTGTGTTTTACTATTCGCATTCTTACGACCACAGTTTTGGTGTTGTTGTTGTACTTGTACACTGAAAACATTTTTGATGGTGTGATAGAAATAAACTAGTTGATAATAGATACTAGAGCAAATAGATCACCACTAAATTCATTCACTTACAGAAGCAGACTATTAAGAGTGGAAAAGTGTCTGTGTTAGAATAGTGACCACAATACATAGAACGTTTGTGAATCCCATCAGCTCACTGTTTTTTATTTGTGCAGCCATGAATGCAGGTACAACACATTAAGATGAACACAGTGGGACATTTCTGCACTTACCGACATCAAACTCAAAGCCTTTCTCTGTGAAAGTGTGGCAGCATCCTCCAGCTCGGTCATGCTGCTCTAGAACCAGCACTTTCTTCCCGACTTTGGCCAAAAGCACCGCGATCCCCAGTCCACCGATACCACTGCCGATCACCACAGCATCCAAATCCTCTGGCACTTTATTAGCAACAAAACCTGCACAAAACATTCAGCAGGATTTAACGAGACCACTCGTCTTTGGTTATTATCAAAGCTGCAATCATTCTCAAACAGTTACTTCTCTTTTATTGTGCACTGACAATTTATAAAGACGTTGAAAGTTGAGATATGGTTAAATTGGATAATTACATGTTGCAGCCAAGGGGACAGGAGTATAATCACATTTAATTTGACTTTATACTGCAATATACAATTAGTAGTTTCCCAAATTTCATCTAAAACTACTTGGACATTACATTCAAATTTCAGAAAAACTTGGACTTGATGATTTAAAACTGTTCAATTATTATTCCTATCATTATTATAGGATGTGACCCAGTTGTACCTATTTTTGACTAAATGGAGAGCATGTTTCAATTATATTTCTTAGGAACCAAAGTAAACACAAGGGTCATAATGAGAAAAATGTGTTAGTACAGTCCTGCACGTAGGCCATATTGCTATCTAATACTAATAAATGCACTGATGACTCACATAATGTATTTGATTGTGCCATTATCAGTTTTACAATTTCTTTAACCATTATTTGTAAGTTATTTACTGCAGGAATGGACATCACATGCTCACAATCATTCCAAATCAGAGCTAGAATTAGACATTCCTTGAAGTCACATTAGAATGAACCAAGGCATGCATCTTTATCTACAGGTCAGCCGTGTGAGAGTCCAACACAATATTTATCAGATAGATTAAGCAATCTCTTTTACTTTTCACCTGCATCTCCAGACACACATGATGCAACAATGATTAAAACATGAAATATGCAACATGCTTTTTCTCAAATTGACAATTGGTTTCTGTCTAACTACAGTGTTATGAAACAGTATCAACCCAACTCACCTTGCTTCAACACTTTGTTCTTCTCCTTCTTAGTGAGGATTTCTCGGACTCCTTCGCGGGTGTCTATCTCAAAAGGATTGGGCCCAGGCGCAGTAAAGACATATTTTAATATTAGTGCAAGAATAACAACACAAACTATCGCTACACCGACCCACATCCTTGCGTCTCTGCAACCTACCACACTGCCCACAACCCTGGTGCAAAGGCGGAAGCAGAGTCCCGGGGGTGCCAGATCGGGTCGCAAAAGCTGACATGCCCAGCCCCCTTTTAGCCCTGTAAAAAATGGCTGGGTTTTGAAAGGCAACTTGGCAACCCCTCTCCACTAAACCAGACTGACGTATTGTATGCATTGCCCCGATGGATCTATTATAATATCGATTGCCCCAAGGAAAAGCTGCAGATTTGTCAAAAGTTAGCTAGATCTCACAGAGCAGTCATTTTGGCGGCTCTACGTGTTTTAATATGTACGTTTTTGATCTTCATAACTGACTTTTTTGTGACTTTGTATTGTTCACCTACAGTTGTTAGTATATATTTTTACTGTATTTCAGTTATATTCACCAGTTTCAGCAAGTATTATAAAAACACGTTAGAATAACTACATTTTAGTGAAAATGCACAGTGTAGTGAAAAGCCAAAATGACTGCTCTGGGAGTTTTTGTTGATTCAGAATTCAGGGAGTATAAAATAATGGTTTAAATTGCCTGCTGATAATCTGGGTTTATATCTGTTTTATTGTCTGATATTACTAATCTGCTAGTGGCAAGTCAAGAAGCAATTCATTTTTCTATAGCCCTAGACAGATCAGAGAATCAAACAGTTTTGGAAAGAAATGAGACTACTGCTGTTGTGATTTTGGGTTGCACAAAATAAATGCATCCATTATAAAATTAGATATTGTATTAATCAAAATTAAGATTAGAAAGTATTTCCCTAAGGTAGACATTAGATCAATAAATGCATCTCAAGTTCAACTAATTTTATTTTTTTGCTCAAAAAAAAATAAAATAAAACGACCCACATCTTCACATTCTTCTCACTCAAGGAAAAAAAACTTCAACAAAATTGCAAATAAGACTGATATTGTACATTGGACACACTTGAAAAGGGAGTAAGCAGACTTCAGTTCCACAATGTCCTGCAAATGTTTTTTCTATAGGATACCAGTGTCAAAACCCACAACTGGAATATCTGCTTGTTTCTATAGCGATGGCATTGCCGAGTCTGGAATATTATATGTTTGGGGCAGGAAACAAGGAGGGAAAGAGGTGTCACCAGAACCTTGTATTAATTATTTACCTTTTCTCTATTTTAATGCTTTAAAGCAGCATTTCTATAGGTACAAGCAGGCAACCAGTTTGTCTATTCAACAGTGTTTTAACCTCAAACGTCCATGTAAATTTTGCTGAAAACTGACACACATTATGCATTTACTTGTCAAGTTAACGCAAAATATGCGGGGCAATGCATTTGTTATTATTAGGTCCTGTCCAAGCAGAATAAGTCCCTGCGGATAGAAGTAAGATTGAGATTGTGCACTGCAAAAAGGCATTCTTGTCACAAATGAAATGGCTTGAATTCAGGCATGTTTTCAATCAATGTATTTGTGACATGGATAAACATTAGTTTGCGTCTAAGTCATCGATGTCACCTATCGTCAGAAGTTCTTATATCTATTGTGAGGTTTATCTAGGTGAATATACTAAATAGCATGTCTCTAGTCAAAACACCTTGATTCAACGAAATCCTCTTGACATTTTTGCAGTGTAGGCTGATTAAAAGGCCCAATTCTGATTCAGATCATAGAGCTGGTTATAATTAACAGTCAGTAATTTGCTGCTTTTTTAAGGCAGAAATCTTTTAGAGCAAGATGATGTTAACAGTGAAATGCAGTTGTGTTAAAAAAAAAAAAAAAAAAAAAACATAAAACATACTAGGGCTGGGCGATAAAAAAAAAAAATTCATAAGAGGTGACAATTCCAGATTTTTAGTAGAAGAGAAAATGAAATCAGTTGAGAATTTAGATATCTTGGGGAATATGTTGGGTTATACAGGTCAAAAGTTATCACTTAAGTATTTAGCAAACTTGAATATGGATGGACCTAGCAATCTTGTTTTACGCTACAGGCGTTTCTTACAATTTGAGCTACGAACAGCAACCTGCACAACCAAAAACCAGGTACAGCTACCAAAATCTTTATCCATATTCAACACCTCAAAAGAAATGGCAAATTGGAATCAAAGTGTTATCGTCTTATCGCCCAGCCCTAAAACTAAATGGGAAAATCTGAACATGAAATCGCAACAAAAGCCCTTTATCAATTTGGCATTTATTCATAACCCCATTCCACTGAGCCTTGTTTTGACATTTTTTATTCATTTGCTTTTTTTTCCTCTAAAACCTGATGCTCGACTGAGTTTGGAAAAGCATTTCCGACATTGAGAAGTAAAATGGTCTGTACCTGTTCCAACTGCAGTGTATTTTATATTTACATGGATATTCAGCCAACAGTATTAGACAATGATCAGTGCAAAACAAAGTGTCTTTCTGTGTTCACACGCGTGGTACAATCAGAACAGCTTTCATTTGTAATACACTTGAATGGGTTGTACTGTAACTATAGTAAAAGGTCTTTAATTCGAGAGGTGAAACAGACGCCCTCCTCTGCCTGGCAGCGGTAGTGCAGGACAAAGTTCAGAAAAGTTAAAATAAAATAGAGATGGATGTTTCTTATGAACCAGATTGTGTCAGTCCTCTGCGCAGTGGGAGTGATGGGGCCCAGGCTTCACACTGTTCATGGCGGACCATATCACTGCAGAACCAACCCGACCTGTGGAAATAAGGAGCCATTTAATAAGCATTCATTTTTGCTTGATTGTCTAGTGTTTACAAGGTGCCCTATATTGTGCATTCTATTACCTTTTTGGTATTTGGAGATTTATAGAAATACAATCAATCTAATAAAAACAGCCCTCCACAGTCGTCTCTTTTCTTGAAGTTTGTAATTCACCCATTGGCCATGTTTGGGATGCTCTGGATCGCTGTATACTACACTGTGTTCCGGATCCTGCCATTATTCAGCTACTTCACAGTCACAGAAGAGGAGAGGACCAACATTCCATAGGACACAACTAGTAAAACTATACAAAGTGTCCAAATGCCTGAAGAAAATTGTGGTCTCACTGGTTTTCTGACCCGACCAAAAAAAAAATCCTTTGAGTCAGGCCTTTTATTGTGGGCAGCCTAAGACACACCTTCGCACTGTACATTCTAATCAGTATTTGGATTGTCAACCGAGGTGCTCAGTTACACTATACATTTTCTGTGTGCGTGGGAGTTTATATTTTTGTTTGGTGTAGTTCAGAAATGGTACGCAATGAACAAGAGAGCACTCAAATACCAAAGTTATTGGAAGACTGAAGTCTCATTATGCAGAGGTTAATCTCCTGTCACTGATGGGATCCCACTCAATTTTAAGCAGCCCTGAAAAAGTCTACTTAGTTCCCTAATTTTATAACGTTTTGTAATTGTCCTGTTGGTACGGAAAAAAACATATTATCTTCAGTTTTATTTGGTGATCAGGGCCTTCATTCATTTGAGAGCGCTGCTTCTGGTTTTAAATTAGTTTTTTTTTAAGAATGCATGGTTTCATAACTAGAGTACTTCTGCAGTCGCCCTTCACAGCAACAGCCTACCCTCTTAACATCCGCCTCATTTTGGCTTGTGCACAAAAGTTTGGCATACCCAAATGTCTTTGCTTATTTAAAAACACATGCTTATTTAAAAACACATCTTACATCTCACATGCTTGTGTGATGCATCATTTTAAAGCTAGAGCCTTCTAGTTTATGTAAAAAAACACTAAAATAATGTTTGTCATTCCTATTTTCCTCTGCATCCTTTGAAGTTAGGGAAAAAAACCCAATTTTTTTAGCCTCGCCTAACATTTTCAATTTCTAAAGGCCCTAAAAAAGGCATACTTCATTGTAAGTTCACAATATTCAAACCCTCTGTTCATTGTGTTGTTGACAACAACTGTCTAAAGTTTCAGACTTCTAAGTTTTATAGTTTTTATGCAGTTTCTCCTTTTCATCAAGTAGTGCACGGTAGCGTACTGATATCTTGTACTTTGAATGACACCTGTCAAGTAAAGACGTTACTGAAGTCACCGGAGTTTTCTGTATGTTCTACTTAAAAGTTATGTAAGAGACAAACATAACAAAACTGGCGACGAGGATTTACAAGAACCCATAAAGGCCTCTGGATGAATAACGGCAAGTAAAAAGGGTAAAAATGAACTTGGTTTGGTGAGAGAAATTTTCGTTGGCTCACTCCGAAGACAAACTAACGGGAGGTGGGGACGAAGTACCGTTACAGTAATCGGACGCAATAAAGTGACAGAATGTCGGGATTTGTTGGACATATGGACACATTTGACAGCTCCATAGAGGACTGGTCAATTTATGTTGAAAGATTTGACCAGTACTGCCTTGCTAACGGGATAGAGGATGAGAGGAAAGTCGCGGTTCTTCTGAGTCTCATGGGAGCGAAGACGTATAACCTCCTCCGCAGCCTCATCGCACCAGCCAAACCCGCAGACAAAACTATTGAGGAGATTACAAGAACACTCAAAAATCATTTGAATCCAGCACCGCTAGTGATCGCAGAGCGCTTCAGATTCCATAAGAGAAACCAAGCAAAGACTGAGACAGTGTCAGAGTACATCGCAGATCTGCGAAGACTGGCGGAACATTGTCAGTTCGGAGAGGGACTATCTGACGCATTGAGAGACCGGTTCGTCTGTGGTCTGCATAACGAGAGTACGCAAAAACGCCTTTTAACAGAAGAAAGGCTCACCTTACGGCGTGCGGTGGATATCGCTGTGTCAGTGGAAACCGCAGCAAGAGACGCCACTGAACTACAAGGTAAACAGCCCGCTGCATGCTCCGTGTACAAACTGCACTCAAAGCAGCGAAGTGTCAAATCAAAGCCTTGCTTCAGATGCGGTAAACAGTCACATGACCCAGCTGAATGTTGGTTTAAAGATAAAGATTGCAGACAATGCAACAAAAGAGGGCATATACAAAAAATGTGTAAAGCGAAATACAGCAACAATAAAGAAAACTAGTGCAAAAAGGGGACAAAAACTTCATAAAGTAACGGAAACTGAGTCAGATAGCTCAAGTGAAGAGGAACTGTCTTGTCTTGGACTGTATGCCACTAAAGAGGATGACAGTGATATAATATGGTTGACACCGAAAGTCAATGGTGTGCTATTAAAAATGGAACTGGACACGGGATCAGCACTGTCACTAATATCCAAGAAAGATTACATTAAAAACTTTCCAGAAATGAAGTTGTCTCGCACAAATGTGAAACTTAAGACATACACAGGTGAAAGAGTTGAGCCTCTGGGAAAACTGAATGTTAAGGTGAAATATAAAAAGCAAACAAGTAACCTTGAACTGTTCGTTCTCAAAGAGGGAGGCGCGCCACTGTTCGGACGTCAATGGCTAAGACAAATTAAACTGAACTGGCCAGAAATAAAGACCATGAGCCTGGCTTCCAAACAACACAAAGAGAAACAACTCAAACAAATATTAGACAACCACAGAGTAGTGTTCAGTGAGGGCATAGGGGCCATGAAACACATTAAAGCGTGTCTAGACCTTCAAAAAGACACAAAACCAAAGTTTCACAAAGCTCGTCCAGTGCCATATGCACTACGTCCAAAGGTTGAAGCTGAGCTACAACATCTAATGGATCAGGGGATCTTAACGAAAGTGGATTGGTCTGAATGGGCAACACCAATCGTTCCAGTGGCCAAGAAGTCTTCAGAACGAGTTCGTATTTGTGGGGACTTCAAGGTAACCGTTAACCCGGTACTGCACGCAGACCATTATCCACTTCCCCGCATTGATGACATTTTTGCATCTCTAGCAAATGGTGAGCACTTCACAAAAATAGATCTTGCTCAGGCCTATCTGCAAATGGAGATGGATGAGAGTTCACGGAAGTACCTCACCATCAACACTCACAAGGGTTTGTACCAATACAACCGACTTGTATTTGGCATTACAAGTGCCCCAGCAATCTGGCAACGTGCAATGGACCAGGTGTTACAAGGGATCCCAGGTACACAATGTTACCTGGATGACATCATAGTCACAAATTTTCGCATCTAGCAAACTTAGATGCGGTTCTCAACAAACTTGAGGAATATGGACTTAAAGCAAATAAAAAGAAATGTGAGTTTTTCAAAGAATGTATTGAGTACTGTGGACACAAGATAGACAAGAATGGACTACACTTTGATTTTAACCCTCTGGGGTCTAGAGCGTCGGATCCGACTCCTGCGCACATGTTTTATAAATGTTCAATTTTCTCATGAACGGCAAAACGTAGCGACTTACTTTTTTTTTCTCCGTGAAGTACACATTTCAGGCATTACAGCGCTAGTTTTGTTTTGTCTGTGTGACTTTTGGGGAATTTTCTACGTGTGTTTGAAAGTTGGTGTCCAATCGGATCTTCGAGCGGTCTCCCGTGAGGTAAAACAGCCAAAACAGTAAAGTTATTTTGCTTACACGCTGACACAGGGACTGCCAAAGATTGTCAGAGAGTAGGATGATCCACTCTCCTGTGTGTATTTATTGTCCCATAGTTGAAATTACAGCTGCGATTGCAATTACTGATGCGTAAAAGACGCATTATTTTAGCGGAATGTTACGAAAATGCGTCCCCGACACAGCTAATGTAGCTTTTGATCACTGATCTACGTGATCTACGAGTGATGTGTGTGTTCAGAGTCTGGGCTTGAAAGTGCATTACACAAAGATAGGAGGAGACGCAGATGCAGCGCTCACAAGAGCCAGAACCTGGCTGAACAGTGCGCATTATTGATGTAATTATATTATATATTTATTATTGACATTGATAAATACATTATAATGATATGATGTATATGAATATAAGATGTTGTTTTTCTTTCTTTGTTTTCTTAGTTTTTTTTGTTTTACATATCTTACAGCTGTGATACTGAAGCAATATATAGACATAGACGAACTGCTTCAGGAAGGGCATCAGGAGTACAGCGTTTTTTTCACTTGTAGTGGAATTTTGTAAAAATTATAATAGTCACAGGTTCAATTTTTTCCCCCATCAACCCCAAGACCCTAAATAACATTTCTATACAGTGTAAAACGTTAGCAATAGCATTTCATTGTGTTTTTCAAAACATTTTGGTGAAATTGAATTTCCGTTTCATTTTTTTCTTTGTCTTCATGATTCCATATTTTTTATATAATTCATATGACAGCTGTACACTATGAATATTATAAATCCACAGGTTGTACTGAAAAAAACAAAGTTTACTGCTTGACTCTGCATCACAAGATGACTGTTTTATGAGCAATTATACACAAAGAAAACCAGGCGAGGAAAGTTCCCCAAAATGAGCTTAGACCTTGAAGGGTTAATGCTATCTTGTTCAGCACTTTGAGTTGCCTTGTGTATGAATTGTGCTATACAAATAAACTTGCCTTGCCTTGCCTACACAAAACACAAGATAAAGTCGAGGCCGTAGTGAATTCTCCACAACCTGAAAATGTGAGTCAACTGCGATCCTTCCTTGGCCTTCTTAACTATTATCACAAGTTTTTGCCAAATCTGTCATCTGTGATCCACCCACTAAATGGTCTTCTCCATCAAAACGCTAAATGGAATTGGACTAATGACTGTGATGAAGCATTTAAAAATGCAAAAAGACTCATTATCTCAGACAAAGTTTTGACACACTTTGACCAAAAGTTGCCCCTACGACTTGCCTGTGATGCTTCACCATGCGGCATTGGTGCCCTTTTGTCACACAAAATGACTGATGGCTCAGAACGCCCCATTGCTTTTGCATCACGCTCTTTGTCACCGGCAGAGCGTAATTATGCACAAATAGACAGAGAAGCTCTAAGCTTAGTATGGGGAGTAAAAAAGTTTAACCAATATTTGTATGGAAAGCATTTTATTCTGATTACAGATCACCAGCCATTAGTCTCCATTTTCAATCCTCAGAAAAGTGTTCCAGCAATGGCAGCAGCTCGTCTACAGCGTTGGGCTCTCTTTCTGGGAGCTCACACATACACCATTGAATACAAGGGAACAAAGCAACATGGAAATGCAGATGGATTATCCCGCCTTCCTCAGCCAAACACAGGTAAAGGCACCGACCCTGCTTTAACCCTTCACATGCTGCAAATGGAATCTCTCCCAGTGACTAGTGCACAAATAAACAAAGAAACAAGAAATGACCCACTGCTATCTAAAGTGTATGACTTAACTGTAAGTGGTTGGCCCACTCATACAGACACTGAACTGTCAGATTACTTTACAAGGAAAGATCAACTCACTGTGTGCCACGGTTGTGTAATGTGGGGTTCACGTGTCATTGTACCACCCAAACTGCGCTCAAAAGTGCTTAGCTCACTGCATGATGGACACATGGGGGTTGTTAAAATGAAAAGCCTTGCTAGAAGTTATGTGTGGTGGCCTGGCCTTGATAACCAAATAGAGACTCTTGTGAAAACATGCACAGGTTGCCAACAAACCCAGCGACAACCTCAGCTTGCTCCTGTCCACACTTGGGAATGGCCAACAGCTCCATGGCAACGCCTACATGTGGACTATGCTGGACCCTTTATGGAACATATGTTCCATATTGTGGTTGATGCACACTCAAAATGGCCTGAAGTTTTTACAGTAAACAAGGCAACTACAACTAAAACAGTGGCCCAACTGCAAATGCTTTTTGCACGTACTGGTTACCCGCTTCAACTGGTCAGCGATAATGGAACACAGTTTACCAGTGAAGAGTTTCAAATGTTCCTGAAAAACAATGGAATAAAACACATCACTTCTGCTCCTCACCATCCAGCAACCAATGGACTGGCTGAGCGTTTCGTACAGACTTTTAAACAGTCCATGAAAGCAAGTAGGAAAGAGGAAGTGCCGCTGCAGCAGAAAATTGCCAACTTTCTACTGGCATACCGAAATACGCCACACACAACAACTGGACAATCACCTGCAATGTTGTTTATGGGAAGAAACTTAAGGTCTCGTTTGGATCTATTAAAACCTGACATCCGTCAACATGTTACAAACAAACAAAGTTCTTCCACTCAACAACAACGAAAACTACGATCATTTGATATTGGACAAAAAGTGCTGGCTAGAGACTATCGCAACCAAAGTGACAAGTGGCATCATGCTGAGATTTTGTCACAAACTGGACCACTCTCTTACACTGTAGGTGTGGAACCTAATGTCGTCTGGCGCAGACATATCGATCAACTTTTGGATGCATCACCTGGAAAAGACGCAAACCCACCAGTGACACCAACTGTCCCAAGTCAAAAGGACAGTACATTACCACCAGACATGACAGTAAGTAAGTAAGTAGTAAGTTTTTATTTATATACCGCCTTTTCACTGCAGATCTGAGTCTCAAAGCGGTTTACAATTGTTAATTTTGGGCATTTGTCTCTCACTCCACACAGAGATGGGAGCAGAGTCGCCAGTACAGGAGGCACATGCCAGAACTATTGGACATATTTTTAGTGGTAGGGGAAACCGGAGTACCCGGAGGAAACCTACGCAGACACGGGGAGAACATGCAAACTCCACTCAGAAAGGCCCTGGTCCGACCGGGATTCGAACCCAGGACCTTCTTGCTGAGAGGCGAGAGTGCTATCCACTCAGCCACCGTGCCGCCCAGTGGAAACCAACTCCACACCAGAAACTATTGACTGTCCCAGACCTGTCATAAACCTGTCTGATCCTCCGGGACGCAGATATCCTGAGAGGCACCGCAAACCTCCTGACAGACTTGGTTCATAGACTAAAAGTGTTGTATAAACCAAGTGTTGTAACAAAACAAAAATGTTATGCATTTAAATGTGCATTTGTTATTGAAGTTGTTATTGAAGTTGTTATTCAAGTAACCATTTATCTTACTTTTGATTTTTGTTTGATAAGAGCATAAAAGCTGGAAGGGAGGAATTGTTATGTATTGATTACAACAGTAGGGACTACTTTCTCTCGAGTATACGCACAGCGCATATGTAACGAGTACGCGGGTAGCGTACTGATATCTTGTACTTTGAATGACACCTGTCAAGTAAAGACGTTACTGAAGTCACCGGAGTTTTCTGTATGTTCTTCTTAAAAGTTATGTAAGAGACAAACATAACATGCACATTTCTTTACTTACATTTAATCATCATAAAAACAATATTTTTTATTATTGGTACTTATAAGTTACTAATCTATGTGTGTTTTTCTTTTTTAAATGTCAAAGTTATTTTTTTATGAGTGTAAATTCATTGCAGCTTCGAGAGCGTCTTTTGGCTGCCATTACGCACAATTGTCCAGGCCCAACATAAGACAGGACACCATTGTCCCACCCCTTGTTCGAAAGCTTTCCTCATTGGCTACAAGGACATGTCAATCGTAAATCCCGGAAGTAAAAGCAAACAAGTTGGGATCACAACAAAGATCAGTGATCAATGCGCAAACAGCGGCACTAGCTGTACTCGCGGTAGCTCTTGCAGACCCAAAAATTGGTCTAGCTTTTCGGGAGTAGTCTCATTTGAAAGATAAGGAGCTAAGGAACACGTAAATACCAGATGTTTGGGTGAAAAACAAAGCTAAAAGTCCGTTAAAAGTGAAAGAGTAACATCTGTGCTCTTTTTTTTGTTTTTTTCGCTAAAGATAAATGCACATTTTTGGATTATTTCTGCAGAATGGATTTTACTTTGGGAAATACAAGTGGATATAATTTTCCTTTGGACTGTTCCAGAGAGAATGATGTATTGCAAGCTGGGAGGAGAGCTGATTTATTTGTACAGCACAAGCCCAAAGGTAAAAAACTATTTTGGAATTGATTTATTTTGTGCCCACATTATGTGTTATATCTTTTGAATGCAAAGTCTGATGTAGTTTACACTTATATATAAATGTAGATAAGAAAATAAGCTTTAAAATGATATACAGCTTTTGGGGTTTGGTGTTCAAAATACATCTGCTATTGCCAGCAGAACATTTAAAAACATAAAAACGGCCGCCGGCGCGCCGGTTGCAGTAAAGAGGTTAAATTAAATGTATAGATGATTAATTTGGGTTAAAAAGGGTCAAAAATGTATTCTAACGTTTTGGGAAGAAAACATATGTACCATCACTTCTAAAGCAGAGATTTACCTGATGAACGTTACATTTATTGTCAAACAATAAAGGTGTGTTCGGTTTGAGTCAATTCCCCATCCATGGTTTCAGTTGTAGTCTTGCATGTTATGAAACTTACCTTTTCTGAGCCCATGCTGGGACACTTCCAATTGTACAGATAATACTGTAGATTTCCATCTCCTATTCCAAACTTGAGCTTCTCCAAGAAAGTTTTATTTTCCATTAAATCCAGTGCATTGAAGACATCAAATCCTTTCTGTTCACATTGGGAACATAAAAATCAGGTGATAGGCAAAGAATCATTAGATCAAATCAGAACAAAGCAGAAAAACGCACCGATTTAGCCAGGATGAGTGCGTCAGACATGAGGTCGAGCATAGAGGTGGTGGTGTGGACGTTGTAGAAGGAGTAGGCGGCTTTTAGACTGCGGTGCACAGGGTGGTTCATGATGGTGGAGGGCAGTGTGTAGAAACTTAGAAAATCAGTCACTTTACCACCATTCTAGAAAGAGAAAACTGGTTTGAGTTTGGATATAAACTGAAGAATGTAATGCAACAGGAAAAAGAGACATTCAAAAGTACTTGTCAAAACATTTTGTTTAAAACAAGGCTTTAAACAAGAGTTGTGTCTATAACAACGGAGTCTGTTGCAGAAAATTTTAACATGTGGGGTAACGTGTGCTCGCCAGCCTGCACAACTTGTGGGAGCGGCTCCACTCGGCAACCAGCAATCGAAATATCAAAAGTGGTCAGAAGACTCTTTACTCCTTGTTTTTCCGAGACTTATGTAATTTTTTTCACAACGACTCACTTCATTTGCAGACAGAAAAAACTTGTGCAGTGGGCACCAAGAAGATGTAAATAACTCCATAAATAAAACCTTTAAGTATTGTACCAATTACCTCCACTAAGAAAGTGTCGATGATATTCTCTCGAGGGAGCAGCCAGTGGGCCACTTCCTCCTGGTTCATCTCAGGCACCAAGTTAAACTGACTCAGATACTCATGGAGCAGGCGATGCACCACTGGCACGTCCTTTTTGGTCATGGGCCTCAGACCTGACGTCTTTGGGGTCTGAATCAGACAGGGAGAACAGGTGAGATTTTTTTTTCTCAATCACCTTTAAATTAATAAATAAAAACAATTTAAAAAAATGACCTCAGGCAAACGATACAACTTCATGGTGCGCTGCATAGTCATGTTCCTGCTTAGATGAGAGAACTTCACCTCGATTAGTTTCCGTGGGTTCAAAGAGCGATGCCAGTACCTGCCAAAAAAAAAAAAAAAATTGTTAATACCACTTCTATATAGTATATATAAATAAATCCATCAGACCTGCATGTGCCGACCGGTTTTGGCAGTACCACTCCAGCCGTGTACACGGCCTGGAAGATGCCCTCGCGGTTCACTCGTCTGGTGATCTCTCGGATCAGCACCGGAGCCACACGTTTGGACCGAAGCTTCTTATGGACGCAAAGGAAGTTAATCTCCACCATTTTCTTCTCTCTAAAACAAAAGACATTTCATATGCTAATAACATTACCTGATGGTACAACAAACATAATAAAAACGTTTGTCTTATTTTCCACTTACATGTCATAAATCCGTATGTTAGCGGGGATGGCACTGATGAAGCCAACCAGTTTTTGGTTTGAGTTTACCCTGACTCCACAATGCCATTGGGGCAACCAACCAGGAGGCCGCAGAGCCCTGGTAAAGCAAATTAAACACATTAATATATCAGTGTGAATTACTAAAATAAAGAATACATTTACAAATGTAAACCCATGAATTAATTTTACCCACATATATGAGTAAAATTAATAGTATCCCAATGATACAACATAAAAAAAGTGCTTTATCAATTAATCTCCAGTTCTGGAGAAGGTAGTCTCAAATCCACTGTTGCCACACTCATAACCCAATAAGACTCCAATCTGGTTTTCATTCTGCCCACAGCACTGAGGTAGATGTAAGGTACGATTACATGACGTTTAGGTCATGCTAAATCACTTGTGGAGAGCCACAGGGGAACGTTCTGGGTGCTACTCTCTCATCATTCCACTTCCTCTGCACTCCTGCTGTTAGGACTTGTCTGCAGCAACAAAATGGAGGCCATTCTCTTGGTACCTGACGACTAACCAGTCATCCCTCATCACAAGCATCCTTGTTTCTGGTCACAAAATTCCCCTGTCCTCTTTTGTCACAAACCTCTAGAAGTCAAACTTGATCCATATTTGACCACATGGCCAAACTTCCTTTCTTCATCTCAGCAATAATAATATGCAGAAAAAAACTGAATGATGCAGTTATCTCTATAAGACAGGAGGAATGAAACACCCTCCTTGTTGGAATAAAGAGGTTGCTAAAGCTTCAGCACATTCAAAATAGTTCTGCCCTGGTCTGACTAAGCTAGTTCTCAGTACTGCTTGTGTACAGAGAAAGACAAGCGGATTTACCAGAGCAGGAACTCGGGGGAGTAGTCAAAGCGGAACATGTTGTCATCGTCTTCCACGTAGTTCTCATTCAGAAGTGTGTAAAGCTCTTTCAGCTGATTGAGAAAAAGAAACATTAACAAATATTAGATTTATTTCAAATCTTACTGATGCTGGTCATAGAGTGAATGGCCATGAATGATCTACAAATCGTGATGGTTTATCCATAAGACTAAGAATTTGCCAGAACAACCAAATATATCTTTTCATGCTGAAATTTCTTACCACTCCAGAGTCGCCCAAATCCAGGGTATCCCAGCAGAAGCCCTGTGGGAGGCTGTAGGGCTCCTCTCGGATCTGGTCTTTGTCTGCTTCGATGCAGCCGTGTGATGTCACCGTCTCCCCTGAACAAATACTCAAATTTAGCACAGAAATAAAAGTTTCATGTTGTATAAGGTTTTTAAAAATTCTGAAGAATATAGTAATTTTATTCAAACTGATCGGGAAATGTAGCAGCAGTGAATACAACATTTTGAACCCTTTGTGTGAGACTGCAGCAGAGTTATGCAAGATGACTAAAACATCAAACACTTCAGGAATGTGTGGAAGAACTGTTTCGTTGTGGGAATATTGCAAATATGAATTAAGGATCATCGTACCCAGTTTAGGCACAGGTTGCGTGTCCCAAAATTGGTAGCTTCTTCGGGTTGCTTCCTCCATGGTTTTGGCGGGGCCTTGACCAACAGAGAACAACTCGATGGCCTTTTGGATCTCTTGTAGCTTATCCGCTGGCAACGAGTTCACCTGTTTAAAGGAACAAGAAACTTACTCACATGCTTCTGTAAGTCCAATACTTCATTAGTAGTAGAAGAATGAATGGGACTGGAAAAAGTTGTCCTCTTGCTCAGTATTAATATTTAACCTGTGGTTGGCAGACAACCAGAGATGTATTACTCGCCCCTTCTGGAATGCAGTGTTGGCGATAAGAGTTTGCCAACAGCTTTGATTTGGGTGAGACATCTCAAAATTAGGGAAATATATTTTTGTCCTGTTCAGAATTGCAGATGTGCCAATAAAAACTAGTTTACGCTAAAGTGCTGGCTAACAAACTGCTAACTTTAGTAGTTTCACTTCTCAAATGTAGTTTTTGGCAATTGTTTTAGTTAAAAAGGTCACATCTGAACTCTTGTCTGAAGTGGAAGCAGCTTGGATCACTTCCCAGTTTACCAGTGATAAATATCAATTTACTCTAACGCTAATGTTAGCTTAACTTAACAACGATGACACTGAAATTTCTCCACTGTGAGACTAATAAAGGCTTATCTTATCTTATTTTAGTTTCCATTGAAGGGTACTAACATTTGTTTTGTGTACACATAATTCTAAGCTGCCCTGTTTTTAATACAAGCCAAGTACCAAGTCAGTGCTTCAACTTGATGGAAAACTATGAGAAAAGACCTGAAGAACTAAAAACAAAATCAAAAAGATCAAGTCGAGTCTTTGCATATTGACCACATGCATATTAACTCATCTCTTCCTGACACTGAGATTAATCCTTATTAATTAAGAGAACTAGGGACATATTGATAATAAAAAGCCTGCCTTGGCGAGAGGGTCCTGGGTCCCGTCTAATGCAGGCGACTTTTTCTTCTTTTTCTGCTTCTTTTTCTTCTTCTTGGTGCCAGAATCGTCACCCTTGTCACTGTTGGGGGGGGGACACAGAAGGAAGAGGTCATTATTGTGTCTTATGAAAATAAATATAGTGAAGGCACAGAAAAAAGTCCACGTTCTTTCTTTCAACTCTAGCACTGATCGATCATGTAGAATAAGTGCAACATCTTGTGACCAAGCCCCAGATCTCCAAAATGTCTGCCCATTCAAATCAAAGCCCTCTGCTCATATGGAGGACCAAAAATGACTAAAGTATAAATAAATAAATAAATAAATACAGGAATATATTAAAAAATACATTCATTTTGGACAATAAAAACTAAATATTTACATTGATGTGTTAAATATTACTATGAAATCAAATAAATATACTTTTATTTAGGTTAATATATAAATATATCTAATAGTCTTTCCAGCCGAAAGAGTAGATAGTCCTCAGGTGCATTATGCTCAACATCATTAACATCATTTGCTAATGCTCTTAATTGATGAGCAACGGCTCCTAAAAAACTTACATTCGAAACTGCCATCATACCACACAAAAGTGCACGGAGGATCTCTAGCTAGCTAACAGAGTACCGTAATGTGAGGCAGTAAATGATCGAGACCAGAGTTCACGCAATCCTAACCAATCCTGTTCTAGATTGAGTTCAGCACCGCCCACCTAATTAGTATACAGGAACACAAAAATACATAAATAAATAAATGAAGAAATGTAGAAATACATAAATAAATAAATGAAGAAATGTAGCGACACAGAAATACATAAATAAATAAATGAAGAAATGTAGAAATACATAAATAAATATATGCAATAAATGGATAAATAAATAAAGGAAAAAATGTAGATATTGATAAATAACCTAAATAAAAGTATATTTATTTGATTTCAGAGTAATATTTAGCATATCAATGTAAATATTTAGTTTTTATTGTCCAAAATGAATGTATTTATTAATATATTCCTGTATTTATTTATTTATTTATTTATTTATTTATACTTTAGTCATTTTTGGTCCTCCATATGCTCATTGGTGCCGTGGATTAATAAAAAGCAGTCACTATATAACCTATTTGTTTAACGCATGTTTTCACACACAATGCTGATCTAATGTATTCATTTTATTTTATTTAACAAGGAAAACCCCACTGAAATGTTCCTGGCGTATTCAGCAACACTCATAAAACTAAGTCAGGAACATCTTGGCTGCACAATAACCATTTGACAATTATTTGAATACAACTGTGTTTTGCCTTATACAAAAACACGTCAACAGACTGTTAAAAATACAAAAACTGCGGCTGCAAATTACTTCCTTGGGCTGCAAGATATGTTAACTCCAATTTGAGATTTTAATGGTCAGAATAAGGGAAAGTTCAAGTTTGATGAGGGAAAGTCTTTGGGGGACATGAAGGTAGTGCAATTTAGAGCTACAAAACCACACTCTCCAAATCTGAATTTAGTTTAGTCTTGATAATATTCAAACAAGAATGCCCTTGTGCATGTTTTAAACGTGTATAGCATGAAACTAAATTAAACTTAAATCACATATTTAAATGATTTAATGGATATTTTAGTAAGTAAGTAAGCTTTATTTATATACCGCCTTTCACAGACCAGAGTCACAAAGCGGTTTACAATTGATATTTTTTGGGCACTTGTCTCTCACTCCACACAGAGATGGGAGCGGGGTCGCCGAACAGGAGGCGCATGCCAGACCTATTGTACATATTTTTAGTGGTAGGGGAAACCGGAGTACCCGGAGGAAACCTACGCAGACACGGGGAGAACATGCAAACTCCACTCAGAAAGGCCCTGGTCCGGCCGGGATTCGAACTCAGGACCTTCTTGCTGAGGCGAGAGTGCTATCCACTCAGCCACCGTGCCGCCCATTTCACATTTTCTGAAATGTTTGGTATTCACTTAATTTGTACGCAATTTCAATTTCAATAGTATGGGGTAAGGTTACTGTCAATAAAGACGTGCATGTCTAAAAAAAATGCGTGCATATTTATTGGTATTTGTGCATAATTTATTTTTATGAATTCATGATTAAGATAATACAAACTAAAAAGACATGGAATTTTGTAATTAAGAATAAAAAAATATAAAACTATGTGTGATTTTGTACTTGTGAATACGATTGGGGGGGGGGGGGGGGACACAGAAGGAAGAGGTCATTATTGTGTCTTATGAAAATAAATTATAGTGAAGGCACAGAAAAAAGTCCACGTTCTTTCTTTCAACTCTAGCACTGATCGATCATGTAGAATAAGTGCAACATCTTGTGACCAAGCCCCAGATCTCCAAAATGTCTGCCCATTCAAATCAAAGCCCTCTGCTCATATGGAGGACCAAAAATGACTAAAGTATAAATAAATAAATAAATAAATACAGGAATATATTAAAAAATACATTCATTTTGGACAATAAAAACTAAATATTTACATTGATGTGTTAAATATTACTATGAAATCAAATAAATATACTTTTATTTAGGTTATTTATCAATATCTACATTTTGTCCTTTATTTATTTATCCATTTATTGCATATATTTATTTATGTATTTCTACATTTCTTCATTTATTTATTTATGTATTTCTACATTTCTTCATTTATTTATTTATGTATTTCTACATTTCTTCATTTATTTATTTATGTATTTCTGTGTTGCCGTATGCTAATTAGGTGGGCGGTGCTAAACTCAATGATTGGTGGGCAGTAGGGCAACCAGACAGAAGCAAAGTTAAGCCTAGCGTACATCGACAGAGAAACTGGGGACAACTAGTTGCAAGGCGGCTTTTGGCAACTGAGAGGAGATGGTGGGAGATGATCAGTTGCCAAAATCGGTCGATGTGAGCGCTCTTACAACTGGAGATGAGCAGTCGGTCTCCAGTTTCAGTCAGTTGCCCGTGTTCTACTTTTCGGCAACTAGTTGTCCTCAGTTTTTGAGACATGACCCGATGTGCGCGCTCCATGCGCCGCTCCGACAACGTGTGTGTATTGCGTGTATTGCGAGCCCGCAACAGTTTATGTCAGAAAACACACTGTAGTTGAGGCCAGTTGCTGTCGATGTACGCGCTGTTATTCCCGAGACTGGTCTGCTACTGGGAGTTGCCCGTTTTCGTCAGATTGTCGATGTGTGCGGGGCAGCAACTCATATGCGACGGATATAATCAGTTGCCAGTCTGATGTACGCTAGGCTTTAGCCTTCTCGGTTTGTGAGAGGATGTGAAGCTGCTGTATAGCTTGTTGAAGAGCGTCCAGCACAGTTGCATCAAAGTCTACCTCTGGGTCAGCACTGTGATGAACTAAAACATCTAATAGTCTTTCCAGCCGAAAGAGTAGATAGTCCTCAGGTGCATTATGCTCAACATCATTAACATCATTTGCTAATGCTCTTAATTGATGAGCAACGGCTCCTAAAAAACTTACATTCGAAACTGCCATCATACCACACAAAAGTGCACGGAGGATCTCTAGCTAACTAACAGAGTACCGTAATGTGAGGCAGTAAATGATCGAGACCAGAGTTCACGCAATCCTAACCAATCCTGTTCTAGATTGAGTTCAGCACCGCCCACCTAATTAGTATACAGGAACACAAAAATACATAAATAAATAAAAGAAATGTAGAAATACATAAATAAATAAATGAAGAAATGTAGCGACACAGAAATACATAAATAAATAAATGAAGAAATGTAGAAATACATAAATAAATATATGCAATAAATGGATAAATAAATAAAGGAAAAAATGTAGATATTGATAAATAACCTAAATAAAAGTATATTTATTTGATTTCAGAGTAATATTTAGCATATCAATGTAAATATTTAGTTTTTATTGTCCAAAATGAATGTATTTATTAATATATTCCTGTATTTATTTATTTATTTATTTATTTATACTTTAGTCATTTTTGGTCCTCCATATGCTCATTGGTGCCGTGGATTAATAAAAAGCAGTCACTATATAACCTATTTGTTTAACGCATGTTTTCACACACAATGCTGATCTAATGTATTCATTTTATTTTATTTAACAAGGAAAACCCCACTGAAATGTAATCCTGGCGTATTCAGCAACACTCATAAAACTAAGTCAGGAACATCTTGGCTGCACAATAACCATTTGACAATTATTTGAATACAACTGTGTTTTGCCTTATACAAAAACACGTCAACAGACTGTTAAAAATACAAAAACTGCGGCTGCAAATTACTTCCTTGGGCTGCAAGATATGTTAACTCCAATTTGAGATTTTAATGGTCAGAATAAGGGAAAGTTCAAGTTTGATGAGGGAAAGTCTTTGGGGGACATGAAGGTAGTGCAATTTAGAGCTACAAAACCACACTCTCCAAATCTGAATTTAGTTTAGTCTTGATAATATTCAAACAAGAATGCCCTTGTGCATGTTTTAAACGTGTATAGCATGAAACTAAATTAAACTTAAATCACATATTTAAATGATTTAATGGATATTTTAGTAAGTAAGTAAGCTTTATTTATATACCGCCTTTCACAGACCAGAGTCACAAAGCGGTTTACAATTGATATTTTTTGGGCACTTGTCCTCTCGCTCCACACAGAGATGGGAGCGGGGTCGCCGAACAGGAGGCGCATGCCAGACCTATTGTACATATTTTTAGTGGTAGGGGAAACCGGAGTACCCGGAGGAAACCTACGCAGACACGGGGAGAACATGCAAACTCCACTCAGAAAGGCCCTGGTCCGGCCGGGATTCGAACTCAGGACCTTCTTGCTGAGGCGAGAGTGCTATCCACTCAGCCACCGTGCCGCCCATTTCACATTTTCTGAAATGTTTGGTATTCACTTAATTTGTACGCAATTTCAATTTCAATAGTATGGGGTAAGGTTACTGTCAATAAAGACGTGCATGTCTAAAAAAAATGCGTGCATATTTATTGGTATTTGTGCATAATTTATTTTTATGAATTCATGATTAAGATAATACAAACTAAAAAGACATGGAATTTTGTAATTAAGAATAAAAAAATATAAAACTATGTGTGATTTTGTACTTGTGAATACGATTTTTTTTTGTGTGCTTGCTTTTTCTTTTTGAGAATGCGAATTTCAGCAGTGAGCAAACTGTCAATAATACGTCACTGCTCACAGACATTAACAATCGAGCTGCGCAGAGTTGATCATGGCAGAGGGCAACAACATTAACAATTTGGCTCAAAATCAGGTAAATAACTATATTTGATCATTTTGGTCGTAAATAAATGTGTAAGAAATATTAATTCCATAAAATGTGTTCATAAGATGTTTCTTGTCCCTCTCTAGAAACGTTTTTTTAGGCAGTGTTTAGTTAACACTAGCTTCAAGGCTAGTTTTACAGCTTACCATGTTATTTTAAAACCAACATTTTTACATTCTTAGCAGTTACATTTTATGAAGCCTTTGCCCCAAATCAATGTGGTTAAAGTGTTGATACCAGTCCCAACCCTCCAGATTATTCATAGTTCGCGCTGTTACTGCCCCTGAGCAATATGGAGAACACCTCTGTGCTTTACTCATCCTTGGTTGTTAGACGTAGCAGACCCTGTCCCTGTGGACCTCAATCTTATATTTGTACATTTGACACATTACTTTTACTCACTAGTTCAGTAAGACTAGTTAGTCTGTTGTTTAGACTAAAATAAATGCATTATTTTCTGTAGAATAAAACAATATAAGGATAAGAAAATAAAACTAGCATTGGAGCTAACAACACTGCCAAAAACCTTTAGAGGGACAAGAAACATCTTATTATGAACACATTTATGGAATTAATATTTCTTACACATTCATTTACAACCAAATGATAAAATATAGTTATATACTTGATTTTGAGCCGCTTTGTTTATGTTGTGTCCTTCTGCCATGTTTAGTTTTTAGGCAATGAAGTTGATCAACTCTGTGCAGGCTCGATTGTTAATGTCTGTGAGCAGTGACGTATTATTGACAGTTTGCTCACAGCTGAAATTCGTATTCTCAAAAAGAAAATGCAAGCACACAAAAAAAAAATCGCATTCACAAGAACAAAATCACACAGTTTTATATTTTTTTTATTCTTAATTACGAAATTCCATGTCTTTTTAGTTTGTATTATCTTAATCATGAATTAATAAAATATTTGTATGCACAAATACCAATAAATATGCACGCATTTTTTTTAGACATGCACGTCTTTATTGACAGTAACCTTACCCCATACAATAGCAACTATTTTAAAGTTGTTATTTTTACTTGTTAAACATATATATTGATGTTGGTCATAAATATTGCAAATAGTGATATGTTTCTGATATAACTGATATGTTATTTTTCAAGTATTGGGATTGTATTACACATAAAAAGGCTGGATAGCTGCAGACGTCCTCATCAGCTCTCTTCCATGGCAGTATTATGGAATAGTTCAGACCCATTTTAACAAAACTCCATTTGTAGGCCAAAGTTGAGCGTTCCCTTGTCCCACCTCGTCTTCCTTCTGAGTGTTCGTACTTACAGATAATCTCATTAGAGTCCGAGGAGCCGTGGCCCAGGGAGCAGCAGCACAGATGGTTAATCACATGACCTCTGTGGCAGAGTTAATGTATGTACGAGCCAGGGGTCAGCGAGTGGCTCTTTGGACAATGGACAACAAAGCTTTGAATGGTTGTTTCCACAGCCTTCCACTACATCACAGTTCATCACGAGAATTTTTGTTTTCTAGTCTAAAAAGAGCACTCCATATTTGCTTCAATTCAATTAATTGTCATCACATTTCTTTCACCAGAGGGAGCCGATTTCAAACCAAACATTGTGGTTTTAACTTGTTTTAATGAGTGAAAACTCTGAAACATATGGAAGAGACTAGCAAAATACAACACAATATCTATGGTCACACTGACCATATGGCAAAATCATGTGATTCTTTGATAAGGCATACAATGTGCTAAACTTGTTTCAAAAGCATGAAATACAAAGTTTGGACATGTACACAAGGAACTCTTTTTTTCATTAAATATATATCGCAAAATTGTTCAGCCTTAATAGGTTATAATTCTGGTTAACTAAATTTATCCTCGACTTGTGACCATACTTTTGTCTTTTCTGTTTTTCAGAGTAATATATATCTATCTAACTATAGCCATAAACCATTTCCTTGTGGTAGTTGACTACAATAAGTTCCGATCACACACTCATTTAAACCATGCTCACACCTCTACACACCCAAGGCAAGCAGTTTATACAAGACTTTAAAATGTTCATCATTAATTCAAGTTGTGTGACTGAAAGAATTTTCTTATTGCTGATCTCATCTGTAAGTAATGTAGATTTTGACATTTAATCTGATGTTCTTCAATCATTCATGAGTGAATTTTGGCATACTGCCCACCCCATGTTGAGATGACTCAGGGAAGTTGATACACCAGCATAGATAACAGAAAACATAGTATATGCCACTTTGTGAGAGTTGCATCTGCCCTGGAGTTCAAACTTAAACAACTCTTGAATCGTTATTAGGTCATAGATCATTTTTGCAATACATTCCATTACTTTACTATAATTTCGAATGTTTTATTAAAACTCCATTTGACATAAAAAACCTCAAACTGCAATATAATGCACGCAGACAAAAAAAAATGCAATGCTAGATCTTAAACAGACACGCAAATATTGATGTGTTATGATTAGAGCGGATATATTTTATAACATGTCTAAAATAGTAAAGTGCTAGTGCTTATGAGTATAGTGAAATAAAAGGTAAGATAATCATTTATGGTGGTGAATGGTAACACTCGTTTGTTTCGCTTTCAGTGCAGCTTATGCCAAGAATTAACACAATAGGGTTTTTGGCAGCTAAATTAGCTTGAAAGCTAACTAAATGCCAAATGAGCCTAGAAATAAACGCTCTATTTGCACGATTAATCAAGCAACATTAACTGCAATTGCAATTATATAATGACTTTTGAAAGCGTAAACAGGTTAGTTGATAGTATTTCTGTTATTAGATAGCTTTAGGCACACTTTTGATCCTAATTTCACATTAAGCTAAACTGGGAGGAAAGCGAGGTTGAACCCGCCTACACCCGGAAGAGAAATCAAAAGGAGCCAATCAGATCACACAATGCGCAAACTAACAACCACTTCAACCAATCGGGTAACGCCAAGTGGGCGGGACTAAAGCTGCCAGGCGCTGTCTACTCTAGCAGCCCGACTTGGCTTTCAATCTGTGATCTTTAAGTGAAAATAGCATGGAAAACGAGGGAAGATTTCGCGCTGATGTTGTACCAGAGGACTTCATTTACCCCTCGCCGAAGTGGTGCTCGTCATTTTCACAGTCGCTGCAGTGTCCGTGGTCTTCTACATCTTCGTTCTCCTCCATCGGTGCTGTCTCATTCTCATCCGCCATCTTCAACGCGGAAGTGTGAGAAGCACGCGTGCACCCCACCTCCGCCCTCCCCCAGAGACACAGCACGCCTTTAACACTGCCTTCATGTTATTGGTTCTGTCAGTGTTGGTGGTGAAAAGATAGGCTTGAATACACTTTAAGTATTTAACTTGCTGGTCCCATATGGTTGGTCTGTAAAGAATACAGTCTATTGTGGGTAGCCTTTTAAATGCCCTTTGATCGCTCACTCTAAACGGTCTCCATGGATACGAGTAAAACAAATGGTATATTTTAGCTTCTGAGTCCCACAACAATCCAGTGAAGAGACTTAGTTGACAATAAATTAGCCTAACCGCAATCAAAGCAATAAGCAACTTACCTTAACCTCTTTGTCATACATTCAAAGTAAGACATTTTTATATATATAAGCTATATTTACCTGGTTGGTACATAATACATTGAACTGCATCACTGTATAAGTTTTTAATGAACATGTTCCAAAGCCATTGTAAGATGTATAATTTACTCAAAATATTTGTTTTTTATTCATTTAAGATACATGTACGACCTGAACTATTCCAAGTACTCCTGGAAAGCCATGGTTGGGTAAATTGATCCCTCTGCTCCCTAGGGTGATCACCTGTCCCTCTGCCACTCAAAGAGACAAGGCATTTCAGATAAAAGTATTTGTTTAATTATATCAGTCTAACTTTTTTTATTACCGCATTGTAATTCAAACTACCCTGACTGAAGCCGTCTTATGTAAGATTTGAGTTTGAATTTTCAAAAAGGATTAAATCAACACATAGGTAAACTCTAGGTTAAGTTTATTAAATATGGTATGACAACATTATCCAAACCATTATCAAACTGTAATTATACCAGTAGCATTGATATAGTTATTTCTTGAATCTCAAATCTTATTTCACAAGAATTAAGATACAGCAGTGTTCAAATTTTTTAGTAAAACAATAGTAGATCCTTTGCTCACATAAAACAACAAATTCACATTATTAATCAAATTGAACATTGTTAGTGTTAGAATAGTTTAGCACATATTGAAATATTAAATACAGAACAATGAATAAAAGTGCTTACAACAGGCACAGTTCTGTCAGTATTTGTAAGATTATGCAGTAGTGTGTAAGTAATATGTAATCCACGAGATAAGCCAACACAGAATAATCAAAACAACAATTAAGAGGTTTTGTAAACAACAAGTGTCTGTTTAAGAAGATGTCATAATAAGAATACTGTTATGGGGCCTATACTTTTCTCATCAGTAACAAAGTGCATGATGTGGGAGGCGTTTCAAGTAAGACTGGGTGTGCATCACCCAATTGTTAGACCTTGTATGTTTTTTGTTAAATGCAACAATAATAAAAGTAAAATCAAAACATTAAAATAATTGAAATGAAAGTAAGGTTGATTAGTTTTTTTAAAAACTATATATATTAATTCTTTCAGCTCCGAACACTTAATTCGAGCTAATACCATTTGTTAAAACTTTAGAGGGGCACAATGCGCCACGGTCCTCCATAAATATTCAGTGCATTTCTTCAGATTCAGTTCTCTCAGAGTGAAGCATGGATCCAGCCTGAGATACATAGTGTGTTCCGGACTACGGTCTTCCTTTGGACTTGCGGCTCTTGTGAGTTGTATCACTTGAGGTCTGGTCCAGGACATTGGAAAACAGCAGCAGTGTTGCTGTTATTAAAAGCTTTCCCCAAAGCCTTCTGTTTTGGAATAACCACTTTACAACCGTTTAGATTCCTGTCATGCTTTGCCTTTGGCGCTGGCCATACGCTCTGAAACACTTCTGATGGGAAGTCCTCTGCGCGCCACTTTGACGTGGACAAAGAGCGTGGCTGGGGACAGACTGGATCCATCTGCTTTCAGTAAGTGAACATGGCGATAACCTGAGACACACAGTATAAGTCTGGTTAATGGCACTGATGACAGCATTGCAGTACAAAGACAGATGTTCACTAACCTGTCCGCAAACTGGTAAAGGGCAAAGTAAACTGTCCCACAAAGTCATTTTTGGCTGTGTGTTCATGATCCTCCACCACAAACCGCACTAGAGCCAGCTCGGGCACCTGCAGCTGGAAGCTCAGGGTGCAGTCCCACCTCGGGTTGAATCCTGCAGAGGGCGCACAAGAGTTGTCAATTTATTGTTCCTCTCACACAATCTACTGAAGCCTTCTGAAAGGAGCACATGTTTACACAAAACAATATAATCAATCAATCATACAAATCTGCACAGTTTTTATTTGTGTTAATGATCTGATACAGAAGTAATAACACAAATGTATGAATGATAACATAAAATTACCATTGTTGTCGATGCGTTGGGTTTTGTCTTTCGCATTATCTATACCCACACCATGGATCTCCACCCAGACAAGGGGGTCTACAATGGAGCTGGCCTTCTCTGTGTTGATTTTGGGCAGCTGCTGTGCTGAAATGATCTGTAATAATAACAATTTCAGGATTAGACATTTGGCTGTGAATGTGTCTTTGCATGTGTCATAAATATCTAATAGAGGTCTAATAACAGCCGTCGCCATTTTATAATATTATTATGAAGACTTTATTTTTTGCACAGGAAAATAAAGCAAACCATATACAAAGTGATCCATTCACATAAACATTACTCTCTTTATTCATAGTTCTTAGACTGTGCTGCACACAAAACAGTACATGTCCTGGTCTCTCTGCATTCTCCAGTAGATAAAAAGGTTTATCACTTGAATTGTATGGCAAAGGAAAGTAATGAAGTCTTGGCACTTACACAAAATACACAAAACCTGTTCTCTCTGTTTCCCTCTCCGGGAGAAATGGTAAAGAAATTCCAGATGGTTTTGTGAATGGGGCTTAAATGTGTAGTTCTGTCACTAATATGTCCAACTACCACAAAAACAAAGGATTTGACATATGGCTCACTCTTATGGTCAGTTGCGTGGGTACGTGGCCGGGTCCTCCACCGGTGATTTCGGGGTTAAACTCTGAGGTCGGGCTGCACATGAAGCTGGGTTTAAGCACGTAACCACAGCGACCGTTGGAGAGGAAGCGGCCCTGGTTCAGATCCATCTGCTCGCCGGGCGTTTGGAAGTTCAGGGCCACTGCAGAGAAACAGGTGGAGAAGAGTCAGTGGGAAAATAAGTGAGATTGATTTAAGCTTGACTTTTATGCTAATTTCAGAGCACTGTCCTAACATTTTTAGCTCTATATAATTTCACTCAAAATAATGTTTATTCCAATCATCACAGCAATTAATAATACATGCTCTTTTGTACAATAAACTGTAATGTAACTACTGTATAAACGTATATAAAAGTTCTTCTGATATAAAAGTATTTATTTCTTCCGATGTCATTACCTTGACATGTTTTGAATAACATCGCTAACGTATACTATTGTCTGGTATAGAAGAATCAAATACTTTTATTTCCACTAAGAAGATGAGGTGAACCTTTCTAAACTCCATCCATCCATCTTCTTCCCCTTAATCCATTTCTGAGTCAGGGGGGGTGGCAGTCAGAGCTGCACCCAGTACACATACAGTAACACCAGCCCCTCACTGAGCCTCCTGGCGGTGATGAGTCCACAGGAGCCTAGATCTTCCAGTGTCTTGCCCAAGGACACAACGACAGCAGTCATCAGTGGGAGTAGTGGAGTAGGTCTCGTGGTGGATTTAAACCCACGACCTTCCGGCCCAAAGGCTGATGCTCTACCAACTGAGCTACTGTCTAACATGATTTGAAATTTATGAAGACATGCTTAACAATTTCAAATTTTATTTTGTTAAAGCAATTATTTTTAGTGCTTGATATGCAATACTTTTCAACACTTTTGACTACCTTTTGAGATGTATTTGTTCAGTTTACAAATACATATATAAATCTTTAATGTGAAAGACTTAACTAGTTTTGAACATATCAAATAATGTCACACGAATCAATGGACCACAAATTGAGATTTCTATTCTGTCATTTCACTCATGCAGATTGCCTATTTTGCGTAATATAAAAATAAATCACTGCCCGAATGGTGCAGCAGCTGTGTATATTGAGAAAAGAGAGTGTCATTTTCATTGACAAAGAATTTAATTAGCTATTATCAAAGAGGCTGCTTCTCGACTGAAGTACGCACCCATCTGGCAACCCCCATTCCACATTTCCTGAGGATCATAGTTGGACGATTGGAGCCGCTGGCCTGAGGGGTAGATCCGGCTCAGTTGTCTGTTGTTGTGTCGTACAAATAGCTTTCCTGCAAAATCAAAACAATAAAGCACATACCGTAAACCACTGGGGGTCAGGTTGTGTATGTAGCAGGCTGAACATATATATAAAAAAATGCAATCATGTCCATCGTACCAGAGTCTTTGATCAGCTTCAGGGCATCGCTCTCGCAGAAGGAGGACATTTCGTTGGGAGCCTTTCCGGTCGTGTTTTCGAAGCCACTGAAGGCCACGCTCCGGCAGTACACCACCAGCTCGGACAGCTCCGGGCTCAGCTTGGAACAGACCTAAAAACACACACAACAATGTTCATTACAGGGAGATTACAAACAGGGAAAAAGGGCAACTTTTTATGTCCAAATCTCACATAATCACGCAATTTGCATTATCACTGTATTTAAACTACAGGGCCAAATGGTTGTGGTAAACTGCAAAATAGCAATATCCACAAGTGAAACTCGCAGAATTAGAATGTCGTTCAAAAGTCCATTTACTTATGTAGTTCAACTTACAATTTGAAACATTATATAATAAACTTACTGCACACATTGTACTGAATCTAATTTTAGATTGTATTTTTCACTGTACAAAAAAATTCCTCTGCAATATCAAAAGATTTATTTCTATCCAGTGTAGTTACTCTTAAAAATGTAGACCGAGAGAAGTTTGGAATGCAAGCTCCACCAGCCCCAAATAAATTCTCAAATGCTTGGTCGACCATAGACTGTACTTGGTGATTAGTCGTCAAAAGCCCTCTAAGCTACATGTTATGTTTCTGCCCTCTACTTTACTCACAAGAATTTAGTCATAACATAAAATTGGTAACTGTACTCACAATCTCGTGAATTGAGAGTTTAAAGTGAAGGCTTTGTAATGCTTTAAGATGGATAGACATTTTTCAAATCACTTTTAATTTTGTTTGAATGAATACAAATATCTTCCTCTTATTACTTTTGATTGCTTCTGATTTTAGCCGTTTTCCAGTAGAAATCTTTCTCATTTAAATATGAAACAGATAATCAACTAAACAACAGAAGACTGACAGCCCATACTTTCCACAAACGTTTCCCTACATTATTCTTACCTCTTCATTTATTGTTTATTATTTTAGTAATCCTCCAGTTTGATGATCTTACCTCCTGTCTGTTTCACATCCAATTTCAGAAAAAAATAATCATTAAACATCTGGTTCAAAATCTGCTTTCTTTTGAAAATAAAATACTGCCATCCTCTTTGATGTTTGTTCTGATGATGGGAGGCTGTGAGTATGACCACTGGGGTTATGATCTGGACTCTGCAGTGAAGGCTAATCCATGTGCGAAAAGGATGAACTAATCTTTCACAGTTTGATCTTCACGACTGCAGGAATCTACAGTATATGTCGGTATTTGCACGTGATCCAGGGTCTAGTTTTGTTATTGAACAGATGAAATTCTGTGGTCTGGTTAGGCAGTGGTTATGTGGACTTCAAAGATTGTTGTCGTGAAGCCTCTCTTTCCTCTTGAGACGCAAATTGGATGCACTTTAACAAAGAGAAGGAGTGGCTTTTATTTATTTATGTCTGCATTTGTTTATTGCTTTTGCAGCGGCAACCCACTTTAGTCCTTAGTAGACCTGTCGCCATAATCACTCATCATTCAGTAAATATGAGCTGCAACACTATCCCTCTCAATGTAGTGTTTTTGCAAAAATATTTGGGCTGTTTTGGGTTGCATATGCATTGCTATACATACATTCATACTATAGTCTTTAATGTAGCTATATATTTATCACGGCTTGTGTTTTTACAATAATAACACATTTACTGTATGTAAAGAATTTCCTTGTAGAAAAACGGTAAATAGCTGGAAAATATGGTTCCAGGAATTTACCGTTTTCTCAACATGGCATTACCGTTGCTAATTTTAACGGTTAAAGACTGTTTCACTGAACCACATGATGTCTTTGTGATTTCAGGATTTAACTGTATGTTCCTGTTCATTCACATACAACAAAAACAGCATTATAATGTTAATGTTGTATTATTACCATATGACTGTTTCTGTATTCTAAATAGTTTAATTGAACAAAAAACTACACAGTTTAATTTGTTTTACTTTAATGAACAATGATTATTTTCAATTTTTTTTTAACATCTTCAGTTTATTCAAGAACATTGTTGAAATCTTTACTTCTATAACATGCTAAATGCTAAAGCATCATTCTAACTAAAGCAGGAGTTTACATGTGTAAGAGGTACCTTTTACACTCATGGTTGCTTTCTAGCAAAAATTTCCCAGCATTCCAAAAATGCTAAATTACGGTAATAATACCATAAAAACCCAAATGTGATTATTAATAACATTGTGATTTTATGGTATTGTAACGTTTTTTTGTAATCACATTATAATTGTGGTGATAAAACGCCACTGGATGTTTTTTAACCATTTTATACTTAAATTTGCATGTTTGCATTGTTTTTCAAAATAATATTTCTTTAATGTTGAAATTTAATTGTAATTTTACAGAAATTTGTTACAGTGTATATTAGGGTGTGCAGCAGTCCCTCGTTTTTTTGCGGAGGTTACGTTCTAAAATAACCTGCAATAAGCTCCAGCTGCAAAGTAACAGCGGCTGTAAAACCCCTCTCCACACACTTTATACACCACCTGAACTGCTGAGGTGCGATCGCAGAGAAGTGCTGCTGTAGCTGTCAAAAGCCGTGCATACATTGTAAGATACTGCTGCAGAGGACAACCCTTGAAATTCAAATTCAAAAGGTTTCTATGAAAAAAATAAAAAAAACAGACGCCATGGAGCCAATTATCTGAAGATGTTTGTTCTTACAAGAAACAACAAGCTAACCAGTAATTCATTATTAGTGATTATGTTGTTTTTGAGATTTTGTGCCGAAATTCTGCTGTTTGGTGTTTAGGTCATGTGATTATACAACTAGTGGAAGTAAGACTTTAACCCTGACCAACATTCTAATTCCTATTGTGTTTAAGTAGCTAGTCTGGGACAATAAAGTTTAAAAAAAAGAATTGTTTCCCTGACCTTAGCGGGGTCCCTCTTGGGGGTAGTTTTGCTGCTTCCCATTTCTTCCAGATCAGAGCTGGAGGAGAAACTGGCCGAGCTTCCAGTCTTAGACAGTTGGCCAAAGTGTGGAGTGTGCTTCTTCCCCTTTACCAGAATGCGATACTTCAGCTCCTACAGCATCCCAACAACACAAGTGGTTTATTGGAATTCAAGCAAAGGGAAAAACAACTTTAATTATTGTTTCTGTGACCATCAACGGCATAATATCAGGAATTATGGCAGCTGCTCAAACCCATCTGACCATGTTATCTGTAGCTGTATGCTGTCGATATGTTATGTTTAATACAGTTTGACATGTTATTTGTAGGTCTAATATTTGATAGTAACAGATGCTGCTAAAAAAATCCTGGCGAGAACTATAGGTTGAAGGTTCAGTGCTGTGAGCAGATAAAAGATTTTCTTTGAGATTAATGATATAACCATTACACAGAATCTCATTGGTTTGTTGGCACAGGTGCGTTTTGTTTTGCTGACCACAGGCCACACCTTGAATAAGACATGTAGTCTAATATGTTCACTACTATCTCCCTGTGGTTATGTTGCATTGTCTAACTGAATAAACAGTGTTCTGGTGCAGGATGTGTGAATACCTCAGGGGAGGGCAGCTCCTTCAGGGTCTGCTCCTTCAGAGGTTTGGTGAGGAGGCTGTTTCCAAGAATGGCGCGAAGGTGTTTGGCCATGACGGCCTGCTGCTCCACTGAGCAGTGATTCTCTATAGAGAGGATCAGTGGGTACGGAGACGCCTGCACAAACATAAAAACAGGGAAACACTAATGAAAAGACAGTTAGGAGCACCAGGTCCCAGAGGGGAAGTGCAATCGACTGCCAAGGTTCAAACTGTCTCTGAGCCAAACGATAAGTCTGCTCTGTGCACAGTGAGTCAGACTGAATACAAACACTTATTTGATTAGGAGCTTCCCTTGTGCCGGGCTTACACAGCAGCTCAGGTGCAATAAATCGACAGTTCTGACCTTAAAGGCGAAGTGTGCGATGGTTTCAATGACCTCCTTAAAGGGCACTTTGGAGGTGAGTGTGTGGCCGTGGTAGATGACTGGCTCTCCTTTATCCCCGTCCCAGCAGTCCAGCTCCACACAGCGGCAGCCCTGGTTCAGAGCTCTGCAATCAACAACACATGATCGAGGCTCAGGGAACTAAACTCACTTTGAAAAAGTAGAAAAAAACTAATAGATGCTAATGTTAAAGACAGATAAACAGATTTATAATTGCTGTTGCTCTCTGAAAACCACACATCTTTTTTCAAATCTAATTTCCTTATGAGATGTTTATATCCAAAAGAGTAAATGTTATTACTGTAGACACCGTTTCTTATTTTGGGTTGTCTGTGGCTTCTATGTTGACATCACCAAATGCAATTTATTATACTATACTACACAAAAAGGTGATCTTATTAATGCATCTGAAGATAAATCATGAATAGTTTTTCAATTAAGTTCAAGAATACACGAGTTCCTTAGAGCTGGGGTACCTAATCTAAACAACCAAAAGTGGAACTATATAATAAAATGCTTGTTCTTAATACAGTTTCACTAGTTTTTCAAATGCATGTATTTTTAGCCTCTGTTACATGTTTCGATGAGAAGATGACTCAACAAATCAACTCTCAGCTCAGTGTCAAATAGTGACTCATGGGGCTCTTCTTACAATTAAAAATACCATGTGTTACAACAAGAAGACAGGTCTGATTTTCTGACAAAATATTACTTTTACAAGACTTTTTTTTCTGTTGGGAAAAATGTATGATGCATCCCAGCTTTAAAGCTTAGTTTTGACCAAATGAGCACTTTAAAGCCGAAAGCACACGCAGTGGAGGACGAGCAGCAGAATACCTGATGTACGGCTCAGTGCTGCTGGCGCTGGTCACCTGGTCCTTGGTCAGGTAGGTGTTGTGTGAAGAGGAGATGAAGTAGTGGGCCAGAGGGCGGCTCATGTCCTGGAATACTCTGGCGTGGTCGGGGTTAAATATGTCATTCTCCAGAGAAAGCATGTACACGGTGAAGCCGTTCTGCGTCATGAACTGGTTCGTCTGAGCTGAAAAAAAGAAGAAAAAAAATCAACAAGAGAGAATTAGAAATAATCTGTTTGTTATGTGAAAAAGGACAGTGGTGATGATCCACAACACCCAACATTCAGCAACAAATGATCAAATCTGGGATTCAGGATTCATTCATTCAGTTTGAAACCAGTGTTTGGAAATGACATGTTCTAAATTACAAAGTGAAATAAATGGGAGATGAGTAGCAAGATAAAAACGACAAGCCTGTAAATGAATTGATGTCATTAAACATGAATCATGATGTTGTCTTGTCTTTGAGAAATATACTTCATTCCTTTAGCCAGCAGCCAGTTTGTCAGAGCTGACGAACTGAAAGCCACCTTCAGCTGTATTTTATCAGCGCCACTGTGGGAGTATCATTATATATAAATGGCTTGAAAAAATAATTTGTTTTGTTCCCCTCTGGGTCCGTGGAGAATGCCTAAAGATTGCAAGATTAAACTTAAGCTTCTTCAGCCGCTTTCGCTCATTGAGGGAAAGCTGTGAATAATCCTAAAACAAACACATGTACAGACTTTGGTTGTAGCCGTTACTCGAGAAAAAAAACTAAATTTAGAACAAGCTCGAGGCTTCTGTCCGACCCCTGACATCCACACACTCTGTGCCCAATGATAGAATATTTTCTCCTGTTGCCAAAATGTATGCACTTTTGCTGACTACAGGGCAAGTGCATTTAAATAACATGTTCATAAAACTGTATCAGTAAGAAACCCCAAAACCAAACCTGGATTAAGGACTTAACCAGGACTGGAAGACAACCCAGTTTAATGTCAAACTGGGAAATATTTGGGCATCTCTGTGGGAAGTAAATGCCAGACTTCAATCAATGTATATCGCCCAAAATCACAACAGCCATTGCAGCACAAAATTGTTGATTTGCCAAAAAAAAAAAGAAATAAAAAAAGTTACAAGATTATTAAAGACAGTCCATAAAGAAAAATAGGTGTTTGAGCAAATGGAACATTTTATAATTAACAGTTATTTTGATAATGGATTAGTTTTTTTAATCTGTAGAATAAGGTGTTTTTTTTTTTTTTTGACAAAAATCAAAGCTAAACAATGCCACTTCATAGAGCATTCTTAGGACATCTTCATAGAGACTAAATCTAACACAATAGGTTGTTTGTTGAGAAATGCTTTTAAAAAAAATTACATGCATTTTGAAGGATTTATAGCCAGTCATAAAAACCTATGAATTTCTAAACTTGTAATATTATAATATTACTTATAAGTAGTTGTTTAACGTGTTACAGCCCAGGCTCACAAACAAACAGACTAACGACAGAGATCATCTCCACTAATAAAAACAGAGGTAATGATAACTAAAGTCCCGTTTCCACCAGCCCTACCACCGGCCTTACTCTACTCTACCTGGTTGTGTTTCCATTACGCTTTTGTATTTGGTACCATATCCTAGCAGCCTACCCACAACAAACCAGTATCCGTGGACATTCCTTGATAACCATGACTTCTAGCAGCACTGGTCAAACTCTGTCGGTTAGCACACTTAAGGACCAAGAACCAGGGCCAAGCGGGTTGCAGAAAAGTACCTGGTCCTGGGTCAGACAGGGCCAAATAGAATCCCAATCAGGGTAGAGTAAAGCCAAGTAGAGTAGAATATGGTTGGTGGAAATGGGGCTTAAGACAGCAGAGCGAATAGGGCATGGGCTCAGACAGAAATGACTCGGTCTGGGATAAGATTACAAGGTGCAAAAGGAAACTCTTTGAACTGTGAGACGTTAATTGTTGCATAACCATCGCTTCTGGACTCACCCCACTCATTCAGCTCGTAGGTGAGGATCAGCTTCTTGGCGTGCAGCAGCGAGGCGTCTTCTCCCTGATCCCCCAGAAAGTCCCGGAGCTCAGCGGTGGAGAGCACGCAGCCGTTACCGGAGTAGTGCCGGAAAACCGCGTCCAGCTCCGGCCGCCGCATCAGCTCACGGCAAAACTCTTCAATCTCCACATGGTCCAGACGGTCGTCCCCGGAGCGGTCACATCTCTGCAGGAAACAAACGAGAGGTCGGATAAAGTCGTGTGGAGGTGGATGGTATAAGGATGGAGACTTTGGCAAAATATGTAAATGTGATTGTTCTGACCAACATTTTCTGAAATACTGTGTTTAAAAAGTCTAATTTTGAAGTCAAACTAACATCCTCAAGAGAGTACAGTTCAGAATATTATTTCAAGGGGTTTAACGGTAGCACAACATTTCTTTTCTTGTAAAAATAAAACATTCACTACACTATTTTAATTCAGTTGTTTTGATAATTTCCCACAAAATGCGTATGGTCAAACCTGAGTTTCGCCTTTAATAAACTACAAAAAAGACGAGGAAATACTGCTTCTGCCGGACCTCAAGACGAAAGATACTTACAAATCACCATAACACCATAACCATAACCATATGTTAACACCATAGTACAAATTACATTTCGTACTAAGGTCTGGAGGTGCTCCATTGAGCTCCTTTTGTAGATTGAAACGATTGGATCTGAGTATGTAGTGCGCCCGAGTGAGTCGTTAGCATTTAGCATTTAGCCTAGCCATCTCCTTTGCCGCTAACGGAGCCCGTGGGGAGTAGCGCCACAATTTTTTCTAGCGATTACATTTTCTAAACATTCCTCTTGCTCCGGCTTCAATTTCTTGATAGAACCAGACCGGATTACTTTACTATCGCATTTTTTGCCATTGCCAATCTACGACCTTCCCGTTCGACGCAAACTCTTGAAGTCACCCACAACCCGCCTTCCTCGCTCTCTGAATGGTCGGTCGAAATTCAACCGATTGTATTCGCAAACACAGGGACCAGATACAGACGTTACATGCAGTGAAATGAGGATTGAGCGGAGTGTACGGATGGCTAAGGCCAGGCTACATTTTCCCGAAATCAAGTTATTTTTTGCATACTCCTACATACTGCAAGATGCTAATCATGACCACAAAAATTGAGATTTTGATTTAATTGTGATCATTCCTGCCGTTCGACTGGACCAAGGGGACTGTGTTGGGGCAAAAAATTCAAATGAGTGAAATACTTAATTAAATACAATGCATTCTCCCACACATTCAATATGTAAAAAATAAATAAACATCATGAATAAACATATTACATTTCCTTCAAGCCTTTTTATCTGTGCATTTGCAACCAAAGAGACAGCTCCAAGTATTACAAGCGGCCTTTGTGTCTTTGGGCAAGACACTCACCCACAACATTAGATATGTCTCCGCACAAACAGATAAAAGCATCAATCACGACTGCAACGAATGGACAGAAATAGTAGAACATTTTCATATTTTAGATGAAAATTATAAGGTGGGTGGTTTGTTAATGCTGTTGATTGGATCTATAGATAGTTTTTTTTTTTTATTATTGAATCAAACAGGCTCTTGGCAATGAATCGCTGTTGGATACTGCATTGAAATCAACATAAAACCAGCGACCAAAACACCCTCTCTAATAGACTGCAGTGGGTGTTTAGCCGGCAGTAAATATCCATTATAAAGATATTGCAACCCCTTTTTACTGTTGCAGTGCAGTGGTTTCCCAAATATAGCACCACATTGTATCTCAATTTCTGGTGTTAATTATGGAATAACTTGAGTCTGGGTTTGAAACAGTGTTCAAATATGTGTATGTTTAAAATGAACTATAAAGAATGGATTTTTATGAATTATGATAATATTTTAAGTGGCTTAGCTTGTTCTGTTTTTTTTTTTTTTTTTTTTACCAATCATTTAGGATCTTACAGCAATTTGAGTAAGAAGAACAAGAAATCCAAGATGGTGTTATAATGTATGTTGCCACTGGGGAAAGAGGTGGGATTTGATCAGTTTTACTTCTTCCTACCCAACTTTTTCAACAGTGCAAACTTGTATAAGAAAGATGAGAGCAGCGATGGGTCAGGTACTCTTCAGGATCCGTAGTGAAAAAACACATGTGAGAAAACATGTCGGAAAAGAAAAATCGGACGCACTCTAGACCAGCATATAATTATCCTTTATAAACAGGTGCAGCCAACGCGTTTCAGCCACGTAGGGCCTTCTTCAGGGCATGTACGAGATCAGGTCATACACTGGTCCACACTGGGGTAGTCTTGCACAGTTTTTCCAATGTGGTTTTACTGCAAATGACAATACATTCTTGAATCTTGAATCTTATACTTTAGTCAAATGTATTGTCCTTGCTATACTGTTGCTTGTAGTGACAGATTTGTGATTACATTGTTTATGTATTTTGAATAATAATTAATCTATGTTTTATATATTAAATGTATTACATGTTTTGCATAAATTTGTTTATTTAAAACCCTCAGACAATAAATAAAAACAGCATACAAAATCAACAGTTGTAGTAGTAGTAATAGTAGTAGTAATCTTTATTTATATACCGCCTTTTCACTGCAGATCTGAGTCTCAAAGCGGTTTACAATTGTTAATTTTTTTGGGCATTTGTCTCTCACTCCACACAGAGATGGGAGCGGGGCCAGTACAGGAGGCGCATGCTAGAACTATTGGACATATTTTTAGTGGTAGGGGAAACCGGAGTACCCGGAGGAAACCTACGCAGACAGTTACACATAGTTTGAAAAAGGGTTGGATGAAGAAGATCCAATGAGCAATATCTCCTCTCACTCATTCAACACAACCTAAAACACACTCATACACAAGCACGCACACAGGCACTCACACAGCACACACACACAAACACACCCACACACACACCCACGCACACACACACACGCACACACAAAAATCAAATCTAAAGTGTCCGGGCTCACGGTTAGCTTCACGGTAGAATACAGCTTGCTAACAGGACATACTATTTGCTCAGGGGTAGAGTGGAGTTGGGTCATAGAGCACTGACCTTAAATAAGTTGCGTGCGTACTGCTCACTCAAGTCAATGTTGATCATCTGCAGCAGCGTCTTCACCTCGTCATAGCTCATCTTTCCGTCCTGGTTTTGATCCGCTCGCTTCAGGTATCCGCGGATCCAGGTGGGTGCAGTTAAGGAATCATGGAAGACGCTATTTGCAAAGATTTTCACATAAAATCAAGTTGTTTTTCCAGGACTTTTTCTTTCTTGATGATATTTAAGGCAAGTTTTTTTATGTAGACTAGTAAAATCTAGAACAGAATACACATTTTTCATTATTACATAGGCAAACATTTGTGGGAAGCCTGGTCATTATATAGAAAATCACATAAAGGGTGAAGATCATAGACTGTATATATTAACGGACGTAGTCACGACTATCTCCACCGTTCTAACTAATGGGGATAAAAGTGGGCTCTCATGGAGTGATTCAAAATGGCCGCGAGGGCTGGAAAATGTGAAAAAAAAAGCCTCTGCGCATGCGTCAGCCGGCACGAGCCCCATTTTAAACAAGTGACTTAAAAAATGAACAGTGAGTAAACTAGACTGGTCCAAAAAACTTCACCCCCCTCAGCATTGACACTAGAGTTTCGTTCGGGCCTGAAAAATCAAGCCCGACCCGGCCCGAGCCCGCTAATACTAAGCCCGAGCCCGTATAAGCCCGACCAATTAAGGTTGTATAATAGGCCCGAGCCCAACAGAAGCCCGACACATCTGATTTCCCTTCTTGTACGCACTCACCTTCCAATTGCAAGTTTAGCCACTTCTGAATGTGTTTTGTACGTCCACCTGATCCATTTCTGTTATGTTCCGTGTGTTCGCTGTTGACCGTAGCATTCAACAGGAAAAACAGGGATGATGCGTTCACGGCTTGCTGCGGCTGTAGGACACGCCGGTTACGGTGATAAATATATCAACTTTTTTAATAACTTGTTGTCAATCAACGGACATTATTATTAATAAATACATATATGCATATCATTATGTATGAAAATCATAAATAATAAAAAATATTGATTAAAAAAAATAAAAAAAGGAAAAATAAAAAGGAGCCCGAGCCCGGAACGGCCCGACTGCTGAGCGCTGAAGTGAGGCCCAAGCCCGGCCCGTACTCGGGTCGGGCTCGGGCCTGCTCGGGCTCGGGCTGAAAAGGGAAACTCTAATTGACACACATGTGGAACGGGGCTTTGGCCAAGAACCAACTTATGGTCCATCCTGTGAAGACGTTTTCGAGAGGTCAGCTAATGCTATATGTTAGCATTGGCTAATTCTAATTCCGGGTTCATAACCATCGCTTCTGGACGCATTAGAAACAGTCTTGAAGTTGGGGAACTACTACTAACATAGAGCCAAAATACCCGGTACTTTATTTGTGCTTGTGTATAGTTTGTTTATAGCTCATCTTTACCACTTGATTCATCTTTTGGTTTTTACCTTTTTACAATATGCAGCTATTTTGAGTTTTGGAATTTTTGGTTTTGCCTCGATTGAACCAAAACCGGACGAAATGTTAAGAAGACTGAGTATTGCAGACAGATTTACAGATTTAGTGTTTATGACCAATTAATGCAGGGAAGGGTCTGGGGGCATAGAAATGTGATTAGGGCCAAGTGTGGTCTGACTTGTTCCTCACACTCAAAGCAGATTGATTCCATCTCTAGTTTTCACAGGCATATATTTGTTGGCCTCTGTTAGTTTTATGATAGATTTTTCCATCAAAAAATGTGAAAATGTGAAATGTGAAATGCTCAGGCAATCAGTTCTCGGCTCAAAACTTTTCTTTCTGATAAATTTGCAAAAGATGATGAGATGAAGAGAGCGTGGGGTAATCTGTTGGGTTCACAACATTTTACTTTTTTGTTACACGTTTTATTATTGTGTCGTGAATGGGGTCAAGGATATTGGTCGAGTTTTTCTTTCTGGCTCATGTTGGCCACACAGTCCTTGAGGGTCCGCAGCCCCCTGACCCAGCGGCAGGCCTCTTCCTCGCTGGGACAGAGCAGGTCCAGACTCTTCCGTGCTCCTTTGAAGACCACTGTGAAGCAGTGGCTCTCCGGCATGGACCCCGAGAGCTGCCGCAGGGCTTCGGACTTACAGCCCTCACGAACACACTCCACCTCCGTCACCGCAACTGCCAAAACACAGTGATAATAGTTCAGGCCATGTAGCAAATATAGAAACTACATTGAGATATTTTATTGGTTTCCCTTGTTCATAGCTGGTTTGGGACAAGTTTAGTATACTTTTGCACAACACCAAATCTGTCTGAAAAATGCAAATAGAATCTTGCAAATGAACCCTGAAATAAACTTGGAAACTGTAGTCTTTCCATGCCATTTAATTATTTAGATTTTTCCACTGAGAAAAAAAAAATAGATAGAAGTTCCTTAGGAAATTAAATGTAATTGAGTTTAACTGAAATTAAACTTGACTTAGAAAGTAACACAAACAATTCTATCCATTTTCTCTCAATTTTGTGCCATTGAGCCATTAGAACTCATTTCTATAAAAATAACAGCCATAAAACAGATGAAAAAAGAAAATGGCATGCCTTTCCACGTAAATGTCGGTATATTCTGGAATTTACTAGAATCATTTGAAAGACAGAAATCACGTACAAACAAATCATTTTCAGGTATTGCAGGGAATACTTTTGAGAATTGTTTAAAATGTTGTAATCATAAATGAAGTTTGCACAATCAAGGCCTAGCTGTGTGCGCTCATAGTCGCAGATCAAAGGAATTGTGAAAGTGAAGTCAGTCTTCTCTATCCAACTCTTTAATTCTTTAGCTCAAACTGAACTCGGACGGAAACTTAATAATTGCAATTGTAGTCTGTGGTTTGTGGTCTTAGGAACAGACACTAAAACAATGCCTTGGCTATAAATGCTGTAGTGTAGTGTAGTGTGCACAGGTGTATTGTGGCTTTGTGAAGAAACGACACATGTAAACATGGCTGTGCTTTGTTCAACACACTTGTCCTTGTCAAATAATACAACAATGAAAAAAGCCTTCGAGCCAAACGTCGTAATAATAGCCCTACGTAGGTGTATTTATGGTGTTTTTCCCAAGGACAAATAACATCTAAATTTGGTCTGAGTTTTCTATTTTCTGCGACTTGTGGTGAATGTGGTATAGAGCTCATTTTGGTTTTGCGGTTCTGTCTTGTTGATGAGTAAACACTTGAGAAGACAGAGGCGGTTGCAGGTAAAGGTCACTAATAATAAATCTTACACATAGCGACAAAGCAATGCATCAGGACAGCGCACGCAACACTCCTCTCCCAGATAAATTTAGACGGACACTCTTCCCCCTCTTAAGCAACAGCCAGGAACCGTAACTGAATACCATTAGTTAATTAACTATGTATGCGTTCATGTTTACGAATGATTTAGTTTGTATCTGGTTTTCAAGCAATAAGAGAAAGATATTTTTAAATCCAGCAAACTTAACTCTCACAAAGCCTCTGGCACATCATTAGTATTCACACATGAATGTTTGGCCACCAACACAACCATAGAGAAGCTTTAAGACTCAAAAGTGCATCAGAGTGGATTATCCCTACAGCAGCCAATCAGCTCTCAGCTCAACCAGCTCTAGAAATGCAATAGTATGATGTGAACTATTTAGAAGGAGAAGACAAAATGAAACTGACTTTGATTTGTTTCTTTGAACGTTCTGCATTTACAATACACTATGGAACACATTGACAAAATTATAGGAAAAGCTGATGTACTTATTTTTCCTAGATACTACCTTTTGTATGTCCTAATACAGCCATTCCCAAACTCAGTAACACCGAGGCCCCCTTAAAAATCTGTCGGGTCTGTGTGGCCCCCCAAAATAATAACCAAGAAGACAACATTAAGAATAGGCTCTTCTGGTTATTTTATTTTGGAGAAATAGCCTCTGCTACAAACATTGTAATACAAAAATGATTACAGTGGATTATTCAAGTCAAACAATGAACACAAATATTTTAATATTACAAACAAAACATTATAAATTTAACATTAAATAATTATATTATTTTTTTTATTTTTTTTATGACCTCCCGCGGCCCCCCTGCAGTACCCTCGCGGCCCACCAGGGGGCCGCGGACCCCACTTTGGGAGACACTGTCCTAATAGAAAGTATGGAATATATGGAAAAGTAACATTGTGAAAACAAATCTGAATGCAAAATACTGCATATTGAATTCTGATTTGTTAATTTTTTTACAGAGAGAGCCCTATTGACAATTTAATGCTTTGAGCTAGGAGCTGATTGGCTGAGTGAAAGTGGTCCTCTATTCTTCACTTTTCTGTCTAAAAAAAATGCTAGTATGTGAAAATTGTATTGATTTTATTGTAAAGCACTTTGCTCGCCTTGAGTGTTGTAAAGGGCTCTGTAAATAAAATTTGTTTGAAAACTTGGGATATTTCATTGTATAGTTTAAGGTCCTTTTCATGGTTTGAAAGTTAGGTACGCTGGCTTTAATTATGAATCATTGCCATCACAGCTGCCTCACTGTAGCACCTGATGTTCCCAGAGGTCTCCCATCAAAGTGCTAACTAGGCCTTGCCATGCTAAGCTTCAGAGGTCTGACGGGATCTGGCTTTTACATGCAGATGGCGCCACATTTTGTCGTTTGAGCCGCCTACTGTAAAACTATACCCGATGCCGTTCTGAAGAGGTGAGACGAGCTGCCCTTGGCGACCGGGACACATCCAAAGAAACACCAACACATAAACTGTCTGATGTTTCTATGCCAGAATGTGACACAACACCAGAGCTCTCAGCAGCGTCTGTATCCCACAAAAGCCTCATTCTGTCGGTGTGGGCAGCGGAGACACGGCCCTCCACCTCCACATGGCCCTCCTGCATTCCTGGCTTTGTGCAGATGGAAGAAGGAGGTGAACAAAAGTGACGCTGAGGTGGAGGGTACACAACAAAACTGTGGTCAAGAGATAGAACACTATGTATATACTGTATGTGAGTGTGTGTGTCTGACTTTATGCATGGGTTTGTGTATATCTATCTATCTGTATGTATGGGTGTATGGGTGTGTGTGTCAGACTGTATATCTATCTATCTGTATGTGCATGTGTGTGTGTGTTTGTGTAGATTGAATAGCTATCTATCTGTATGTATGTGTGTCTGTGTGTGTTTATCTGTCTGTCTGTCTGTCTGTGTGTGTGTGGATGTATATCTGTATGCGTGAGTCTGTCTGTCTGTCTGTCTGTCTGTCCTAATTAGCCCACGTACAGAGCCAAAAATCCCTATATTAGTCATTTGGTTGTGTAAAAGGATTGATTGTTTTATGCACCCTTCTAGATCATTTTCTCTATGCAATATTACTTTTTACATTCGGATTAAACCTAGAAGCAAACCAGGACCAAACTATGACAATTGTGAGTCCCCATTAAAGTCAAAGAAATGTGGTCAAAACCGTGTTACTAAAGCCTGGTTCACACGGCAGGATATTTAGGCCGATTTAGACCCGATTTACCCCTTACGACGTTCTTAAGAAACGCTCCGATTTCCGTAACAAAATCTTACAGATTATCCTGCCGTGTGTGGTGTGTTAAGACTGCACTCGTCGCTCGGAAGGACATCGGGACTGCTCCCGATCTCAAATCGGGGATATCCAACATGTTGGATTGTTTTGGCCCGATTTCTTGTCGTGTGTGGTGTCCTCCGAGGTAGGGATGTAAATCGGCGACCGTTTAACCGGTGGTTGACCGTCACAGCGTTAAAGGAGCAATATGTAAAAATCTGGCCAAAAGTGGTACTGCAGTCACAGTCAATATTTTGTAGTCCTCTCCCACTCTCCCTGACTCAGGTTGCCAGATTCACACCAAATCCAGCAGCAAACACAGGGAATTATTTTATCAGTTGTTTGTCCGTCTCCATTCACATTGCCATGACAGCCGTGCTAATGCTGAATGAATGTTTTGATTAATGTTTTTTTATTATTATTATTTGGACATTTGAGATAAAAAACAAAAACAAAATAAAAGCAATGTAATTATACATAGTTTATGCAAAATAAATAAGAAATTGATGTCCAAAATAGGAATGGGAAGAATGGATGTTGGAACGTATTTCTTCAGCGTATCAGCATCAGGGTTTGCTCAAGAGGATATCGCCTTTCAATTTGATTTATTCCCTATTTTTTAGACAAACATGTAAAAGTCCCACATCAAAAAGAGACTAACATTATTTTAATTGGGGTACATGTGGTCTTAAATGATTATTTTTACAATTAAGCTATAATCTGCAAAAAAACGTCTTGACCTTCATCTTTTACCGTTTTTAGAGCAATCTGTCATAGAATGTGATAACATGCAATAAATACAAAAAGACATAGCCCGGGATCGAACCCGGGTTCCTACATCGTTAGCGTACAGCTTAGACCGCTAGATCACCGGTTCACACGATTCGAAGCACTGTGAAGAACGGACTCAAACTAGAAAATTCTGCATCACACGTGAACTTTTATCAGCTGTCTCAATTGTTCAAAGGCATCCCGATATAAATCCTCGTTTTAGTCTTTTTTTTGTCATTAATTATTTGAGAGTCATAACAAGACCTTTTTTAGTTCTGCGCCACATGTTATTTTACCTCTGAGATTAATGAGCCGCGCGGAGTTCTGGCAACCCGATCACGGACTTACATAACACTTCCTGATTGGCGAAACGGCGGAGGGTAGGACATCAAAATCAAAACAATAACAACTTTTACGGGTCGTAAAACTAATTTTGATAATCAAATATATCGGCTGAACTACTGTTATCAGTTAAAGATGAATTCGAAAAGAGTATGATTTAATAACGCCTTTTGAAATATTCGGGTCATTTAATGATGACTTGACATGCAAATATTACATATTGCTCCTTTAACTGGTCAAAGCTGTCGGTTAAAAAAGAGAAAAAGGGGAGAGGGGAGGTCTCTTAATAACACTATTTTAAGCCCTATTTGCACGGTGTGACGAGCGGGTCTGTATCTAGCTGTGTGCGCCAATGTATTATAAACTCCGGGACGACTCTCACGCCGCACGAGCCACATATGCACGCACGCACGTGCGCACACACACACACACGCACACACTTTCCCCCTCTCCATACGTAACATCCACACGCATCATCTC